GAGTCATTGAGAAAATATGAAGGATTGAAATTTCAAAAAGTTTATTTAAACATTTATCAGAGTAAGTGATAAGGATAAATTCCCTCGACCAATTTGCTGTTTTTTCTTATTGTTTCTAGATGTTTACGCATTTTTCACTCTTGCCACAAGGTTGAACGATCAGTTGCCGCAGTTGCTAGATAGCTGTTCTGTGACTTGTGCGTTGAAGTTCTTCTCAATATCGTTAAACATTTTAACAATTATAGTATACTCACTTGCAGAAAAAGCGGAAATAATCGAACTTTCTTATTTTAAAAATAATGAATGTAGCAATCGGGTTCCGCAGATATTCAATGAATGCCATCCCGAAAAACACCTTTTTATGGCAAAATTGTTCGCGAGTTAGTAGCAAAATTTCGCGAAACTGGTTCCGTTATGAATAAAAAGAGGCAGAGGGAAAACCCTGTAGTAAATGAAGCTATGGAGGTATTCGCATTGGGGCCAAGTTGCCATACGCTGAGTACAAGAAAATTAGCCAATGCAAAATTAGCCGGCGTGAATCGTACCAGTGTCCAAAGGATATTAAAAACTCAAGTTCCACCCGTACAAAATTCAGTTGGTACAAGAACTCAACGAAGACGATTTTGATCGTCGCTTGGTAATTCTTGTGAAACTGTGAGTGAACGAGTGGCGATTGATAATAATTTCCTATTTTAAGTGTACTTTCTTTTGAACGGTGTAGTTAATCGGCATAACTGTCGGTACTGGGCTGAGGGTTTTTTCACGAGGTGCACACACAAAACCCTCAGAAATTGAACGTGTGGGGCTGGTATTTTTGGAAATTCTAGTTTGGGTCAGTTTAACGATATTGAGAAGAACTTCAACGCACAAGTCACAGAACAGCTATCTAGCAACTACCGCACCTGATCGTTCAAGTGAAAACTGATTGTGGCAAGTGAAAAAAATGCGTAATCATCTAGAAATAATAAGAAAAACAGCAAATTGGTCGAAGGAATTTATCCTTATCATTTACTCTGATAAATGTTTAAATAAACTTTTCAAATTTCAATCCTTCATATTTTCCCAATGACTCGACCGATTTTCAAAAACGAAGCGGAAAAGTATAGAGAATAGAAAGCCCTTTTCATTGCGGTACCACTTGACCCCCTTTCCATTTGAAAAAGTTGGGTGATGACACCCCCCGCTTAGAGGGTTGAAGGTTTTGCAATCATTTTTGGGGCAAAGTCCCCCTCGCAAACAAAATTGACGTGTTTTTGAATTTTCTGAAAAAATAATTATCCTGGCCGTTATGCCTTGCGGAACGTTTTCGATGGGCCAATTCTGTATAAAATTTCATCAAAATTGGTTAAGCTGTTTCGAGGAGTATGCTAACAGTGGTAACAAAAACTTGCAGTGTATCGAGCAGTAATAATCTCCACCATGTTATATGGAAGCGAAACCTGGTGCCGTACCGCCGGCACACGAACGCATTAAGCGAGTTGGAACAGAGACGTCTTAGACAACTGTTAAGAATCAAATGGTATCACCATGTCTCAAACGTATCAGTCCTTGAAAAAAACAAGCTGCGATAGGGCTGAAGTCATGATTACTAAAACTCGCTTAAGATGGGCTGGCCACGTATACCGCCTACCGAAATAAGGTCAGAAAAACCGCCTACCGAAATCTCTTCTTTACGGTGAACTTGTAGAGGGTAAGAGAAAACCGGGTGGACAACTCAAAAAAATACTTATAAAATAATGTTTTTCATAAAAACTTAAAGAGGATAAGTATGTAGCATCGGTGGGAGGAAGCAGCGCACAATAGAAATGGAGGAGAATTTTTAAATTCAGTTAATAATGACAACCAAAAAGTAAAGAGGCAACAAAGTAATGAGATTCTTCAATGTCCGGAGTGCAGAAGAGAGACAACGTCACGTATCGGGCATTTCAGTCAAAGAAAAGCTCATGACAGGAAACGCCTTGCATAACCATCTTATGATGCGTGTCAAATACTCGTCAGCAGAGAGTAATGGCAGTAAGTATGTAAGGTAACAAAAATTAAAAATACAACCCCTTCTTAAAAAATAGGGGTTGATGGTAGAAGGGTGAAAATTTAAGATTGTATGCATTTTTAATGCCAAATCATAACAAAATAAAATAAAAAAAATTGTTTGGTTTGGTTTTCATAACAACCTTATTCTCGGACCTACTGTATAGTTTCCTCAACAGCCGTTTCGGAGAAACAGGGTAACAAAAACTGTGACACGAGAATTTTATATATTAGATGATATTATAGTGTTTCCCTCTAAATCATGTTTATTATTAAAAAGTCAAATGACAGAGACTGAATTTCAAAAAATGCTTCTGGTTTTATTATTATACAGACCAGTTTAATAAGTTATACGAAAAACCAGAACATTCAACGTCAAAGAAAATTTACATTTATGATATTGCCAAAATTACATTTATAATATTCAATTACACGTAAATTTGTAAAATTAATTTTAAAATTATGCATATGCCACTTTATAAATGCGTTTAAATATGGAAGTTAACTGAAAATATATTTATATGGTAATGCGGTAAAGTCTACCATAAGCCGAAATCTATTCATATTGAATAAGGTCGTTAAATTAACATCAAAAACAATTTGAATGCACAATCTACTAATTTTCAAAGCTGCTCTAATTTAACAACGTTTTTAACGTTTCATTAATTCACCAAAATTATGAGTTCCGCTGATTATTTAAATTAAATACATACATCACTACAGTACGGTTTATATAGAAATAGGAAAATAACATTAATCATTTGCTTTAAATAAAACATATTACTGTTAATATTTTTAGGTTGTTTTGATATTTACGGGTAAAGATACCTATTATTACGAGTATATGTATAAATGGCAGACCTATGCCATTAGATCTGCACTCGTCAAACCTAAAATCTGGCTTCGATATGTTGACGACACTTTCATATAGACACTGATAGACAGTTGGATTTCTTTCTCCATCATGTCAATTCACAAAATGATTCTATCAAATTTACGATTAAAAAATAATAATAATACTAAATGCACGACTTAGCGAACATAACCAACCTGTACAAAAAGGTGAAACAATGAAATCAGGTATTGCGGACCATGTTTGGTCACAACAGTACAATATAAAATGGTCGGAAGCTCTGGTTGTTCACAGAAATCCTCATTGGAAAAACGGTAAATTTAAAGGTGCGTCCAAACCTGACAAAACGAGAGCGAGACGAGAGCGAGACATCTTCTATCAATTTTTTAAGGCAAGCCTGCCAAGCGAGTTGGATCTCAAACACATATTATATTGTAATTGAATATAACAAACGATGGCCAAATAATAACGCATACAGTAATATATTTTTGTATCTTTAACATGGTATTTGGTTCATCGTATTTTATTCATCGCAGATTTTTTCCCTTCTGGTTGTTTTCCCTTCGAGACGCGACATCTTTTACAAAATGCGCTTTTAACGTTAAATAGAAAAGTTATAGGGAAGGTTAAGAAGCACATTTTAAAATTACCGTAGAGTGTACTGAGTACTCCAGAAAAGTGTTGCGGATATAACATATATTTTTTAATGGGAATACTGTATTATTTTATTATTAGACTAGCTTGTACCAGCGACTTCGTTCGCGTCGAATTAATCATTTGTAATAGTGATGATAAAGCAAAGCAAGAATTTCAATTAACATACAAACTGGATAAAATTTTCTCACATTTATGTCAGCATGAGAAAAAACAATATGGCGATATTATTATAAAACTTGGTAATATTTAAGGGGTAGTTTCATCTCGTTGGAATTTGACTTTCGAAAAATCCGAATGCCAAAAATAAGCTTTTTACGTCAAGCAGTTTAAGCAGAATCGTGGTTAAGAAATTACCTAACTTTTTGGAACAGGAAATATTTTTGGAAATTTCAAAATATGTAAAAAAAACAAATAAATTATGCTTGTCCAAGCGTATTCCGAAAGACTAACCGTTTTAAAATAACAAATAGTGTAATATTTGAGGGGCGTTTTCACCCTCTTGGAATTTGAGATTCGAGAAACCCCTCCTTATCGAACCTCTACACCCCACAGTCAATCCGTTTGCCAAAAATCAGCTTTAAACGTCAAGCAGTTTAAGCAGAATCGTGATTACTCAATGGTCATATTTTATGAATCACCTTGTATAAATTTATAAAAAATCTTAAAATATGTAAAACAACAAAGTTTTTCCGAAAAACTCACCGGTTTATAAATAAAAAATATTTTAATATTTGAGGGATAGTTTCACCGCTTAGAATTCGAGTTTCGAAAAATCCCTTCTTATCGAACCTCTACACCCTAAAGTCAAATCATCAAATAAAGTCAAGTTGTTTTCCAAAAATCAGCTTTTTACGTCAAGCGCTTTAAGCAGGATCGTGATTAATAAAATACAAATATGTAATTTTTAAAATTAGCATTGTAAGTTCATCTCATCTCTCTTAAAAAATTGCTACTTCTCAAAATTTCGCATTAAAAATGACTCATATACCATAATAAATTAAAAATAATTGAAAGATCGAACTACGGAAAACCACACAAATTATCGGAAAAATTATTGACCCACTTTTTTTGATTTCACTAGTAAAAATGCTTTTCAACGATATAAGATATAATATATAAAATTAAAAAATAACGTACTATTATTAGTATTTTAACTATTTTAATAAACAGAACCGCAAAAATAGCACAGTATTTATACGGCGAAGTTATGAAAATTTGGAAGAACCAATAATGCACTGAAGCATACAAAATCCAAACGAATAACTAATTTCATTTATCAAAGCATTCGATAGTCGTGGCTCAACGATAACCATTTAGTCGCACGGCGAGGTTGTCACATATGCTTTAGTTTACAAATGAATGAATGATTTTATTCGAATAAAACCATTCGATAGTTGAAATCATTCATTCATTAACCATTCGATAGTCTAATTCATTCGATAGTTCCCATCGCTAATTTAAGGTGAGAAGTAAGAAAGGTGTAGGTCCACTGGCAAGTTCCGACAAACGCTTTAAAGATTCCGTAGCTGTAAAAATCCCGTCGCCCAACAAATACAACGTGTCCCAAAAAATAGAAGTGAAACCTTCCACGGCACCTTTTGGAATAAAGGCTAAAATAGTTCGAATCTCTGCTAATGACATTCCAGGGTAAGACTTCTTGTGTATTGCTTTCTATACAATACAATTTTATTTTAATAGATTTATATCCGATTATTTTTTTTTCTTATTATATTCATTTCTCACCTAAAAATAAGATTTATTTTCATATCAACATGGGTCTGATTCTGCTTTGTTTCGTAGCTACAGAGTGTTAAAGTTTTAATATTTTTTCGATTTATTATAATTTTTTTCCAAGTACTTTTAGCGTTTCGAATGAAATTTTGAGGGTAAAAGTTACTATAAATGCGACATTTTAAAGCTAAAAAAGTGTCGACATATTCACCAGGGACGTGCATATGGGTTATCACTGGAATATTTTTCTAAAAAAAGCATGTACGCCACTGACTTTTTTTTTCTTCTTAGCGAAATAGTGTAAGCAGTTTAATTGATTAAAAGATTAAAAGTTGTCTCTCGATATTTTGTCGGTTTCGGCTTCCTTGATGAGATAAACACAGTTTTATTAATTTGCCGTGATCCAAATCTAATAGCAACCTTTAAAAAAAATAATATCATTAACTTGCGAAAGTTTTAAATAAGTACTCATTGATTTCTCATAAAAAATATGAAAAAAAGTTCCTATAAACATGGGTATGGAAACGCATTACGAGTTACAGGATGTTAAAACTTTTAGTTTTTTTTGTAATTATATCTTAAATACGATTATATTTTTATTTGAAATTGCTGTATGTTAGACTAATAGTAATAACAACTAATAGTAGCATTTATAGTAACTTTTACCCTCAAAATTACATTCAAATCACTAAAAGTACTTGGAAGAAAATTATAATAAATCGAAAGATTATTAAGACTTTAAAATCATGTAGCTACGAAACAAAACTGAAACGGGCTTATGTTGATATGAAAAATAAAACTTATTTTAACGTGAGGAATCTCCCCACGAGAGATGGCACATGTTTTTTTCAAACAGCCTCTAGATATATTTCTTTTCTAAAATTATTATCGATAGTCATTCCCCAGCGGTCTTTGACTCCTTTTTTCTTTTCGATCGCACGGTACAATTAATTAAAAAAATTGTTGTTTATTAGTCCAGCCACTTATGACATCAGAAAGCTTCGAAAATGCCGCAGGACCAGATTTTCCAGTAATTTTGGTAGACCGAAATTGATGTATACGGTGGAAACGGTATGCGTACCGGTACCAACTGATAAATGCCGGAAATGCAATACGGTTTGTCAGGGAGACTATTGGCATCTGGATTACACGCAGTTCCTCTGTTCATCGTGCTGGAATGCAGAAAAGTACTTAGAGTTATTAAGTAAAGACGATCTTCAAAAAATGAAGGTAATAATTATTAAGAAAATGAAGGTAATAATTTGTACAGAGGGTGATTCACGGCCATGGCACGTTAGACGTTTATGGAGAACCGATGGTAGTTCTTTTTTGAAAATTTGAATTTTTGCATAAAGGCACCTGCTCCATCTGGTACCCCCGGTATATTATTACATTTTTGAAAACTACTTTGATATCTCATAATTTTTATATTATAGTGTCCTATACCTATCTCTGATAGTTTTCGAGATAAAAAATAAAATAGGTATGTGTAAAATTGACAAAAACATGATCTTGTATAAGCATTGGTTAGATCATAAATTCGGCATATAGAAAGCTGAAATTTGGTTTATAGTTTAAGAAAAGTCGGCATATCTCATCTATCTAAATCAACTGATTGGATATCAAACAGGGAGGTCAGAAAAAATAATTATTTCCGTTTGTTATAAAATTACTCAAATCTTTGTTATTTTAAATTCAGCCCTATGAATATTATTGAAAAAATCAAAACCCAATAAAATTGCTATTCAAAGATACATTATGTTCCCATACTTAAACCTTCTGGTTTCTTTAGTAAAGCCATTTAAAAGGTAATAATTCTATTATAATTGTTTTGTTTAAAGAAAACCGTTCCCATAACAAATATTCAAACTTTATAAGTATCAATTAGAGTTTACGTGCTAAATTTCTAAAATTGACATGGTATAATTCATATCAGAATCTAAAAATAAAATAAAAAATAGAGTGTTGCATTTAAAAAAACATATGTTACATCTGCCACACATTTTTGAAGCACTCTGTATACTCCGTAATAATTTTAAGACGTAAGTGTATCTTAACCTTAGATCTTAACCTTCCCTTAACCTTAACTTTTATATTTAACATTTTTTTGTAAACCTCGAAACAAATGAGATAATGGACTTTATCGTTGACTCACCCTGTACTTTTAATAACTAATTAAAAATAATAACTCTAATGTTTCTTAAAATCACTTATCTTCCCAAGTTTATAGTGCATTTTTTGAACACCCTATGTGTCTCTTTATAACACGTGTAAAAAATCTTAATAGAATATCATTATCGCATTATTTTGAACTTATTCATCCGTTTTAAGTGTCCAGGTTTCGCATGCATAGGTCATGACAGGTAGTACACAATGGTCGAATGTTTTCTTCTTTAGATAAAGTGGCATTCTTTGATTTGAATATGATTGAGTTTCCATATATACTCCATGTTAACTTAATTCTTCTGTTGATTTCTGGTAGTAGAGATCCTGAGCTGTGTATTAAATGTCTCAAATATATTTTGTATTCTTCTACTATTTCCAGTGTTGTGTTATTAGGAATATATCTCTATACTGGGTGCGTCTCAAAAGTGGCTCAGCCCTATAACTTTTTTATTTTTCAGATAAAAATACGAGATTTGGTATGTTAGTATATGACATAAATTAGAATTGATTGACGTATTCAATTGTTTTTGGTCGCTTCCTGTTTCACCGATAATGACTACAACTTTTGATTTTTCCAAGGCTCCTTGATTAAAAAATAGTGTTTTTAACATGGCCAGGGCATTCTAGATTGAAATTTAAAATACGATTTTTAAGCGAAAATGTCAAAAGGTGACATGTCATTCTATTCAGAGTGTCATTTTTAATCGAATAAAGTAAAAAAAATACCGAGGGTGTCATTTAAAAATTAAAAGTCCGGTGAAACAGGAAGTGACCAAAAACAATTATACGTTACAATTACAACATACCAAATCTCGTTTTTTATCTGATAAAATTAAAAAGTTTTTTTTTCAGACGCACCCGGTATAATGAAAAACAATATATTGCTCCGTTTTTAATAAGTACTACTATATTTTAGAAAATTCGAAATTGCGCATTTATGCATAATCACGAAGGTACCAACGCGGCAGAGATTATCTTATCGCCAGAAGCGACTAGGAAGAAAATTTACCTAGAAAATTATCTAGATTTGTATATGAAATGCTAAAATTACAGAAGAAACTTTATTAGGTAATAAAAGTTTTGTAAATATTAAAAAATGTTTTATTTTTTATCTTAAAAATACCTTTATCTACCCCAGCATCTACGTTCTCGAAAGATGCGTACAAGAAATTGCCATCTTATCCGATAGTCAAGCAGCATTAAAAGCGATAAACTCAGTAACAATCAATTCGAAGTTGGTCAAAGAATGCCTAGAGGAGCTGAACAAATTTGGCAAAGAAAAAAGTTCTACTCTGGGTATGGTTTGGTTTGGTGTGGTGAAAATGGGGAAACACCGGAATACCTCATCAAGTGCCCCGAGACGACTAGCATTCGTGCCATGAAGTTTGGTACGACTGATATCGGAGATGGAGAGGTAACCTCTGTAAAACCGTGTCAGATCAACGTCAAAGCCCTGAGACTGTCTGAGTTATAACTTATAGATCTGTATGGTTGCGGTGATACCCCCGTCCCATAAACTCTACATTCTACTACTGTGAAGACATATGATCTACACACATTTCTTTCCTTTTAAATTAGTGAAAAAATAACAATTAACTAAATAAATCAGGCTATACAATTTTTTTTGATCAAATTTGATTTTTTGAGCAGGTTATATCATATGATCGAAAAGAACGGCGTCCAGTTGGCTTGGAAATGACAGAATCGATGACATTCCCTTATAATTTAACATATAAAATGACAGCGATCTTCATTTCATAGCCATAGCTGACGCCGTTTTTTTCTCGATGATACGGTAATAGAACGTGCATATTATTTAAAAAAACGCCATTGTTTATAAATTAATACAAAATAATTTAGTAAAATATATTACAATTATTATTACCTATATTTATATTAACAAATATAAATTACAAATACGTGTATAGTTATTTATATGTTACAACGTCAGAAGTAATTTATATATTACAAAAATATATTGTTACGGATTCCGTGGGTCCACTATTTAAACTCACGATAAAATACTTAACGAATTTATTTGTTTCACTCTGTACACACAACTTATACTATTTACAACACAACTTATGCAACTACTATTACTCTAACGGTATTTCGCGGTATTATCAAACTTCAGACTTCAAACTTTAAACTTGTCCAACTGTCAAAGCGCGGGCCTTATATACCCCTGGCGGTTGTTTCTAGATTTTTCTAAAGAATTCTATAATTTTCTTTACTTTCTGGCGAATGGCGCCAGGTTCCTCAATGCACGCCGCGACTATTCAGCAGTACGCAGTTATGCAACCAGTAATACACCTTGACATTGCCCCCTTCTCAAATTTGATCGTCCCGATCAAGGTTTCCTGTCTGGTATCTCTTCAATCGATCCAGATGAACTACTTTCATCTTACTTCTAGGGCTGCGTTGAATCCGGTACACAACATCATTTATCCTCTTGATGACTTATAAGGACCTTCCCATGCTGGAGTTAACTTTGGGGACCTTCCTTTCTTGCGCTGTGGGTTATACAACCATACCCTATCGTGCTGTTGAAATCCCGTAGAATTAGCTCTGAGGTCGTAACGAGCTTTCATCCGGTCACTGGCTAGCGCAATCTTACTTCTAGCGGCCTTATGAATGTCCAATAATCTTTCCTTCCTAGCGATTCTTTCGAACGACAGTCCAACGCTATCCTGTTCCCTTTCTTCCCCAGATCGAGTATTTGGTCCTTGTCTAGCTGCGCAAATCTTACAACGTTGACACCATTTCTTGACATCTTCGCAATAATCCACCCAGTAAAAACGGTCTCTCAGCTTGCTCAGGGTCTTGTTTACCCCAAGATGGGCTCCAGTTTTACCACCATGAATTTCTTCCAATACCTGGGTAACTTTCTTCCTTGGTACCAGTAACTGAGTTGTTACTGTCCTGCCATCCGCACTTTCCCACGTACGCTTTAACAATCCATTCTCAATAACCAGTGAATTCCACTGAGCCCAGAGAACTTTAAAAACGAGCCCTCTATCCGCAATATCCTGCCACGGTGGTCTCTCGCCGTTACCTTCCTTGAGCCGTAGTATTGCTCCAATGTCTGGATCTTCCATTTGATCTTTCCTCAATTGTATCGTCGTCCATTGTTCGTCAGTTCTCAGTTTAAAATTCTTTACTCTGATAGTGCTTTCGCGATGTTGCATTTTCTTGTCCAGGTTAGCCCGTCGTCGATCTGGCTCGTTGCCGATAATTTGTATCCGTCCTACACGGCACCCAGAGGTTTTCTCTATTTTCCCGAACACAGTCTTCTTGGCATCACCAGGTATCATCACAATTTTCGATGATCTTTCTTCCATATTTCCTGGTCTCTTCTCTTTAGATACAGAAAATTCCTCATTTCCGATTTTCAGGATGTTTCTATGGTGATCAAACGAAAAACCATGTTGACTGATCACATCCATACCCATGATAAAATCATCTTCAATGTCTGCCACTAAAACGCTATGCCGAAACTTCAAATTCCCCTAACTCCAATTCCATGAAAGCCTCTCCCCGTACAACGGCCATTTCCCCCGTAACTGTACGTAAATACACTCTTCTTCTAAGAGGCATCATCTTCAATCCTTGCACTGAGTTAGTCCGCACCCAACGATACCATAGCGCCTGTGTCCACAGTCATTCGAATTCTTCTACCATTGACCTTCCCGTTGATCACCAAACTGTCAGCGGTTTTTCCTAGACTCTAACGGAAAACATCCTAGGGGCTCTGTTTTCTTCAGCCAATACTCGCTCATTAGTGTTGATTTCCTGGTGCCTATGTTCTCTCGATGGTAAACGGAATCGCATTTGGACGCGGCAATCCCGTTTGATGTGGCCATTCCTGCCACATCTATAGCAACTTATGTCCTGGGATCTTCCGATGTGCCGATGTACTCTGGATGGTGAATGGAATCGCATTTGGATGCGACAATCCCGTTTGATGTGGCCATTCCTGCCACATCTATAGCACCTTATGTCCTGTGATCTTCTATGGTTCTCTGTCTGGGTGTTGTTGCTACTCTTGTTCACTAGTAACTCACATAGTTTACTAAACATCTCCTCCAAACGTATGTGAGAACTTCCGGGCTGTTCCTCGACCGTTACCGATCTTATCTTCGGTCTAGGGATGGCGCTAAAAGCAGCTTCGATTTCCAGCGCCCTGACCAGTGCTTCGCTGCTGGTAGAAAATCGGGATATTTGCAGCGCCCGGTGTAATTCGTTGTCCCTCAGTCCGCTGATAAAGCACTGAGCAGCCAGTTCTTCTCTAAATCCTTCCGGTGCTTCTGGATACGCCAGGTGTACCAGGCGACGTAAGTCTGCTTCAAATTCCTGCAGACTCTCTCCGGACCTCTGCATGCGTGTCTTGATATGGGCCTGGTAAAGTTGACGTCGATGTTGGTCGCCATATCTTCTGTCCAGTGCAGCGACCAAAGTTTGGTATTCCTGCTGTTGGGCTGCAGGAATAGTTTGCAGCAGTTCCAGAGCAGGGCCACGCAGCGCGATGACAAGTGCCGCTGCTTTCTCCTGGTCGGTCCATCCGTTGGCAGCGGCGGCTGCTTCAAACTGGCGGTGGTACATCGTCCAGGTCGTTTGTCCATCGTAGGTCGGGGCCTTAAGGTTCGCAGTTCCAGGAACGCCAGGTGTCCTTACTTGTACCTTGGTCTTGTGTAGGTCCATCTCTAATTTTTCCATTTTCTGCTGAAGGCGTTCCTCCAGATCTTCTACGGCTTCTTGAAGGTGGATTTCTTGCCTTCTTTCTAGTTCTTCAGAGTTCTTCTTAAGACGGTTTTGATCTTCTTGTCTTTCTTTCTGGCAGTGCGTCTCTATATCTTCTAAAATTTCCCTCCATTCATTCTTCTGACGGATTTCTAAATTGCCTAAAATTTTCTCAAGCCGGTCCTGTTCTTCTTGTTTTTCTTGTTGTCGTTGTAATTTTTCCTCTTCCTTATCTTTACGTAGTCTTTCTTGTTCTTGTTTTTCTTGTTGTCGTTGAATTTTCAAATCTTCAAAAATTTTGTCAAGCCGGTCCTGTTCTTGTTGACGTCGTCGTCTTTCCTCTTCCTTTTCTCTTTCTAATCGGGTTCGCTCTTCTTCTCGTTCTTTACGGAGTCTTTCTTGTTCTTCTGTTTTCTCTTTTCTCATGTTCTCCATAAAATCGCCCAATAATTTGCTTACTTCTTCCATTTTCTTCGATTGCTCCCTTGTACCAACCATAAAAATACTCTGATTCGGTCTAAAAATCTTCCAATCCACTTAATTTCTTCTTAAAATCCTCTTGAATCACACTTCCGACACCAATTGTTACGGATTCCGTGGGTCCACTATTTAAACTCACGATAAAATACTTAACGAATTTATTTGTTTCACTCTGTACACACAACTTATACTATTTACAACACAACTTATGCAACTACTATTACTCTAACGGTATTTCGCGGTATTATCAAACTTTAGACTATCTTCAGACTTCAAACTTTAAACTTGTCCAACTGTCAAAGCGCGGGCCTTATATACCCCCTGGCGGTTGTTTCTAGATTTTTCTAAAGAATTCTATAATTTTCTTTACTTTCTGGCGAATGCGCCAGGTTCCTCAATGCACGCCGCGACTATTCAGCAGTACGCAGTTATGCAACCAGTAATACACCTTGACAATATACAATATTGCATCTTAGAATAAATTAAGTTTCAAGTTTAAATAGAAGCCAGTTAAGGTACGTCTTAAACGATATGCGTAATTTATTATAGGTTAGGCTTTCTGATCCCAAAAAGGAATCGTCGGTTAGGTTATGGTTACGTTGTCAATCCATTATTACGTAGGTATTTCACTGCACAAAATTAATAAACATATAACATGGTAGAGGAAATATTTTTTTTTATACCGGGGTGGTGCATCGGCGTCGGAAACATTGGAAATCCCATGCAAATTTTGAACTGTTCGACTATTGGTTCCCTTGTTGATTTTACAGCCAAGTCATAAAGACGTTTTTTAAAGGTCGGAATACATATGTTGTCTATGTACACATGCCAAGTTTGAACAGTTTTGGACAAGCCAACTTTAAGTAATTTAACAAAAACTGTCTATTTTTTGTTTTCTCGACGTTTTGCTCAAAACAGCAGACCTTTTCATGCATCACCTGTGCGAATTCGTATACGAAATTGCTACGACTTTTACGGAGTTTTACGATCAGTGTTATTGCATAGAGCACAACTCGAGCGGAGAGATTGTCAAAGTTAACGTTAGTAGGATATTGCTTGCCGAAGCGACTGCTATGATTTTAGAAAGGTGTTTTTTATATTCTCGGACTTAAGCCTGTTTCGAAAATGTGAGAATAATAAATATACCTACCTGTATATAACTTGTTTTTTATTTCCTACCTATACCTTAATCAGAAGAGAACCAAAGAAAAGTTGCGTCTACACCCAATAATGACATATTAATGTGTACGATTTTATCGCTTACAATTAAGGTCCGACTGAGATCTCGGTCTCGGTTACAGTCATTCTCGGCTAAGAATCAGGCCGAGATCTCGGTCTCGTTCTCGGCACAAAAATGCCGAGATTATCGGCCACGGCCGACACTGCTCACGACTAGTCAAATTTTTTTTTTGTCAAACGCTTCGTGGTCCTCTTCGCTTCGCTAGGTCGTACGCCTCATGTGGAGCCACGCACTAGATCCAGCCGAAGTGCCAGAGGGGATTCCTCTAGCACCTGAGTAGGAACTTCCCCACCAATGACAAGGTCTCGCATCTCCTAGAGGAACTGCCTGGAATCACTGGCCGTGATCATCTAGTGATTAGAACCACAGAATGTTAGGACCCTACGTTGTGCTTTGGAGCATATTACACAGAAATTTTCGTACGACGTTTAATCATATCATCGTGCCAAGTTTTTTAGCACTGTAGGAGCCTTAAGATCATTTTTTTTTGTTTTTCTAAAATGTTGCCACGTCTCCATTTAATCACTAAGTCATAAATTCTTCCACATGTACTTATTTATTTTCCCTGTATAATTCTGAGAACAAGATTTGACGTTCGTTTGACGCACCGTCACAACAAATGCATCGTCATATTATTTTTATACAATATTTAGTGTACTAATGAATTAAGAATTATATACGAAAATGTCTTATGGTACCATAAACAGTTGTAGGGTATCCGAAGTAGATTTTGACAGTTCCAGTAAGTACTCTACTACACATAATAATTCTATATAGGATGATCAAGATGCACGGCCAAATTTCAAGAAAAAAATCTTACCAGTCGTACCTATATGCGTACTTACCAGTATTAACAATTTTCAGGTTTCAATTATATCATAAAATCAAAGCAGAGCGAAAAAATTTGCTTCGGATCGACCACAAAGAGAAGTACCGATCCGATTGGTAAGTACTTGTCCCCGTTTCAAAAGAGAACCACCCGGGAGATGTTCAAAACAGGTCCGGGCTCGTACAGCATGGAAATTTATACGTCGTCATTGTATCCTATACTTGAAAAGGTAAACGGAGCTAAAAACACTCGCCGCACAGTGGATCAACCCAATGCAATTTGCTGGACATTCACAGCCATTATTATGCAAAATTTCTAACTTAAGTAATTTTTTGGAATAAATGTGTTCTAAAATCCTCAAATTTGTTAAAAATGGTCATAACTGTATTAGAGATAACTTACTGAATAGTGCAGGGGTGTTTTCCAGAATATATATTTTATTGGAATTTCTGTATTAAATCGACTATTACAAATTAAACTGCATAATTTCATATACTTATCCCAAAACTTAATGAACTTTTTATCATATTTTTATTCTATATGAATTATGACCTTACGATTTGTCCAGTTCTTTAATACCAACATGTATTCAATAACAATAATTTTCAGTCATATTATTTTATAATATAAAAATATTTAATGCCACTTACTAGGCGCCCCTTTGGAAAATATACCTACAGAGTGGCGCATTAGTGCGAGAAAGTCCAATATCGTCGTTGTTGACGTCGTTATGAAAAAAGTTCTATACAGATGTTGTATGGTTTAAAATGGTGCATATCCTAAAAAATATTTTGTTGTATACAGGGTGTCCCACAAAAAGTTATGATAAAGCTTTAAGTTTTTTTAAATTGCACCCCCAAATTTTCTGCACACAATTGGATATAGCATAAAATTTTGCATATAGTACAGCATCTTAATCTGATTCACGTAAAATATACAGAGCATATACAGGTCCATTTAAATGAAACAAGTTATTGCCGTTTAAAGCTAACAATAATTATTTAAAATAAATTTATAGACGCTTTGTATGAGGTAGTATTATTTTTATTATTGCAGTACTATATCTATTAAATACAAAAACTTCCGTAAAGTAAACGCCACGAATGTTTGGGAGTGATTCATCGCTTGATGAAGTTAGAATCGACACGCGCGCTATCATTTTTACATTAAAAACGTAAATTTTTACCGCAGACGTAGGTTTTTAAAGGCCCGGTCTAATCATCTGCCTGCGCTCTTCCTACTTATTCTAAAATGTTAGCGTGATTGACAAAGACGATACTATATCGCGTTTCTTTGATTGATTCGTTTTTATGCGTCAGTCCATTGGTGTGCTTGCAGTGCGACCAATGGGGCATTCCAGTTTATATTTATAAGCAAATATATGTTTTGACAAGACTTTGACAGTTAAAACAACAAATTACAACAGACTATATATTGATTATTATATGACTTGAAACACCACACGGCACTGGAATTAAGTTTTATGTGACCTTGAACAGATTGGTTCACATGGTAGCGACCGATGAATCACTCCCAAACATTCGTGGTGTTTACTATTTCATATTTGGTTTTAAAAACATAAATATGCCTAGAGAAATTTAGCATTAAAATTGTTATTGCTTTTTCACAAAATCGTAAATATTTCAAAAAGGAAAGATTAAAATGCGGTAAACCTTAATTAAATTACGTTTATTTTAATCGTTAAAACTAAAAATGTAATAATATACAGGGTGTTCCATTTAAAAAATACAATTTTGATATTTTTTATTTATTTGGGACACTCTGTACGTTTTGCAAATAAATTTAAAGAGTAGCTTTAGTGGTCCATCAGCAATCACATCCTCATAATTACCGCAAATCTAATCATTTGGCTACAATACTTCGTGTCGAATAGCGTGAACAACCCTGTATATTTTTAACTGATAGCTGATGTCAGGCAAATTTTCTATAAAAAAATAAATATGACGAACGAAATATTGTTAGTTAGTGGTCAAAGTTAATAGTAATTAGGAAATACTTGTGGAAATAATGTATTTAGTATTATATACCGGGTGCGTCTCAAAAGTGGCTCACCCCTATAACTTTTTTATTTTTTTCAGATAAAAGAGATTAAAGTTAAACGAGATTTGGTATGTCACTATGTGACATAAATTAGGATTGATTGACGTATTCAATTGTTTTCTGTCACTTCCTGTTTCACCGGAAATGACTATAACTTTTGATTTTTAAACGGTACCCTCGGTATTTTTTTACTTTATTCGATAAAAAATGAAACTCTGAATCGAATGACATGTCATATGTCAACTTTTGACATATTCGCTCAAATACAAATTGTATTTTAAATTTCAATCTAGAGTGGCTGTGTTAAAAACACTAATTTTTAATCAAGGAGCCTTGGAAAAATAGATTTGATCGTCTTATATTTTTAGTGTCTTGTCCTGGCCGGTTATAAAATGCCCAAATCGTATTTTTAATCATATCTCAATTTTTTCAAATGGATCAAGGGTGGCTCATTAGCATATTTGGAAAAAGCATTTTTTTACGAATAATTTGATACTACACTCTTGGTATTTCGAGTCAAATTGTTGTTCTGAACCGCACGTTATACCATATGCGAAAATGTCAAAAGTTTACATATGATATGTCAATCTATTGAGAGTGTCATTTTCTATCGAATAAAGTAAAAAAATACCGAGGGTGCCATTTCAAAATCAAAAGGTGTAGTCATTTCCGGTGAAACCGGAAGTGACTGAAAACAATTGGATATGCCAGTCAATCCTAATTTATGTCATATACTAACATACCAAAGCTAGCTGTTTTATCTGAAAAAATAAAAAAGTTATAGGGGTGAGCCACTTTTGAGACGCACCCGGTATAAGCCGCCATCTTGAGTTCTTGGAAAAATCAAATTTTGGACTAAAATTAAATACTTTAGGGTTATTTCTCTTCAGAATTATTCAAATCAGACTAATAGATCTAAAACAAAAGCAAATGTCCATATTTCCGTATACCTCGATCCACTGTGCGCCGCGCCGCGCCGCGCCGGCGGCACGAAAAACCGGAATTTTGAATTTTCATGTATTTAAAGTTTAATATATATTTTGTTCTAGAGGGCTGATTTTAAGGATTTTTTAAGCAATTTGTAGATAGATTATTTGACTTTTTAGTATCTCTTTCTAAATTAAAAATGAAAGTTCCCATCATAGATAAATGAAAGTTCCCATCTGTCAATTATACAAGGAAGGAGAAAATGTTGATATTTTGCTGAAAGTTTGGAACACCCTGTGGAATATGTCAAAAAAGCAAGGAATGTGGAAATAATTTTATCACCTAGGCACATCTTTTCTCGATAGTTTGGTTTTTGTTGGAGATATTCGCTTTTGTAGAAGACACTACTTCGTTGTCGACACTACTTTCTCAATAGCTTTTAGCTTTATTTTTGTTGGAGATATTCGCTTTTGTAGAAGACACTTCGTTGTCGATACTACTTTTTCGTAATTTTTACATTAAAACAATGCCTTTGCTTTTCGTTGCAGTCAACAGATATGAAATAGTGTCTATGATTTATGTAATGTCACTGTTATTGAAAAATCATGTTATTATTGTCTGTTGGCTGTTGAGCAGTTACTCTAGCAGAGATGGCTTTAAGTCCAGAAGTTGCATCCGCTAAAGCTTTAACTGAATATGACAGAGATGAAAATTATATCGCTAACAGATTTAGGTGTGCACGAAGTACAGTGCAGTCGCTTCCTCGAGACAAGTTCATATGCTAGACGTCCAGAAACCTTCGAATCGAGAGAACTTATTGTAAGTTTACTGCTAAGAAACCGCCGTTTGTCAGCTTTTCAAATTTATAATTAATTGCGCCTATGGAACATACATATGTTAGTGAACGGACTGTAAGAAGAAGATTAAACGAAATCTTATATCAAGAGGGCTTGCTTCGGGACTAGAACATACACGTCTGCGTCTGTTGACTACGACCAAAAGCAAAGGCATAATTTTAATGTAAAAATTACGAAAAAATGTTGTCTTCTTCAAAAACGAATATCTCCAACAAAATTAAAACTATTGAGATAAACCAAAAAACAAACTATCGAGAAAAGATGCACCTAGACGATAAAATGATTTTAAAATTCCTTGCTGTCTTAACATAATCCACAGTGTGTTTTAAACATACACCAAAATATCGACATTTTATTCTCCCTCGTATAATTGACAGATGAGAACTTTCTTTTTCAATTTAGAAAGTGATACTAAAAAGTCAAATAATTTAGCTATAAATTGCTTAAAAAATCATCAAACTCGGCCCACTAGAACAAAATATATTAAACTTTGGTGACGGATTCAAATAGAAAAATAAAAGAGCATAAATGGTAAACTTTCAAACGTTTTTGCATTTAAGGTGAGAAGTAAGAAAGGTGTAGGTCCACTGGGAAGTTCCGACAAACGCTTTAAAGATTTCAGAGTTGTAAAAACCCCGTCGCCCAACAGATACAACCTGTCCCAAGAAAGAGAAGTGAAACCTTCAGCGGCACCTTTTGGAATAAAGGCTAAAATAGTTCGAACCTCTACTAATGACATTCCAGGGTAAGACTTCTTGTGTATTGCTTTCTATACAATACAATTTTATTTTAATAGATTTATATCCGATTATTTTTTTCTTATTATACAGGGTGTTTCTCTCGTGGGGAGATTCCTCACCTAAAAATAAGATTTATTTTTCATATCAACATGGATCCGATTCTGCTTTGTTTCGTAGCTACAGGGTGTTAAAGTCTTAATATTTAGTCTTAATATTATTTTAAAGTTACTATAAATGCTAATATAGCTAAAAAAGTGTCGACATATTCACCAGGGACGTGATAATGGGTTATCACTGAAATATTTTTCTAAAAAAAGCATGTACGCCACTCGTGTGGCAAGCATGTTTTTCTCTTGTTAGCGAAATAGTGTAAGCAGTTTAATGCTGATTAAAAGTTGTCTCTCGATATTTAATTATATATATAATAATAATATATAATACAGGATGTTAAAACTTTTTAAAATTAGTTTTTTTAAATACGATTATATTTTTATTAGAAATTGCTGTATGTTAGACTAATAGTAATAATAAGTAATAGTAATAATATTTTATAATAAATTAGGTAAAATATATAATTTATTAATTTTATTTTAATGGTATTAAATTGTGGATTAATTAATACAATTGCGTTTATCTTATCAAGGAAACCGTATTCGACAAAATATCAAGAGATAACTTTTAATTAGCTATAAACGGCCTACGCAATTTTGATATTAAAAGAAAAGTCAGTGGCGCACATGTTTTTTTTTGAAAAATATTCCAGTGTTAACCCATATGCATATCCCTGATGAATTTATCGACACTTTTTTAGAATTAAAATATGTAGCATTTACAGTAACTTTTATCCACAAAATTTCATTCAAATCACTAAAAGTATTGGGAAGAAAATTATAATAAATCAAAAGATTATTAAGACTTTAAAACCCTGTAGCTACGAAACAAAACTGAATCGGGCCTATGTTGATATGAAAAATAAATATTATTTTTACGTGAGAAATCTCCACACGAGAAATGGCACATGGTTTTTGAAACACCCTCTATACAGGGTGGTCCGAACTGTATTCCTGAAAGGTAGTCGGCAGCATATTCTGCAGATAAAAATAAGTAAAAAAGTTCGTATAAGTGTATGTCCTAAAATGCTTAGTTTCGGAGATACAGGGTGTAGAAGTTTCATTTTTATTTTGATCTTTTCCAAATAATTTAAGAAGTAATTATCAATATTTGGATGAAATTTGGTATCAGAGAGTTTCTTGATATGGGATATTTGATTTTGATGTCAATATGACTCCTACTAGTAGAGGACGCCACCTACATGTGTCTTAACTATTTTGAAGCGTATTATAATAACTTTTTGTCCGTACCTTTATAAAACTACCGAGCGAAAAAATATACATCTCTGTGACTTTTTACGTATAAAATATCTCTTTGTAAAAATCGCTATGCGCAACCGTTTTTAAGATATTTAGAATGGAAATAGTCAATACATGTCATTTTTGATGAAAAATAAACACGTTGACTAGATAGTTATTTCACTGAAATAATAAATTTGGGAAATTTTTATTTCTTTAAATTAATCATAAATTTTTCTGCAAAAAATGATGATGACAGTTTTTGTTGAACTTTTAGCACAAAAACATTTTAAATTTATGATTTTAGTCTAATAACTATTTAGTCAACATGTTTAATTTATGTCAATGATGACACGTATTGATAATTTCGATTCAAAATATCTCGAAAACCATTACTCGTAGCGATTTTTACCAAGAGACCTTTTTCACGTAAAAAACATCGTAAATGTATATTTTTTTACTCAGTAGTTTTATACAGGTACGGACGAAAAGTTGTTACTCTTCAAACCAGTTAAAGAACATGTAGGTGGCCCCTTTAGTAGGAGTCATATTGACATCAAAATCAAATTTCTCATGCCAAGAAACTCCCAGAAACCAATTTTCACCCAAATATTGACGTTACTTCAAAAATTATTAGGAACAAATCGAAATAAAAATGAAACTTCTACACCCTGTATCTCTGAAACTAAGCATTTTAGGACATACATTTATATGAACTTTTTTATTTATTTTTATCTGCAGAATATGCTGCCGAAGTTTCCGGAATACTGTTCGGACCACCCTGTATATTGACTATTGCCATTTTAAATAGCTTAAGAAACGGTTGCTCGTAGCGGTTTTTGCCAAGAGACATGTTTTACGTAAAAAGTCACGGAAATGTATATTTTTTTTTACTCAGTAGTTTATACAGGTACGGACGAAAAGTTATTACTCCCCAAAACAGTTAAAACACATGTAGGTGGCGCCCCACCTCCCAACATCATAATCAAATTTGTCATGTCAAAAAACTCCCAGATACCAATTTTCATCCAAATATTGACATTACTTCAGAAATGATTTGGAAATAATCGAAATAAAAATGAAACTTCTACACCCTGTATCACTGAAACTAAGCATTTTAGAACATACATTTATACGATTTTTTTACTTATTTTTATCTGCAGAATATACTTCCGAAGTTTCCGGAATACAATTCGGACCACCCTGTATTTTTTTCCTAAAATTATTATCAATTGTCATTCCCTAGCCGCCTTTTGACGCCGTTTTTTCAATCGCACGGTACAATTAATTAAAGAAATTGTTGTTTATTAGACCAGCCACCTATGACATCAGAAAGCTTCGAAAATGCCGCAGGATCAGATTTTCCAGTAATTTTGGTAGACCGAAATTGATGTATACGGTGGAAACGGTATGCGTACCGGTACCAACTGATAAATGCCGGAAATGCAATACGGTTTGTCAGGGAGATTATTGGCATCTGAATTATACGCAGTTCCTCTGTTCTTCGTGTTGGAACGCAGAAAAGTACTTAGAGGAGTTATTAAGTAAAGACGATCTTCAAAAAATGAAGGTAATAATTTTTACATATAGTTCATATCAAATAAACTTTTAGTCACGTGATTAAGTTTGACCGGCATAGCGTTGTCCAGTTTTATATATTTTCTTTTAATCAAATTGTTTTAGGAAACAAAAATAAATTATAAATATATAAACAGTTATTATTTACCTCAACAAAACTCACCTTCGTAACAGCACTTAATGGACATAAATGGCCATTACTACCGCTTTCCCGTTCAAAATATTCTAATAAAGTTGCGATGAATTTTTTACGGCTATTAAGCTATCTTGTACCGCTTCGCACTAAAAGAGGTTCTAAAAAGAACAATGTTCGACTCTTCGCAAGGTCTGCTATTAAACATTTTTAAGCTTAAAGTGTCACAACACTATTTATTTAAACCAAAAACTCGTAGTACAAAACCAGTGTCAAAACGAATGACAATGTCATTAAATAAATAAATAAATGCGGCAACTTGACATTTTTTATAGCAGAGCTACCACCTGAATCCTACGGCCTGAATGGTGTTAAAGTCTTAATATTTTTTTGATTTATATTTTCTTCCAAGTACTTTTAGCGCGTTTCGAATGAAATTTATTATAAATGCGACATATTTTAAAGCTAAGAAAGTGTCGACATATTCACCAGGGACGTGCATATGGGTTATCACTGGAATATTTTTCTAAAAAAACTTTAACGCCACTGACTTTTTTTCTCTTGTTAGCGAAATAGTATAAGCAGTTTAATGTTGATTAAAAGTTGTCTCTCAATATTTTGTCGATTTCGGCCTCCTTAATGAGATAAACACCATTTTATTAATTTGCCTTGATCCAAGTTTAATAGCAACCTTTAAAAAAAATTAATATCATTAACTTGCAAAAGTTTTAAATAAGTGCTCATTGCTTTTTCATAAAAAAAATATGAAAAAAAGTTCCTATAAACATGGGTATGGAAATGCAGAGTTTTAGAGTTACAGGATGTTAAAACTTTTTAAAATTAGTTTTTTTGAATCCCCAGTGGGAAATTTAAATTCCAGTCAGTCAGACGCCGAATATGTCAAATGTCAATGGTTGGCAACAATGAATTTAAAAGTCGCGCCCTCGCTTACGTTACTAAAAGTTTAATTGGTATGAAATATAATATATTTTATCTAAGTCAGTGAGTTAAGAAGCTCTTAACTCACGCATTTTGAGTGAGTTAAGAGCTTCTTAACTCACGCATTTTCATTACCGCACTCCTTGTTTACATGATTACCAAAGAGAAAAATATATTATTAAACTGACATAAAGTGTCAAATTCAACGAGCGTAACCATAGTTTCTCGATATAATTACATTCAAGGAATGACTTTTAAAATATTTTGTAAAACATTTATTTTGCACTAAATACCTACTAAATACAAATAAAAAACATGAAAACTTATTTATTATAAATGTTAATGATATTTCTGTTTCGATCTTGCTGGAAGCAATCCAGAAATGGCTCTGAATGGCTCTTCTTCAATGTCAGGGAATACTTTCCGAATCGCTCATTTTTTAAACTAGTGACATCAATATTATTTACTGTCATATTGACATGGTGTTATTTGAACAAAGGTATTAAGGTAATTAATTTTTAGGATATATATATATATATATATATATATATATATATATATATAGTTAAGTACAATAATTTTTAAAATTCATTGTGTGTTTTTATAGTTAGACGTAGATAACATATTGTACAATACACGCGAGTTAACTCCATTAAGATACTTGTGTGGTTACAACTTTCACACGCGTATCTTAATGATGCTGTTAACTCACTTGTATCGTAAATATCTATTTTGATATACTTTTAATTAAATTTTAACTCTAATTAAAAACAATAACTCCCTAATAATGTTTCTTAAAATCACTTATCTTCCCAAGTTTATAGTGTATTTTTTGAACACTCTAATATGTCTCTTTATAACACATATCTGTAAAAAACCTTAATAGAATATCATTATCATTATTTTGAGCTTATTCAACCATTTTCAATTATGGTGTAGCCTCCCTCACATATTTAGATACTCTCTTTGTATTTGGGCCCATTGCGTTGTTGTCTATTGTTGGCTATGGGGGCCCAAGTTATCCCTGTTAATTTCCTAATACCATTGTCCAATCACAGGTGTGGTCTTCTTCTAGGTCTCTTACTTCCTCGTGGGTACCATTTGTGGTCAATCTGTTGTCCGTTTTTCTTGCCAGGTGTCCTGCCCATTGTCACTTTGGGGATTTGATTCTGCGAATGAGATTATTACCTTTTGGGTCCTTTGTAGTATCCACTCTATTCTTTTTTCTTTTATGGTCTTTTTGGTTATTCCCCGCATATTTCTTTCCATTGAGCGTTGTGCAACTTGCATTTTCTTTATAATGTCCGTTTTAAGTGTCCAGGTTTCGTATGCATAGGTCATGACTGGTAATAATTGGTCGAATGTTTTCTTTTTTAGATAGAGTGGCATTCTAGATTTGAATATGATTGAATTTCTTCCATAAGTACTCCATGCTAACTTAATTCTTCTGTTGATTTCTGGTAGTAGAGATCCCGAGCTGTGTGTTAATTTAATTGTCCCAAATATATGCATTCTTCTACTATTTCCAGTGTTGTGTTATTTATTAGAAGTATTTTTTGTCTACTAGTTCGTTGTACATTACTTTAGATTTAATGGAATATATCCCTATACCGGGTGCGTCTCAAAAGTGGCGCAAAAATATAGCGCTCTACGACCAAAGAAAATCGTCAAATTGATTTACCAAGGTTAATTATGGAGGATTTTGATGTAAATAATATACTGTGTGAGATAAAAATTATTGTAACACCCATACCGGGCGCTTCTCAAAGGTGGCTCACTCCTATAAGTTTTTTGTTTTTTTTTTCAGATAAAAAACGAGATTTTGTATGTTAGTATATGACAATCAGGATTGATTGACGTTTTCAATTGTTTTTGGTCACTTCCTCTTTCACGGGAAAAGACTACAACTTTTGATTTTTAAATGGCACCCTTGGTATATTTTTACTTTATTCGATAGAAAATAAAATATAACACTCTGAATAGAATGACATATCATATGTTAACTTTTGACATTTTCGCTTAAAAATCGTATTTTAAATTTCAATCTAGAATGCCATGGCCGTGTTAAAAACACTAATTTTTAATCAAGGAACCTTGGAAAAATAGATTGGATTGTCTAATGTTTTTTTCGGGTCTTGTCCTGGCCGGTTAAAAGATGCCCAAATCGTAATTTTAATACCTCAATTTTTCAAATGGAACATGGGTGGCTCGTTAGCATATTTGGAAAAGGAAAAAGCATTTTTTTATGAATAATTTGGTGCTACACACTTGGCATCTTGAGTCAAATTGTCGTTATGAACCGCATGTTACAATTTCAAATAAACCATATGCGGAAATGTCAAAATTTGACATATGATACGTCATTTTATTCAGAGTGTCATTTTCTATCGAATAAAGTAAAAAAATACCGAAGGTGTCATTTAAAAATCAAAATTCTTTTCGGTCACTTCCTGTTTCACCAGAAATGAAAACAACTAAATACGTCAATCAATCCTAATTTATGTCATATTCTAACATACCAAATCTCGTTTTTTATCTGATAAACTTAAAAAGTTATAGGGGTGAGCCACTTTTCAGACGCACCCGGTATAATGAAGAACAATATATTGCTCCGTTTTTAATAAGTACTACTATTTTAGAAAATTCGAAATTGCGCATTTATGCATAACCACGAAGGTACCAACGCGGCTGAGATTATCTTATCGCCAGAAGCGATTAGGAAGAAAATTTACTTAGAAAATTATCTAGATTTGTATATGAAATGTTAAATTACAAAAGAAATTTATTAGGTAATACAGTTTTTGTAAATATTAAAAAATGTTTTATTTTTTATCTTAAAATACCTTTATCTACCCCAGCATCCTTCAGGCACAAATCTACGCTCTCGAAAGATGCGTACAAGAAATTGCCATCTTATCCGATACTCAAGCAGCATTAAAAGTGATCAACTTAGTAACAATCAATTCGAAGTTGGTCAAAGAATGTCTAGAGAAGGTGAACAAATTAGAAAAAGAAAAAAGCCCTCCTACTCTGGGCGCCTACCCTTGCGTGGGGAAAATGGGGAAACACCGGAATACCCCATCAAGTACGCCGGAGTGCGCCGAGACGACCAGCATTCGTGCCATGGAGTTTGGTACGACTGATATCGGAGATGGAGAACTAACCTCTGTAAAACCGTGTCAGATACTGGCTTTTGTCAAAGCCCCGAGACTGTATGAGTTATAACTTAAGAAAGAGACACACAATAGATCTGTATGGTCGCGGTGATACCCCCGTCCCATACACTCTACATTCTACTACTGTGAAGACAGATGATCTAAACACATTTCTTTCCTTTAAAATTAGTGAAAAAATAACAAGAACTAAAAAAGTTCCTAAATAAATCAGGCTATACAATTTTTTTTGGTCAAATTTCATTTTTTAATCAGGTTATAGCATATGATCGAAAAAAACGGCGTCCAGTTGGCTTGGAAATGACGATCGATGACATTCCCATATAATTTTACATATAAAATGACAGCGATCTTCATTTCATAGCCATTGCTCACGCCGTTTTTTTTTTCGATTATACGGTAATAGAACGTGCATATTATTTAAAAAAAACTCCAATGTTTATAAATTAATACAAAATAATTTATTAAAATATATTACAATTATTATTACCTACATTTATATTAACAAATATAAATTACAAATACGTGTATAGTAATTTATATGTTACAACGTCAGAAGTAATTTATATATTACAAAAATATATACAATATTGCATCTTAGAATAAATTAAGTTTCAAGTTTAAATAGAAGCCAGTTAAGGTACGGTTTAAATGATATGCGTAATTTATTATAGGTTAGGGTTTCTGATCCCAAAAAGCAATCGTTGTCAATCCATTATTACGTGGTTATTTCACTGCACAAAATTAATAAACATTAATAACATCGTAAAGGTAATATTTTTTTATATACCGGGTGGTGCATCAGCATCAATTATTGGTGACCCTGCTGATTTTAAAGCCAAGTCATAAATAAGTTTTTTAAAGGTCTGAATACTCATGCCTAGCCGATTTTAAGTAATTTAAGAAAAACTGTATCTATTTTTAAATTAAAACTGAACCAAGGTAAAAATGTAAAACCAGTCAAAAGTCAACATAGTACCTTAAGTTGTCAATCTATGACTTTATCATTGTCAGATGTTATCTGTTGTGCTGCCTACGCTACTACGTTATAGTACCCACTGTGTCCCCGAAATGCATTTTTGTAATTTAAAATTGATTTGAATGAGACAAAAGCCTAACGTATGCACGTATATTCGGCATACGCAAACCTTTAAAAAACCTATTTACGACTGCGCTGTAATATTAACAAGAGAGACAATATCTGGAAAGTTCAAAATTCGCATGCGATTTCCTATGTTTACAACGACGGTGCACCACCGGGTATAGCAATGACAACAGTGTAGTCAACGGGAGATGAGATCACATAGTGTCAGTTGTCAAACTTAATTTAACTTGTTAAATCCGAAATAGAAGAGCAGAAGACCTTAATATTATATTATCCCATACGTTTTATTTGTGCGAAAATGTATGGGATAATGTAGTATTAGTACAATATGATCGAAAAAAAAACGGCGTCAGCAATGGCTATGAAATGAAGATTGTTATCATTTTAAATTATAATTATGTAAAATTATATGGAGAATGTCATCGGTCTTGATTTCCCAGTCAACTGAACGACGTATTCTTCGATCATACGGTATAATATACAACATTATAACATGTATTTTATCTGTGAGAAAATAAGTAAGGTCTGCCGGCCCTTGGATATAATATTACTCTATTCTGTAAATGTCAAAATTAAATTCATAATTTCTTACACTCACCTTGTCAACTCTCGACCAGAAATAAGACCCGTTCTTGAGCGCGATCGTTGTAACTGAGCTCTTCGTTCAGCTAAAATATACAGGGTGAATAAATGTTTGTTACGGATTAACTTTATAAATAAATTTTTGACCCCGATTTATCAGTGCCGTTCTAATTTTATTCAAAATGTGTAAAAATATGATGTAGGGTAGACTCAATACTTTATTGTTTTATTTTGCGTTGTCAAATGTTGGAGTTATTCAAATTGTTATAAAAATACATAATTGTAATAAAAATATATAAGTTATAATAATTATTTATTAACACAAACATCCGATACGCTACCGAAGCAGGTAAGTCAAATTGACGTATCTAAATTCTTCGACATCTAATCTTTGACAAGTAGTAAATAAAAGCAAAAATGCAAGAAAAAATATATAATCAGGTAATTTTAAGCGAATTTCATAAATTATGGGTTTACTACAAGTATGTATATTATATAGTCACTTACTAGCGAAGAGATTCCATTATTTCCATCTATTTTTGACCGAGATCTAGCTCATGCTATACAACCAACTGTTTCACAGTCTTTTTCGATAAATCGCAATTAAGTCACTGTTAATTTAAGTTCTGCCACAATTTCCTTCTAGATTTACTATCTCTAAACAACTACCAGTTGTATATAAATAATAAATAACATAAAATAAGGCCGGTAAAGACAGAGAAATCCACAAAATTTCAAATCAAATTCGATTGTGTCAAATGAATCGTCAAACAGAACTGTCAAGGATTCCCACCCTAGGGCCCCACCTCTATCTACCACGCATGAATACAGGGATAGCATTAAACTTCTTCCTTATTTTTTTTATTCAAAGAATTAACTTGACATAAATAAATATACATACCACCTGCCGGTCTGGATCCTCTCTTTCGTTTCTGAGCACCAAAAGCACTACCACTTGATAAAGCTTCCAACAAACTAAAAGAAATTTACAAATAATAACACATATTAAGAAAAAAATTAAGGAAACACATTTAGAAAGAAAAAATAAACACTAACCTATCCATAACACCTTCTTGGTTCTGTTGCGGATTCATATCTATTAATTTCCGTTTATTTCTTTCTTCTTTGTCTTGTTCCTGTTTCAGTTTAGCTAAACGCGCTTTTTCTCGTTTCTCTTCTAGTTCTCGTTCTTTTTGATTCTCCTCTGCCGCACGCTTTATTGAAAAAAAAGAATAAAATTATACTCAAAGAAGTTTCTGAGGGATCGAAGAAGTTTCTGAGGGCTTATGATTCGAAGAAGTTTCTGAGGGCTTATGATCAAGAAAAATCACAGATCTTCCTGGGTCTGAGTAAGAACAATCTTCGGATTGTCACGGGGTTTTTAACAGGACACTGTCTCCTCAATGAACACCTCAGTAGATTGAAACTAAGAAGAAACGGCGAATGCAGATTCTGTGGGGAAGATGGTGAAACACCAGTACACCTCATCACTGAGTGCGCCGAGACGACAACCATTCGTGCCATGAACTTTGGTACGACTGATATTGGAGATGGAGAACTACCCTCTATAAAACCGTCCCAGATACTGGCTTTTGTCAAAGCCCTGGGACTGTATGATGAGTTATGATTCAAGAAAGGGGGACACAATGGATCTGTAAGGTCGAAGTGATTAACCCCCCTCCCACTCATTCTACATTCTACATTCTTCTACTCGAGATATACAGGGTGATCAAAAAATGCATGGACAACCTTCAAAAAATTGATAATTTTCATATTTTTTGATGAATAGGAATCACCCCCTGAAATGTGGTCGTGCATTTCCCCTACACCCTGTATATGCAGTGAATTAATTTTTAAACTTAACACTACTGAATTCTTTTAATCAAATTTCTTTTAATAATTGAATGTGGATGTAAAAAAATACTAACTATGAAATTGTCTTTGAAAGTTTTCAAGTCCGTGAAAAATTCTTCTAAAGTATATTTCTGTTTGTCGAACGCGTAATATTCGGCTAAGTCGCTGTACAGGCTCTCCATCTTCTTGAACATTTTCTGCAATATATCACACTGCTCGCTGGCAGATTCGGCAAATTTCTAAATACGGTCGTTAAGAAAAAAGTAATTTTAAGTTAACGGAAGGAATGGAAAAGCAACCTAGCAATGAACACTCAAGAGATAGGAGTCTACACAAATGCTTTCGTGACTTCAGGAGGCACAGGTATCTTCTCAGAGGAACTAGACACCCTACGATCTTTAAGAAAATAGTCAAAAGACATAGAGTCTAATCAAGAGAGAGAGTTAGAGAATAATTAAGAGTTAGGGAATAGCTAAGAATTAGATAATAATCAAGAGAGAAATGCAGAATAATAGATTTAGAGAACAACTGTGAGAGTTAGAGAATAGTAAAGATAGTTAGAGAATAGTCAAAAGTGTTTGAGAATAATCATGGGAGATACTAAGAAAGCAGTCAAAAGAGAGAGTTAGAGAATAATCAGAAGAGAAATGCAGAATAATCAAGAGAGTTAGAGAATAGCCGTGAGTGTTAGAGAATAGTAAAGACAGATAGAGAATAGTCAAAAAAGTTACTTAATAATAGTGAATACTTAATAAAGATATTAAGAAAATAGTCAAAAGATATAGTTAGAGACAGAGAGTTAGAGAATAGTAAAAAGCGTTAAGGCATACCCGAGGAATTAGAGAATAGTCAAGAGAGGAAGTTAGAGTAAGAGATATTATTTTAAGAAGGTATATCAGGTGTGCCCCTTTTATATGTTAAATTTGTTGAACCTAGATTAAAAATATCCCTTTTAAGTTCTAACACAATATCTCCTTCTAACCAACACAATATATATAATAAGCTCAGAGCAGCACCAAATTCCCAATATTTCAAGTCAAATTCGAATGTACCAAAATGTAGAACATTATACTCCTTTATTAATTTCTTTGATCCAAAGGCTGGATATGTTAAAAAATAGAACAAAGGATACGTCCATTACGTCAACAAATTTGTCATCGTCACTCTGAGGTATCCTGTTGTTTTGTAGGTCGGTTTTTAAATTTTTTAAATTATTGTCCATCTGTTTCAACGTTTTCTGTATCGTATCCAAAGATACTCTGCTTGCTCTATAAATAAAACATGATAAAAATAAAAAAATTCTAAAATATACAGGGTGAGTCATAAATAGTGCAAATATTTTTAGGGGTAGTATATTTTAACGTCAGAAAACCATCTATGAGGTTTTATTTTAATAAAAAACATATATGTAATATGGTATAAACAGGGTGTCCCAGAAATAAGTGCAAATATTTTAACTGGTAGTATAGTTCAACCCCAGAAACACGCCTATAAGGTTTATTTTGCGAAAAAAAAATGTTGAAAATTTACAATTTTTCTCGACATTTTCCGGGAAATTTGAAAAAACTTTTTAGTGCCACTTGTTTATTTACCTGATATTTCCCTACGGTGTATCTAAACCTTGCAGTGTTGCAACCTCCTATGTTATCCACATTCTACATAGTTCGGCGGAACATAGTTCTATATTTATAAATTCATAGACAAATTTCTACTCAAAAAATTAGGAATGTTAAATTTAACCTTGTATCAGTGCTCATTATTAATAATTATAGAAAAAAAACACATTAATTATTTTTAGTATTTACCCTTTCAATGAAAACTTAACAAAAACCACCGAAAATTAATTAAAACATTACGTTTATGACGTTTACGAAAATCTTTGTTATGCTGCAAAATAACTTTATTTTGGAATAAATTTAATAAAATGATTCATATTATTCACAATCAGGTCACAAAAAGAAATTCCTAAAATGTTTATCGTAATTTAGAATTCAATTCAAGAAATTTAGAAAACAGCCCAACGAATTTTGTTTTGTTTATTTTCTTCTCTGTTTTATTTGAACCACTGTTTTACAAAACACCTTGAAAAGCGCACATTACTTTGAATACCTTTCTGAATGAATAAATGTTGAGAATTATTGTCTCTTATCGCCACTTTACGAACTACTTTCAATCTAAGAAAATACATGTTTCACTAAACAATTATTGACAACTTATTTTGTTTTTTTCGCTATTTTTTCGATGTATTTCGACAATTCCATCGACAGCCTAACCGTCAGCCAAGAACTGCCGCGTGTGAACTGGTCCTTTGAGTCGCCGGTCGCCGCGCCGCACATAGGTCATTTTCGCTAATTTAGGCGGTAATAAATAATGCCTTTTAAAATTTAAATTATTTTTAAAACAAAAATAATTTGTTTGGTAAGAAAATAAATAAATGCGTGGGATAATGATATTTTCTTTCATTTTATGCTTGTACAGGGTGTCTTACGAAATATATTATTATTTTTTTTCATTTTATTATATCGAACTCAAACAAAAACTGTAGTTCGTTACTTTTTTGTAAGTGAATTTATTAGTATCTAGAAGGTTTACAGAAGATGTACTGTATTAGTAATTGAAAGTAAAAATTAGCTTGAACAATGAAAAAAACAACCTAAAACATTAAACAAATATAAATAAAATGATAATAACACTATTTTACTAGAGAAATTTATGTAATAATATTTTTATTTAATCACTATCGATATCCTCGTCACTACTAAGGGTACCAACATAGTGAAGCATTTAGATGCGATACTCGCCGCGATGCATCCTACGCGCACGTTTTAAGCACTGTTTTAAAACAACGAGTAAGTGCGCGTAGGATGCATCGCGGCGAACATCGCATCGAGATGCCTCGCTATGTAGGTACCCTTTTAGAGACATAATATTGATGATCATCATCATCCTGACTAATATTTTTATCAAACTCTGATGCCTGTAAAGTAGGCTCTGGAAGTAAATTAAGTACTTCTTTGATAAGTGGTTCCTTATTTGACCGTGCTCCCACACATTTAGACAAAGAGTAATAATAATAATAATTACATTTTTTAATAATTTTCACTATTTCATTATAATGTTCGTCGCCAACATGTTGCCCTAAATTTAGCGTATTCAGAACAAATGGCAAAACAGATGCATTTTTTTCCTTCAAAGAATTGCCTTCACACCAAGCAGAAAACAAGAGAGATTTTTCTATTGACATGGTACCTAAAACAATATATATTTACTCTCTTGGCACATCTTGGCAGTTAAATTTAGGATAGATTAATCGATAAAAAGATTGTGAATACGAAAAAAATGTTCTTGAAATAAATCTGTATAAATCCTGAATTATAAACCTTTTAAATACAAAGTTATGAAAAAACTATTTTTTCTTATTATTAAAACATTGTATCTTTTCGCCAAGTCACAAGCTATTTAAACGGATATTATTTTTTTTTAATAATAAATCTTACCTTATGGTATACAATAACACAACACTACTTTTTAAACTCACCTTCTATTCGTAACAACAAAATTCGAAACTTTATGAACTAATGACAGTAATTTTACTATGCGAAATAATTCAAACAAACTTTGACATTGTCATTCTGGCCATGGCCACTTCTGTTAATATTAAAATATAATATCGCAGATATAATATCTATGGGGCCCTACCTCCAAGATGAAATATAAAAAATATTTTTTTCGACATTCAATTTTTTTATTTATTAATTCCTAAAATACATAAATGACCTATGTGCGCCGTCGTGGCGGCTTGCGTCAGACGACGATGTTAAGCAACATTGCCGTAGTTACAACAATTTCAAATTCAAGACATTCGAAGCAGTCAAATTCGTATTAAATTTTAAAAATAAAACAGAGAAACATGAAAGGAAATAAACAAAACAAAATGAATTGATTATTCGTCGGGCTCTTTTCGATGTATTGAATTCTGAATTACGATAAACATTTTAGAAATTTCTTTTTGTGACCTTTATCAATAACCAATTCATTTGTGTTTTGTTCGTTTCCTTTCATGTTTTTCTGTTTTATTTTTAAAATTTAATAAGAATTTGATTGCTTCGAGTGTCTTGAATTTGAAATTGTTGAAACTACGGCAACCTCGCATGACGCAAGCTCGACACGGCGGCGCGACAAAGGAGCAGTTACCAGTGATGCGCCGCTCTCTTGGCCGACGGCCGACGCGACGGTTGGGCTGTCCATAGAATTGTTGAAATACATAGAAAAAATAGCGAAAAAACAAAATACGTATTTAAAATTGTTGAGTGAAACATGTATTTTCTTAGATTGAAAGTAGTTCGGATGGTGGCGGTAAGAGACAATAATTCTCAACATTTATTCTTTCAGAAAGGTATTCAAAGTAATGTGTGCTTTTCAAGGTGTTTTGTAAATCAGTGGTTCAAATTGTGATGAGGCCTATATGAAAATAATGTGTTAAAAACGGGGACTGTTATTTTAGTAGTTATTATAATAGCATGTACAAGTAAAGCAGCACAGTGAAGTGTATTTTAGTTAAGTGTATATCGAAAAAGAGAACTGTCATAGTTACATCGATCTGTCTCTATCTTTTTTAATGTTGGGTAAGTTTTTTAATTTAACTTTTTTAACACATTTTTTAACACATTATTAAACATTTAACTTTTAATTTATTTTATGTAATAATATCACAATCTTAAAAATGTAATGCATCTCTGCAAACTCCTTACTTTCTTGTCCCTATGGCAACACAGTGCGTCGAATTAACTGAAATCCGGGCTTGATCCGGGTAATTGGATGTAGTTGGCGATATCTGCCGGCGGTTCTCAAAATGTTGCGATTATTTTTTTAAATTTTCAAAGTTAAATAACTCGGTTATTTTCAATTTATTTTAAAAATAGTAAAGAGAAAATATGTTTATTTTGACCAGATCTACCACCCCTTAAAATGTCTGCACTCATTTCTGGGACACCCTGTATAAGATCTAGTGGTTCTCAAAGTTTAAAGAAAAAATATTTTTTTTTAATTTTCAGAGATTTTTTACCTGTCAATATGGGGCATCTCGTCGTAGAAATTCAATAGATCCGGCCATTTTGTCTCCACGGTCTCTAAAATGTAGTGAAGCAACGTGTGCTTGTTTTCGATGTCTTTCGTTCCAGTTAACTAGAAACATCCAATATTAAAAAAAAAATAATAATAATTATACAGGGTGTTTGAAAAATGTACACCGCCCAATTTCAGAGGGCGGGTGATTCCCTTGGTGATTCCTATTAGTCAAAAAATATAAAAAAGTTCCTAGAAATATGGGTCCAGAAATTAAGCGTAGTTTTAAAGTTACAGGATCTTAAACTTTTTAAAAAGAAACTTTTTTTGTAATTATTTTAAAAACCCTGTAGTCAAACTACTTGAAACTTATCAGTGTTATTTCTAGTAATAATGGCAAACACTTTGTTGAATATAATTATTGTGAAAAAATGTACGCGACTGACTTTTCTTGCAATTTTTTTAGAATTTCCAATTTTTTTAGAATAAGCAACTAAAAATACAACTTTTTTGCTCTTGTATCAGAATTCTATCTAGAACTGTTTTCGAGAAAAAAAAAACAAAACCAATTCATTGCAGGTGTCTAGACTCTGTGTGTGTGTGACTCTCTGTAACTAAAAACTAAAGTATTAAAATGATTAAAACAAATGATGTTAAGTGCTTCTAACAGAATATCATTTTTCATATTTTTTGATGTAGAGAAACAACCCCCAAAATTGCGCTATGCATTTTTCAAACACCCTATATAATTAAATTGGGTTAAAACCATTATTACTTTAGTTAAAAAATTAATTTCAAAGCCAAAGGCACCGGCATTTTTGCTTCCGGAATTCATGTAGTTGCCCATCAGTAGTACCAGTTCTAGTATTCTAGCAAACTTTTTACTTTTCTTTACTTGTTCGCAGGCAGAGGTAGCGGCTATAATATCCTACAATAAATCAAATATTATTATTATACCTTATTACTGAAGAAATCTTTGAAGAAAAAATCAGCGTCCAGCTTGTCCTGGCATGGAAATGGAATCGATGACATTTCCCATATAATTTTACATACAAAATAACATCAAACTGCGTTTCCACTAGGGTTGTTAGACGTCCGAAGACTCCGGAAAAATCATTATAATATCCCGGAAAGCGTTAAGCAAATTATAAAATTAAATATTATAATGTTCACAAAATAAAATAAAATACACACTTATACTTAATAGTATTCCGTCACATTTTTCGATACCTTCGTTCCTTTAGGATATCTACTTTGAATAAGAAGACTAAGGAAGGAGCATATCAAAAATCTTAGGTACACCGCGATGGGCCTCAAATATGGCCGACTTAAATTCCGGTTTATCAGTGCCGTTCTAATTTTATTTAAAAAATGTAAAACTATGATGTAGGGCATTGTGTAGGGTAGACGTGGGGTAGACTCAATAATTTGTTATTTTATTTTACGTTGTGAATAAATGTTGGTAGTTATTAAAATTGTTATAAAAATATATAATTCTAATAAAAATAGATTTCACTCAATTTTTGCCGAGATCTACCGCACGCTACACAACCAATTATTTTAGAGTCTTTTTCGATAAATCGCGATAGTGTCACTGTTAATTTAAGTTCTGCCACAATTTCCATCTAGATTTACTACCTTTATACAACTATCAGTAGTAGAATAAATAATAAATAACATAAAATAAGCTCCGTAAAGACTGACAAATCCACAAAATTTCAAATCAAATTCAAATGTGTCAAATGGATCGTCAAACAGAACTGTCAAGGATCCCCACCCTAGAGTGCTTTTTCCGCCCACCATGCATGAATACATGGATAGCATTATGCTCCTTCCTTAGTCTTCTTATTCAAAGGATACCTAGTTATTTACCTTCATTTATGTGATGTATTTACCTCAAAAGAGACTCACCCTGTAACTTTTTTTATTTTTTTAGATAAAAAAACGAGATTTGATAGGTTAGTATATGATATAAATTGGGACTGATTGACGTATTATTTCCTGCTTCACAGGAAATGACTACAACTTTTGATTTTTAAATGACATCCTCAGTATTTTTTTTATTTCATTTGATAGAAAAATACATTCTGAATAGAATGACATATCATGTCAACAATGACATTTTCAGTTAAAACAAAATTGTATTTTAAATTTCAATTTAAAGACTGCCATAAATGTAACTACAATTTGACCCAAAATACCAAGTATGTGGTACCAAATTATTTGTAAAAAATGCTTTGTTCTAATATGCCAATGAGCCACCCTCGTCCCATTTGAAAAAATTGAGATATGATTAAAAATATAAGAAGTTTTTAACACAGCCATGGCATCCTAGATTGAAATTTAAAATACGATTTTTTAAGCGAGAATGTCAAAAGTTGACATATGATATGCTCTTCTATTCAGAATGTCAGTGTCTATTCAATAAAGTAAAAAAAAATACCGAGGGTACAACAGACGGGGAAACAGAAACTGACCGAAAATATACTAATAAAAAAAATATCTGAAAAAATAGAAAAGTTATAGAGGTGAGCCACTTTTGAGAAACTATAAAACATATATTAAACAGTTTAAAATACTTACCGGTTTCGTATCGTGAACCATTTCCACAAAATGGTGCTTGAAACTGATGGATTTCAGTCTCGGTAACAGTCTTTTAACTTCGGACATTTCCACGCAGAACTGTTCCGGTTCCGTCAAGTCCTTGTACTGACCTCGCAGTTCTCGCAGCATCGTCAATTGATCCGGCGGCGGCAAATACTATATTAACACGCATTATATTCAATTACTTATATTATTTCATCGTTAAAATTAACGACAATAATATCCTAGAATTAGAGAATAATCAAGAGAGTTAGAGAACGGGGGCAAATACTATAATAATACCCTGTATATTCGATTATTTATATTATTCCACCGTTAGAATTAGTGACTATAATATCCTAGAGTTAGTGAATAGTAAAAAGAGTTAGAGGATAGTAAAGAGAGTTAGAGAATAGCCAAGAGCGTTAGAGAATAGCCAAGAGAGTTAGAGAATAGTAAAGAGAGTTAGAGAATAACCGAGAACGTTAGAGAATAGTAAAGAAAGTTAGATAATAGTAGAGTTAGAGAATAGCCAAGAGCGTTAGATAATAGTAAAGAGAGTTAGAGAATAGTCAAGAGTGTCAGAGAATAGTAAATAGAGTTAGAGAATACTCAAAAGATCTATGGTATAGTGTCAAATGGAATTTAGAGAATAGTGAAGAGAGAGTTGAAAATAGTAAAGAGAATACTGTAGTACCAATACCTGTATCAACTGTTCCGTAACGTTATCGGTTAATACGGATTCGTCGCATCTGAGCAGTGCTTTTTTGATACTCTCGTACTCCATGTGTTTCAGGGTACCGTTGAGCAAGATCCAGATGTTTTGAGCCGATTTTCCGTCCAGTACTTTCAGTTGCTTTGTTTTTTTCAACGTACCGCCATTCGTAACTCTAAAAATGAACAAAATTAAATAAAAAAATAAAAATAAAAAATATAAGGAAAGAGTTTAATAAGTCTTAGTTTTTTCGATATTTACCCGCTGCCAAGATCTTCTTTCGGAGTTTTTAGCGGTTTAGATGAGAATTTCTTCGCCAAACCGTCTAATATGTCCGGTTCCGCCAAATCTTCCTCTTTAGCTTTGACCCAAAAGGAATTTTCCGACAATTTCTGAGGCAAAATCTACCAAAAAAATTACATAAAATAGTTTCAAAGAGATTTTTTATTTGAAGCATATTTACGGTTTTCCAATTGGCTTTCTTTAAGGGTCCCTTCACTTCCCACTTTTTCTTAGGTTTCAATCCGTGAGGTAACGTAAGAACGGCTGCCCCTAGAGGAGGAACCATTCCCGGCAAAGGTACCATTCCAAAGGGAGGAGGGGGAGGTCCTCCAGGTCCTCCTGGTGGTGGGGGCGGAGGTCTGCCTGTCTGAGGAAACGGTGGTGGTAGGGGAAGTCCTGACAAAACAACAAAACTGTTTATACAAACGTGGACAAGATAATGATTGGGTATTGATAATAATAACCGGTTCACATGCTTCCGATCGTAATCACATGCTTCCGATCGTAAACCTGAATCGCTAATATTAGTCCCAATCTCATGGATATGAATCCATGTAAACGAATGCCAGCGCTATAGTGCCTTAGTACTAACAAGTTCTGAGAAATCTGGGATATTTTATATTCTCAGGACTAATGTTAATACCAAAAAAATAGAAGACGTTAGAGGAGAGAGAAAGAGCTAGAGAATGACTAAGAGTTAGAGAATAGTCAAAAGATAGCTAGAAAGAAGTTAAGAATAGTCGAGAAAGACTAAAAAAATAAATAAAAGATCTAGTTAGAAAATAGCCAAGAGAGAGTTAGAGAGACTAATCAAGAAAGAGTACGAAAATAGTAAAGATAGATAGTCGCGAAAAAGTTAGAAAATAGGCAAAAAAGGGATAAAAAATAGTCAGGAGTAGCCAAGAGTGAGTTAGAGAATAGTCAAGAGAGAAAGAAAGAGTTGAGAATAGTCGAGAAAGACTAAGAAAATAGTCAAAAGATCTAGTTAGAAAATAGCCAAGAGAGTTAGAGACTAATCAAGAAAGAGTTGGAGAATAATAAAGATAGTTATAATATTCGCGAGAAAGTTAGACAAAAGGAAAAAGTGAGAGTTAGAGAATACCCAATAGAGAAAGTTAGATAATAGTTAAGAAAGTTAGAGAATCATCAACAGAATTAGAGAATAGTGAAGGGCAGTTAGTAGACAGGCAAGAGAAAGTTAGAGAGAGAGTGTGTTCCATTTAACTTGTGACCTAATAGACACTGACATATTCTTTTATAAAATTTAATTGGTTTTTGCACGCTTTTTACGAATAATATATAATATATATAATCAATATAATTTGTGTACACTAAAAATACGAACTCACCTGGCATAGGCGGCGGTGGAGGTCCTCCACCCACCACTTTCCCAGGCATGGGAGGTGGGGGAGGGGCACCCATACCAGGCATTGGTGGAGGAGGCGGAGCAATTCCTGCAGGACCCCCTCCCATATTAGGCATGGGTGGAGGAGGAGGTGGGGGAGGTCCACCGGTACCTCCCGACTGAACGGCGTTAATTTTACTGACTAGAAGGGGGTCCAATTTTCCGGTACTTCCCGCATTTCCGGTAAGGTTTTGCATCAGCATTTCCACCCGAGCTTCCGCTTCGCTTTTGGCGGCCAGGGCTTCGTCTAGTTGGTTCTGGAGTTGCTGGTACCGTTCTTTGTTCTCTAATGGCGGCTTGTCTAATGATATTAACAATATCTATTACTATGATTACATATTTATTTGTGGAACTTATAACCCTAGACATATATACTTACATATATAATCTAGGATTACAATGACGTACAGTTAAAAAAAATATTTATTAAACTAAGGAAAAGCTTTTTTTTAATTTTTTTAAAAAAATTTGGAATAGGAAGAATTTTTTGAATTACCTTTCAAATATTGTCAAAAAAATCTTACCTCTTAATTCGTCCAGCAAAGGTTGCAGATCTAGATCGACGTGATTTTTTTTGAAATCGGGATCTAAGCCGGACTTGTGCAAAACGACCTGAGACACACATTCCTCAATAATTTTGAAATATGCCGGTCTGAAAATATGTATAACAAAAATCGTATGCTAAACCGTTTGATAAACCACATCAATAAAATAACAAAAAGTAAAAAAACTAAAATATAAGGTAAAAAAATTACCTTTTTTAATTTTTTTTCAGTTTACCTGATATTAAAATCGTCCCTTATGAACAACAAGTGCTGCAGTATACTGAGGAAATAGGGTTCCGATGCCGTTTCTAGGGTTATGTTTTTCAACACTTCGAAACAGTCTTGCATGTCGTCCATATCGATGCGTACTTTATCGAATCGATCGTGCAATTCGTCCGCGTCCGCTTCCTTCTCTCTTTCAAATACATCAAACTGGGTTTTTATTATCGGATTTGTCTCGTTCTTCAATTCAACTAGAACATAATATACACGGTGTAAAAAAAACAGTGTTAGAGAAGCTGAACAAATTAGGCAAAGATAATAAAGTCCTCCTACTCTGTGTGACAGCCCACCAAGGGATAGAAGGCAATGAAAAATCAAACAATCTGGCTCATTTTTAAGACCATTGGTAACCATTAGTAGAAGGTTCTTTCTCACAAAACTATAATAGAGAAAATTAAAGTAAAATGCCTTACCTAGTTTATCGTACAGTCCGTTCCTCACTATTTCGTTTCTTAAATGCATCCTATATTCGAAATCTTCGGTCTCTGATAACAGAGCGTTTATCAGCTGGAAGCACATGCTCTGAAAGCAAAGAAATATTCATAAAAAAATTGGCGGTGCATTTTTCTTCAATTTTCCTTCGTATTCTATAAATTCACTTACTTGCAATTCCGCATTATTAGTCTTTATAATTCCCCTGACTACAGGCAGAAACCGTTCTCTCTCTTGATCTTCTGCAACTTTTGTAATAGCTAACAAAACTTTTTTGACACCGTATTCTTCGCCTTGCGACAAAACACACACGGGAGCCAATATCTAAAACGAAAATGTCAAATACGCAACTCGAATAAATTGTTTTTGTTTAATTTATTTACCTTTAAGGCTTGAGTCATCACTTGAGGTTTCTCATAGTCCAAACACCTAGCCACGATTTCGTGCGCCTTTTCGTTAAGAAAAAAGTTTTTGATGCCCCACGTATTGTTCATGAACTTTTCCAGGCAACGCAGGCACTCATACTGCAGTTTCACATCGTTACTATGACATGATTAAATTTAATAAAACGACCGAATACAATATAAAACTATTGGCACTTACTGCTTTAGTCCCACCTCGATAATTTTCAGAATTATATCCATGCCATCGTTGCCAAATCTCTCCACCCAGCTGAGGGGATTATTGGCTAGTGCTACCCTCAGACTTTCCGTACACGAGAGAAGTTTGTTCAGTTGTAAATATTCGCCGCGAAGATGTTGCTCTAAGTACATGTGATAATCTTCGGGTTCGTTAAATCTATTTCCGCCTAAAATCATGACATACAGATTGTTAACTAGACAGTTACTTATAGGGGAACAGAATGGCAACACTGCCTATTGAGAACGCATGCACTTATAGGGTTTTCTGCCGACTCGTCCCGTCGCGTCGTCTACCGACGAGCGGGCCGAGGTTGCCATATTTCCACCATAAAGCTCTTGCCGCGAGTAATAAACAAATTAACAACCTGTATATTGTCGAGCGGACAAAGTAAGAGAAAAGCGAGTTCTGTAATCAACAGATATTCCAAGCCAGACAGCAGAATTTACTGGTAGGGGACAGAATGCTACAGAAAATTACAGAGTTACAGTGAGAAGTCCTGGAAGCAGCCGCTACAGTATATAAGGCGCTTCCCGCGCTCGGCAGTCAGTTGGTTTTTGGATAGTGCTCCGTAATAGAAAAATTTTGGATAACTGGCGAAGGTGCCGGAAAATAATTTTAATAGTCCGTTATACCGTATGATCGAAAAAAAATGGCGTCCAGTTGGCTGGGAAATGAACATCGATGACATTTCCCATATAAAGTGACAGCGATCTTCATTCCATAGCCATCGCTGACGCCGTTTTTTCTCGATCATACGGTGTTATTAGTAGTGTATAAAATGTGTATATAGTGTGAAAAATAAATTTGTTAAGTATTTTATCATGAGTTTAAATTAGTGGACCCACGGAATTCGTAACAATACCTTATATCTAAATCTAATTACTAGTTTATTTAATCTCTAATTAGTAATTTAATTAGAGAAACTTGGTCCATGTACACCTGGACCGCGTCATCCCGCCTTTAAGGTCAAGATCAGGTGTTATGATAGTATGGATCAAGTCAACCAGATGCTGCCATATAAATACCGGTGTTTCTCAAAAGTGGCTCACCCCTATAACTTTTTAATCACCAAAAAAACATTTTTATTGTATCTATCTCACCTGTTTCAGTTCTGTTTTTATTCTGCATGACCAACATCTTCCTCTTCTGATCCAGCGGCATATTGCGTAATGGTTTTTTCTTATCATCCTTCAGATTCATATCGCTCTGTAATAATTTGATGAAATGAATACAGTAAAAATGCTGACTTAAGTAGCTAATATGCTTTTATGTAATGGTTTAACATGTCCAAATAAAAAGATTAAGAAAGGACTATAATGAGACTGAATTAGAGATGAGCAAATGCAAGACAAAGACCAAGCCCGCCTTGGTCTTGGTCTCTCTCTTCTTATAATAATATACATATTCATATTAATACCCCATCGCGATCCCTCTAAGTTCTTTGCTATACTCATTTTATTCATTATTCTTAATCATTTTATTCAAAGAGTAAAATAATATTTATATTTGTAGTACCAACCAAAAGTTCTTCGAAATTCGTAATAACCTCTTCCTCGGACATGCTGTCAACTTGCTTTGAATAGTCCTCCTCGTCTTGTAAAATTTCACCCTCGGACGTAGGTCTAGGGTTCATCATAGATGTCGGTCTTTGACCAGTGGGCTTTCTTGTGGTACCCGTTTTGAACCATGACTCCAACTGACCAATAAAAAACGATTTTTAAAACACTTTAAATAAAAAAAATGTTCATTTTTTAATTCTGCATCTAATAAAAAAAATATATACAGGGTGTTCCATTTAAAAAAATGAAGAAAAATTATTTTATTTGTTTTAGAATTGTCATGAAATTTTGAACACCCTGTATGATTTTAGGTTTTGATATTTATAATAAAGTTAGTACAGACAAACTGTAGTAAGTACCTAGAATAGTTTTTATTTCTGAACACATCTTATATTTTTAATATTTTTTTTAAAGTCTGAAAATATATTTATATTTCGTTTATTTATTTACATCTCTGAAATTATCAAAACAAATCTAGTAATATCTTAAGACTATGTAAAACGATCAAAAATGAAGCCAAAAATGCAATAATATATAGGGTGTTCCATTTAAAAAAAAATCCCCATCCACTCACACTTTTTTAGACCACCTTGTAGAAGTTAAAATATTTTCCTGAAAGAGACCCTAGTACATACTTTACTTGTGCACTTAAAAATATTTCTAAGATCTTTTTGGTTTTAAAAAAAGTTCATTCAATAAGAAATTTGTGAAATAATTGTACTCTACAGGTACTTAAAAATGTAGATGTTGTAGCTGTAACTGTATTTTTACCAAGAACGGCTAAATATCTTTCTTTGTTGCACATTTTATTGGGGTTCTCTAGAATGGTACTGTACGACGGAAAAAAGAAACGGCGCCCAGTTAGTTTGGAAATGACGATCGATGACAGTCCCCATACAATTTTACATATAAAATGACAGCGATCTTCATTTCATAACCATCGCTGACGCCGCCTTTTTTTTTCAAGCATTTGTATTTCCTTGGCAGTTTACTGACGATTCTAGTATAGCAAGCAAGGAAGAACTTGCTATATAGTCTGTCCAAAAAAAGGATCCCAGGCAATGACAGTTGCATATTATGTCATTTTATATCATAGATAAAGTTTGTTATGCCATTTTTTGGATGTCACCTGTCGAAATCTTACTTGTTCTTTGGACTGACTATACCCCTAAGGGGTGTAAACTTGTAAACACTAGAGGAAAGCAACCATATATGGAATAGTATCCCTACTATGGAAACCCGCCATTCCTCTGAAACAAATACCCCCAATCGCAAGACAGTGATTTTTAATCTTTTTCCATCATTGTACTAACACTCTGTAGTCTGTAGGTATAAAAATATTAATTGTTTTATAAAAATAAGTACTAAAAAATACTTACAAAGCCTCCAGATTTTGTTTTCTCGTGTCTCGATGACATTTTGTTCAATGTATTCTTAAAATATCCTGCAACATAATTAAATCTAAATAATAAAAATAATAATCTTAAATGGTCATTAACATAAAATTCCAAGTGTAAATAATAAATGGTAGCAAAACTGTCATTACTTTTCTTGGTACAAAAAATATAGTAACAATCTAAAACAACATACATCACTTATATGTTTGTATGTTCATAAAATATGATCGTTTTTACATGGTACATGAAGAACTGTAGTTTAAATAATGTTATTAGCAACAAGTGGTTGTACTTGTTGCCAAACATATCAGTCAATAGTAGAGAACAAAAACTTTAAAGATACTAAGATCAGGTTATTTATATACAATTTCTAAGTGACATATTAAAGGAAATGTACCGCGAAATGCTATTAATATTTCTCCAATATTTAACTCATTCCAAAAAAAGCGAGGAGCGAGGATTATAGTAATAACCCAAAATCGAGAATGATGTCATGCAATGATTCTCTATGAAAAACAACATAATATACATAAAATATTGATAAATAAAATAGGTTATTGATAATTACCTTATTAAAAACTAAAATTAGTGTTCCTATATATCGTTAAAACAAAATTACATCGATATTTTATTATTAAAAACATGGAAAAACATTCAAAAAGGCAGAAGACGTTTATTGACACACATTCAGGTGACATTTGTCAGATTTGTCTGTCATTATAACCACAGAAGAAAACTAAAATTCATCGCCTTTTTACGCATAGAGGCCATATACGGTTTTTGACGTCACGAAATTAGTCAAAATTTTTGCAACAATTTTTTGCAAAAAATTTTTTATTTAATGATCATTTTACTTTTTATTAAGATAAAGAAGTCATACACAAAACTACTATTTATTTTTAATCGCGTTATATTTATTGAATATCATAAGGATATCATTAAAATCTAGACTTTAGCAAAGAGTACTTTTTGCATATAACGTAAACAGTTCGCTTGGTGTCTTTCTTCCTTTCATTCCCGAGGAGTGGAGTCGGTGACCTTGACTCCTTTTAAATTTGAATTATTGTAAGGCGAAAAATTCAAAAAAGAAAAATATTAAAAAAATGTTTCTATTGCTTATAAAATTTGATATAGGTACTTGTGTATATTCAGAGACAATGCAATCCATGGCTATTCTGAAACATATAAAGGAGTATCTATATAATTATAGGGCGATTAAAAAGGATAGAATGTTTCCAGACACACAAATCTATTACCAAAAAATCATTTTTTCTCGAATTTTAAACTACACCATTTAAAAATCAATTTTACTCAGTCTAAAAATAAATGAGAACTTTGTTGAGGCCAGCTGGCAGTTAACGCTATTAAAAAATAAAAAAGAGTACGGGTTGGTACGGGTCAATAAATGACGTCTAGGGCTTGCCCTCGCCAAAATTCCCATCTAGCCGTATTTGACGCCGTTTTTTTTCGATCAGCTCTAAAAAGAAGAAAATATACTTCAAATTAACACATTTACATTTACACAATTTATATGATATAAAAAACCTTTTTTATTAAATTTAAAAACTCCTGTTAAGTAAGTTAATAAAAATTTCGTCATTTTTCTTTAATTGTTACCTACGAAAAATGAGATATAAATAAAGTATGTAAAAAAAGCAAAACCGCAAAAGTCTTGCATGCTTGGTCTAACATTGTGCTTGTCGGTCTTGGTCTTGGTCTTGCACAAATAGCAAGATCAAGACTAGTCTTGCTCATCACTAATTTCAAAACTTAGCAAAAAATTTTATGATATATGCATTTTTCTCCAAAATGTTTTCTTCGTGTAAAGAAAATTACAGGGACATATTGTATACAGGGTGTTTCTAAAAACATGTGCCATCTCTTGTGGGGAGATTCCTCACGTGAGAATAAGATTTATATTCTATATCAATATAGGTCCGATTCTGCTTTGTTTCGTAGCTACAAGAGGTTAAAGTTTTCATTTTTTTTTCTATTTATTATAAATTCTTTGATAATTTATTTTCTTCCAAATGTCTTTATTGACTGGAACGAAATTTTGAGGGTAAAAGTAACCACAAGTACCTCAATGGGCACATACCCCAGTATTCTTCAGGCAGAAATGTACACTATCGAAAGATGCGTACAATTTATCTTACATAGGAACTATCTAAAAACAGGAAATAGCCATATACTCGTATAATCCTATAGTCAACCAGCACTTAACTTAGTAACCATCAATTCGAAGTTGGTCAAAGAATGCCTAGAGAACCTGAACAAATTAGGCAACGAAAATAGAGTCCTCCTACTCTGGGTCCCCGGGATATCACCAAGAGATAGAAGACAATGAAAAAGCAAATGATTTAGCTAGAAAAAGAGCGAACACTCCACTAACTGGACCAGAACCGTTCTGTTTTCCAAACGGAAACCAAATAAAGGGACTGAGGAACCTAGAAGACTCCATCCGTAACCTGATATGGGAGTCCTCCAACGGTCTAAGACAGTCGAAAAAGTTCCTCAGAACAGATTTTGCTTGATTTTAAGTAAAAACAAACTTCGGATTGTCACGGGGTTTCTAACAGGACACTGCCTCCCCAACGAACACCTTAGTAGACTGAAGCTGAGGAACAACGGCAAATGCAGATTCCGTAGGGAAAATGGGGAAACACCAGAACAACTTCATGAGTGCGCCGACCGTTCGTGCCATGAATTTTGGTACGGCTGATGTCGAAGTTGGAGAGCTGGCCTCTGTGGAGCAGTCTCAGATATTGGCTTTTGTTAAAGCCCTGAGACTGTATGACGAGTTGTAACTCGTTATAACTCAAGAAGAAGAAGTGATTAACTCCCCTCCTAAACATTCTACATTCTACTTTTTCGTACAATTCGTACAAGTGCGACAAAGCTTAATGCTTAAAAAGTGTCCATGTATTCACCAGGGGGTCGTGCATACTACAGATTATCACTGGAATATTTTTCTTTTATTTTTGTTTGACTTTTTTCTCTTGCAAAATTGTGTAGATCCCTGAATTGTCTACTTTCTTTTCTTTACTTTTTAACATAAAATATGTCGCACTTGTAGCAACTTTTCCCTTCAAAATTTCGTTCCAATCACTAAAGACATTTGGAAGAAAATTAGAAGAAATAAAAAAAAAATTAAAATTTAACCTCCTCTGAGAGCTTCTAAATAAAGCATAATTGGACCCTGTGTCGATATAAAAAATAAATCTTATTTTTACGTGATTATAATAGGAATGGCCCCACGAGAGATGGCACATATTTTTTGATCACCACCCTGTATGTGGATAATTTAATGTAATTCATAATACAGATATAGCTACTTATAAAATTAGCTAAATTAAGAATAAGCCACCGAATAAATAATATGACGCAAGCGCGTTCCAGTGGAGTTCCAGTTTTAGCAGAGGGTTGGAAAAATCAATAAAGCGGAAATCTCTGGAAAATCCAGGCGAAATAGACGGTCGGGAAAATGTTCTCTAGCAGAAAAAAGAGCTTGTGCGAAAGTACCATGATGTTTAATAAGATTTTTCAATTGAAAACTAATAATAAGCTTTAATATATCAATTCGTGCGTTTTAAAACATATTTTAATTAATTTCATAATATTAAAATTCCATAAAGAGTGTAAAGAGTAGTGTAAAGGTTTTTTTCAAATACTTCACAAAGATTTTTTTTCTCATATGAGCACAGAAGACTTGAAACCAATTTATATATTAAAAAAATATTTTAATGGCCGAGAAAAACTCTTTTAAAATTCTATTATTTTTAATTTGTTTCACTATTAAATGTTGCGTCTTACAAAAACCGTATACGGACTCGCGAAGACACGATGTGTATATTGCGGGATTTTTCCCTTTTGGAAAAGGCGTGGAACAGTCAGAAACAGGTAAAGTTGTAGAAAAACGATTATAATGTATTTTTTTAAATCTGAATAATTTTTTTTCGTTAAAATTAAATAAACATTGATTGATTAAAAATATTGTTCTAAATAGATACTAAAAAGAAATTAATTTTGCATGTGTGTTTAAAGCTAAGTATACACGTAACGCTTTACCTGTCAGTCTTAACTGTTCAGTCAAAACGTATCAAGTAAAAACCTTGTGTGTAGACGAAAAATGTAAAATTCAGAAACAGGTAAAATTTGTAGAAAACTGATTATAATACACTCACCAGCACGTTAAAACTTTTTTTAAGGACACCTTAAAATTTTCTTGCATTTTAAAGTTTCTTTTTTCTTGCATTTTAAAATAAATCTTTTGTTCTAGTATACCAATTTTGATGATCTTTTAAGCAATTTGTAGCTAAATTATTTGATTCTTTAGTATCCCTTTCTAAATTAAAAATTAAAGTTCTCATCTGTCAATTATACGAGGGAAAACAAAATGTTGATATTTTGGTGAAAGTTTGAAACACCCTGTGGAATATGTTAAGACAGCAAGGAATTTAAAAATAATTTTATCATCTAGGTACATCCTTTCTTCATAGTTTGTTTTTTTTTGGTTCATCTCAATAGCTTTATTTTTTTAGCTTACTTAAAGCAAAATTTTATTTTAAGTTTATGTACACACCTAAATCTGTTAGCGACATAATTTTGATCTCTACCGCCTTCAATTAAAGCAACTATAGCGGATGCAACTTCTGGACTTAAAACCATCTCTGCTAGAGTAACTCGTAACTCCAACTGCCCAATAGCCAATAGACAATAATAACACAGATAATAATATGATTTTTCAATAACAGTGACGTCTGCGTCTGTTGACTAGGACCAAAAGCAAAGGCATGGTTTTAAAAATGTAAAAATTATGAAAAAATGTTAGTGTATTCTTCAAAAGCGAATATTTAAAAAAAAGCTATTTAGTTGAATCAAAAAATAAACTATCGAGACAAAATGCACCTAGTTGATAAAATAATAGTCGAATTCCTTACTTTTTTAACATATTCCATAGTGTGTTCCAAACTTTCAACAAAATAACATAACATTTTGTGTTACCTCGTATAATTGACCGATGGGAACTTTCATTTTTAATTTAGAAAGAGATACTAAAAAGTCAAATAATTTAGCTACAAATTGCTTAAAAGGTCATCAAAATCGGTCCACTAGAACACAATCTATAAAATTTTAAAATACCTGAAAATTTTAAGGTGCCCGTTTTTCGTGCGGGTGATTGATGAAATCGCAAGTGAAACTCCCAGCGTATCGCGGGGTTTTAATCCTGTCTTCCATTGTACCTGACAGGTAAAACGTTACGTGTAGCCTGGGCCTTAGACAGTGAAGAAAAAACACCTAACTTTTATTTAGAGTCTAAATACACCTTTATTTAAAACAAATTATTATTAATCAACAATTAAAATTAAAATATAGTCTCCTGATGCGGATTGCTTATGCTAATTCTTTATTTTGCAGTTGTAGAACACTTTATAGGTAGAGGAGTTATGCCTAGTGTAAAACTAGCATTGGATCATGTCAACGAGCACTCCCAAATTTTACGAAATTACAGATTGCATATGTGGTGGAACGACACAATGGTAAGCTCCAACCTATTTATCTTATTTTACAGATGCGACAGAATCCAGTGGCGTAACAGACTTTTACTGGATTATACAGGGTGAGTCTTAAATAAGTGCAAATATTTTCAGGGGTGGTATATTTCGACCCCAGGAACACGTCTATGAGTTTTTTTCGCTAAAAAAAGATGTTGAAAATCGTGCATTTTCTTAAATTTCCCTGTATATTTTTAGAAAACTTTTTAGAACTGCCTGTTCACCGCAAATTTTCCCACGGTATAATTTCTTAATCTCTGATATTACCATAGTATGGCTTTTCTCTGTGGTTACGGCAATAAAAGGGATACAAATACAGAAAAAATTCAGTGGCTCTCAACATTTTTTAAAAAAAAAAATAATTTTTTTTAAACTTTCAAACTTAAATAACTCGGTTATTTGGACTTATCTGAAAAATGGTAAGGAGAAAATATATCTTTCCTTTTATTATTTTCTTTTATCGAGATCTACCAACCCTGAAAATATTTGCACTTATTTAAGACTCACCCTGTATAGGTAATTAAAATTTACCTACATTTTTTATATATAAAACTGATATCTCACAATTTATTGGTTTATTGAGTTACGTATTTTTTAGATATACTTTTTCCTCATATCCGGGATGCGTTTGACAGGTTCGGGAAGACAGTTGCGGCGGATTGTGTTTTGAAAAAGTCCCCCTTCTGTCGTCCCAATCTTGTTAGACGACAGTCAGCTAAAATAGCGACACGCCTGTCGTAACAGTTCCTTTCACCATGTGAAACATCCCTACAAGCTGGACTTCGATAAAAATTATAAATTTTTTGCCTAAAGAAGGCCTCTGCATATAGTTCCCTTAATTCTATAAAAATTTTATTTCACAATCTAATTTATGATTTATACCGTGTCGACATTTCTGGGTGCCACAAGGAGAAGTCTTGGGTTTGGATTTACATGTTTAGAAGAGAGAAAAATGCGAAATTTTTATTACATCGCTACTTAATCCGACGCTATATTTTATGCGCTTAGGAAAATACTTGCTCTTCTTTCTTTGTTCAGTACATTCTATTGTATTGAGCATATTGACTGTACTAGCTCTTTGTACAGCTGGTTCCCAAAAAAAATGAATACGACTCTTACACATTTTTTCGAATATTTGGGCAGTGTATATTTTTATGTGTCAAGTATTTTGACATGTTAAGGTTATTGTGACATTGTATAAAGCAACTTTGCTTTTGACAAAGTGAAAATAGAGAAATGGGGGACTGGCATGGGGACTGGTATCATAGAATAATATACTGCCCGAAATAATAAAAATATGTTTTAAATCGTATTCAATTTTATTGGAACCAGCTGTACATACGAAAATCAACATCCAAAGAAGCGACACCTTGCAGATTCTGTATACCGGGTGCGTCTCAAAAGTGGCTCACCCCCTATAACTTTTTTATTTTTTCAGATAAATAAACGAGATTTGGTATGTTAGTATATGACATAAATTAGGATTGATTGGTGGTATTCAATTGTTTTTGGTCACTTCCGGTTTCACCGGAAATGTCTACAACTTTTGATTTTTAAATGGCACCCTCGGTATTTTTTTACTTTATTCGATAGAAAATGACATTCTGAATAGAATGACATATCATACGTCAACTTTTGACATTCTCGCTTGTTAAAAAATTGTATTTTAAAATTCAATCTAGGGTGCCATGGCTATGTTAAAAACACTAATTCTTCCTCAAGGAGCCTTGGAAAAATATATTTGATCATCTTATGTTTTTACTGTCTTGTCCTGGCCAGTTAGAAAATGTTCTAATCGTATTTTTAATCATATCTCAATGTTTTCAAATGGAACAAGGGTGGCTCATTGGCATATTTGGAAAAAACATTTTTTTACGAATAATTTGATACCACACACTTGCTATCTCAAGTCAAATTTTCGTTACGAACCGCAAATTTTAATTTCAAATAAACCATATGCGAAAATGTCAAAAGTTGACATATGATATGACATTCTATTCAGAGTGACATTTTCTATCGAATAAAGTAAAAAAATACTGGGGGTGCTATTTAAAAATGAAAAGTTGTAGTCATTTCCGGTGAAACCGGAAGTGGCCGAAAACAATTGAATATCGTCAACCAATCCTAATTTATGTCATATACTAACATACCAAATCTCGTTTTTTTAACTAAAAAAATAAAAATGTTATAGGAGTGAACCACTTTTGAGACGCACCCGGTATATAACTTTTACCAAAAAAATAAAATAAAATTAATAATGAATATACCGGGTGCGTCTCAAAAGTGGCTTACACCTATACCTTTTTTATTTTTTCAGATAAAAAAACAAGATTTGGTATGTTTACGTTATTTTTTAAAGCGAGAATGTAAAAAGTTGACATATGATATGTCCTTTTATTCGGAGTGTGTCATTTTCTATCGAATAAATAAGTAAAAGAAATATCAAGTGGTGCTATTTAAAAATCAAAAGTCGTAGTAATTTCTGGTGAAACACGAATTGACTGAAAACAATTGAATACGTCAATCAATCCTAATTTATGTCATACACTAACATACCAAATCTGGTTTTTTTATCTGGAAAAAATAAAAAAGTTATAGGGGTGAGCCACTTTTGAGACGCCTCACCCGGTATACTACAATTAATTCAATTCTAAACCAGTTAAAGCACTTGGGGTTTTCTTGCTTGTTATATGTTTTCTTTGATTTTCTTAAACGAATAATTACTTTTAGTGCAATGCAGCAGTGGGTGTTAAGGCATTCTTTGATATGATGCACAGCGGTCCTCATAAACTTATGTTATTCGGGGCTGCTTGTACGCACGTTACCGATCCTATAGCTAAAGCTTCCAAACATTGGCACCTGACTCAGGTAAAGCCTGCTTTTCAACTAATTGTCTTAAAAGGGCTCTACACGCAACGATACTTGAGAGATTTGAACTGTACAGGGTGGGTCAAAATCGACGCCTTTAAAGGGAAACACCCTTTTCTATAGGATATAGACGAAAACTAATATCTGTGTCTGGAGCTTAATTTTTATCAAAAACATGATGGTGAAAACCGCACATCGATATCTGTTACCGTTTATGAGTTACGGGGTGTTTTTTAAAAATGTGCATTTTTAACAAATCGCTGTAACTTTTTGCTATAGAAAATTTTGTATTTTTGTTGAAACATTTTCAAAGCACCTCTTTACGTAGAATTTAATGGTTTAAGTATATTTTTTTTAAATTAATAAATTAAGAATTATCAACAGAAAAATTGATTTTTTATTTGGGACACCCTGTATATTTTTAATTAAATGAAAAGAAAAAAATTACTTTTCAAAAATATAGCGCACTTGATATTTTGTTATAGTCCCCTTCGAAATGCAGAACTTTTGAAAAATTTGCCATTATTAAGTATAGTAGGTTTTGGACCCCTTATTGATGATCTCTCCCTAATGGCACTCGAAAACATATTTTTCCAGCAAAACGAGACACCGCCGCAGAACGCTGAAGTTATCAGCAAATTTTTGCAGCCAATTTCGGCAATAATTGAATAGCTAACCAAGATCTCAGCCGTTGGCCGACGAGGCCGCCGGACTTAGCGCCTATGGATTTTTATCTTTGAGGAAGAATAAAGATTCTTATTTTTAAATTGCCCGTATAATCTAAACAAGAATTAGAAGTACTTAGCGGTTATGCGAGGGCATCTTTTCACCCACACCGAGTTAATGAATTCCGCGAGAAATGTTCAAAAATGATCCTGTCTGTCCATAACAGTAAACTTCAGAGGAATCGAGCAAAATATGCTATATTTTTTTAAAGGTAATTTTAAATTCTTTTCAATGAATTAAAAATATGCAAGGTGTCCCATATAAAAAATCAAATTTTCTGTTAATAATTCTTAAATTTTTAATTTAAAAAAATATACTTAAACCATGAAATTCTACGTAAAAAAGTGCTTTGGAAATGTTTTCACAAAAATACAAAATTTTCCACAACAAAAAAGTTACGTTATTTTTAACGATTTGTTAAATATGCACATTTTTGAAAGATACCCTGTAACTCCGAAACAGTAACAGATATCGATGTGCGGTTTTCACCATAATGTTTAAATTGAGCTCAGATACCAATGTTAGTTTTCGTCTCTATCTATAAAAATCTCCTATAGAAAAGGGTTTTTTCCTTTAAAAGCGTCCAATTTGACCCACCCTGATGTACAGCCCTTCGATTCAGTTCAAATTTCAACGCGTAATGACGCGAGATCTGCGATATTTTAACATGCCGAATATTTTTAACTGCACATACCACAGATTTGGCGGGAAATGTATTAGACTTTAGACTGACGAAATTATCTTTTGTAAAATCTGAACGTGTAATGTGAAAAGATCACTATCGGTTTGGTCTTAAAGATCTGAAATATGCTTGCAATTTGGCATGCAGATCAAATCGTTACGTGTAGGACCTCCTTTACTGAAGCAGTAGTAATAAGGTATAAGTACATAGCTTTCAATAATTCTGGACAATTTTTTAGTTATCGTACGCTGACACTCATCCGATGTTTACCAAGGAAAATTTTCCGAATTTTTTTAGAATAGTACCATCCGAAAATGCTTTTAATCCCCCCAGATTGTCTCTTTTGAAAGAATTTAATTGGACTAGAGTGGGTACGATTTATCAAAACGAACCACGATATTCTTTAGCCCACAATAAGTAAGTATGTAAATATTATACACAGTGTTCACACATAATATATAAAGTGATCAAGGGTATTTACACTGGTGAATGAGTTATATACAGTGTTCCATAATATATAAAGTGATCAAGGGTATTTACACTGGTGAATAAGTTATAGACAGGTACAGAGAAGACTCTGTACCTGAAATTATCTCAGAATGCAGTAATTACAGAATGCAGTATGACGAGATCAGGCGAATATTTTATTAAAAAAGTAAAAGAATCTATTCTTAAAAAAGATGTATTCCTCCAAAAAATATGCGAGTCTTTTGGCAGATTAAATTTTGTATAGTTTCCATTATATATCTTTTAAAAGTTTTACTTACTCGAAAAACTTTCTAAAAAAATTTTTAAATGTTTTCTGGGGTTGATTTTTCAAAATTCAAACTTTTTTTATGTAAAAAGTGCATATTGCATCAGTATACTATTCTTACTCTACAGTATACTCGTTCTAGGTCCGTCATTGGTTGACTTGATCACTTTTTAATGATTCTACACTTAATATTTTTCAGATTAGTTGCTGATCTAGATGCAGTAGGGTATCAGATTGTCGAAGCACAAAGCTTCACTAACGAAGTCACCACAGCTTTAATAAAATTAAAAGAAAAAGATACCCGAATACTTTTAGGTAAAGCGACTTTTAATAATAATACGTAATAATATTTTGTTTGTTTGCATTATTACAACTACAATTAATTATAATTGTATGTTTATTCTAACCATACTATACAGTAATATCACTTTTAGGTTTTCATTGTTTGATAAATTGTTAGTTTTATTAAATTTGATTATCGTCATATTTTTCCTGTTATTATTGAAATATTCAAGAACAAAATTCAGTTAGTTCAATGTTACCGAAAGAAAAATTAATCGTTAATCATTGACGTTAATCAAACTTAATAATAAAATGAAATAATATTACCATAGAAACGCGTTTTGATTTTTAGGACTTTATAATAGCCCTAATAACGTATTTGTCTTATTTTTCTCTAAAGGTGTGTTCACACCGGCTGCGTCGCTCCGCGCCGCGCAAATCATTTTTTAACATATATTTTGTGCTCGCTAAAAAAATACACTTTAAAAGTATAGGTTAAAAAATGCTTTGCGCGGTGCGGAGCGGCGCAGCCGGTGTGAACGCACCTTAAAACGGTATCGAAAATTCAGAAAATTATAAACAGGATTAAACATTATAGAGCAAGCAAAAATTTCCATTTTGAATGCATTGTTCTCAAAATGTTAATAATAAAAAAGTTTTTCCTCTTGTAAAGAGTAGGATATATTTTATGCGTATAGGAAATTTTAACGAAAACTGGGCAAAGTATATATTTTGTGAGGCCTATAAGCTTGATATGTACGGCCGAAAGTACCAATGGCTCATCATGGGAACGTACAGTCACGAATGGTGGAAGAAAAACGATTCAGAACTAAACTGTACTTTAAGTGAATTAGAAACAGCATTAGAACAAACAATATTAACCGATCTGCTACCATTAAGTACTAACGGAGAAATCACGATATCTGGAATAGTAAGAAGTTCGTTATTATCTAGCTATAATACGGAACGATCAGAGATATAGAGGAGATAGGGAGAATATTACATTATATTCCATCTATTGTGTCCCCCTTTCTCCTGTAAAATAACTCACCATACAGTCTCATCAGGGTTTTGACAAAAGCATGTATCTGAGTTGGTTTTACAGAGGTAAGTTTTCCATCTCCGATATCAGTCGTACCAAAGTTTATGGCACGAATGGTTGTCGTCTCGGCGCGATGTGGTGTTCTGGTGTTTCCCCATTTTCCCTACAGAATCTGTATTTGCCGTGGTTTCTTACTTTTCTTAGCTTCAATCTATTGAGATATTTATTAAGGAGACAGTGTCCTGTGTTAAAAACCCAGTGAGAATCAAAAGATTGTTCCTATCTGGAAAAATCTTCGATTTTTCCCTGTCATAAGTCCTGAGAACTCTTCGAGTTTCTTAGACCGTTGGGGGAGTCCCATTCCAGGTTACGATGGAGGCTTCTAGGTGTTTCAGTTATGCTTTAAGTCGGTTTCCACCTAGGAATCAGAACGGTGCTGGTATATAACATTATTTACAAATGAACAGTGATCTTTTTATAAAGACGAGGAAACAGAAAACTCCGTTATAATAAAAGTACTGTAAACAAAATCTTTAAACTCATTTTTTATCATGCTTCAGCGCAGTGTGCAATGTGTGCATGTGCAACGATGATTAGATTTTCTGCGCACTCGTCGAAGCTCATTCCCCATACCCCTATATCTCTGATTTATTACTTCCATTAGTTGTTCTAACTTTTTTCTTATTTAAACTTTCTTTCAGACGGCTGATGAGTACAAGGTAGAATACGATTCAAGAAGGGGTGTCGAATATTCTCGATTTCATGGCTACACTTACGATGGGATATGGGCTGTCGCACTGGCCATCCAAAGTGTAGCCCACAAAATCAAATACTTTCGGCGAAACCAAACAGTTAATGATTTCAGATACAGAGATCCTTTTTGGGAGAAATTATTCTTGGAAGCTCTAAACAACACTAGTTTCGAAGGTTAGTTAAACGAAAACGCGAGCAAATAAAAATTAATTATCATATACCTTATACGAGGTTATCTTTTATACAGGGTGTTCGTTAATGACATGGTAATATTTAAGGAGGTGATTCTTGGACCTATTCTAATAAAAAAAACTTCATATGAATATATGTTCTAAACATCTTAACATTTTAGATACAGGGTGGTAAAATTTTCTAATTTTTTTCCAAAATATCTCTGATGGTATATTTGATACACGTCTTCCATGCATCAGAATGCTTATTTTGATATACAAAAAAAAATGTTTCATTTCTTAATTTTCTTCCAGCCGATGCAAAAATGATTTTCACACAACAGTCACCGCATCATATTTTCCGCATATGATGCGGTTTGACACATAGTTTTTGAGCAAAAACTATGCGTCGGACGAAAAAAATCAAGAGACAAAAAATGTTTAAAAATGAATAAAGATTTTGAGGGAAGTCTATGAAGGAAGAGAAGTCAGTGGTGTACCACTTTTTTCTCCAAAAATATTCAATGTAAAACCCGTATGGACGGCACTGGATGAAATAGATAAAATTCTTTGTATACCAAAATAGGTATTTTGATGCATAGAAGACGTGTATTAAGTTTCATAAAGATATCTTTAATAAACTCAGACTTTTTATGAAAAAAAGTTTTTTTTAGAAAAATTTACCACCCTGTATCTCAGAAATTAAGATGTTTAGGACATACATTCATATGAAGTTTTTCTCTTAGAATAGGTCCAAGAATCACGCCCTTAAATATTAGCATGTCATTAAGGAACACCCTGTATTTTGCATATAGAGATAGAAAAAAACAGTAGATATCTTTTAAATACTATTGTTTTTCGAAGTATTCTGAAAGCAGTTATTCTACTCGCTCGTTGGTGGTACTTTCAAAATTGCGTTTTTGAAGGCGCTGACTGCATCTTCTAGGGACCTGGAACCAGGGCCGGCGGAAGGGAAATATTGAGACCGGGCCAATACCCTACCTGGCGCCCCCCCCCAATAGTTAACATGTTACCATAACAACTAAGCATATTTATGCTACTTTAACAATAAAATTTCACTTAAAGGTACTTCAAAATTCTTCTCTTCGTTCAATCTTAGTCCGCGGTTGTTTTTTCTATACCGGGTGCATCTTGAAAGTTTTATTTATTTAGAAAAAAAACGAAATTTGGTATGTTAGTATATGACATAAGTTAGGATTGATTGACGTATTCAATTGTTTTTGGTCACTTCCTGTTTCAACGAAAAACTATTGATTTTTATATGGCACCGGCTATATTTTTCTTGTTTATTCTATAGAAAATGACACTCTGAGTAGAATGACATATCACTAATCGACATTTAACTTTTGACATTTTTGCTCAAAAAATCGTATTTTAAATTTCAATCTAGAGTGCCATGGCTGTGTTAAAAACACCACAGTGTACCACACACTTGATATTTCGAGTCAAATTGTTGTTATGAACCGCATGTTACAATTTCAAATAATCCATATGCGAAAATGTCAAAAGTTGACACATTATGATATGTCATTCTATTCAGATTGTCATTTTCTATCGCATAAAGTAGAAATATACCGAGGTTGACATTTAAAAATCAAAAGTTTTATTAATTTCCGGTGAAAGAGGAAGTGATCAAAAACAATTGAATACGTCAATTAATCCTAATTTATGTCGTATACTAACATACCAAATCTCGTTTTTTCATCTGAAAAAATAGGAGTGAGCCAGTTTTGAGACGCACCCGGTATATAAATGATAAGTATCAGTGATCTTTGAAAACATTACTATTTAGTTGCAAGCAATTGCATTATTTTTCTATAAGAATTTAAGAAAAATTTCTTTTCTTTTTCACAATCAATTATCTCGCGCAGAATCAGTATAGGTATGATCAGATACAGTTTTGTTGGCTACAAATGAGTATCAGCCAGTGTTTGAGATTTGAGATGCATTCATTTGTCTTGCTTTAATGAGAAATTTCTACGATTCTGCTACCATTTACCATGTATTACTACATATTCAATCCAGAACAATCAAAATCACCAAAAGATTGATATTTTTCCCACTACTGTTAATAAATGAATGAGGCAAGCTTTTTTTTGATAATAAAGATATCGGGATCCTATTTAGTTTCTTGCGAATGAATATTTGTCTCATATAATTTTAGGGCAGATCAGCCATTAACAAATGAAGGGTGTGGGTAGTAGACAAAGTGCAATTTTGAGCAACAAGCAGTCTAAAACTGTCAATTTTGCTGGCTCTTGACCCAAAACAGTTTGTTTAGAGAAAATTTATAAATACAAGAATTATATAGAAAGGAAGGGTTATTAACAAAAAGTTGATAGCTTTTCAGTAGCTTTTTAGTAGTAGTTTAGATAGTTATAAGTAAAGTACCACGAACAATTTTTTTTTAAATATTTTAGTTGCTGGCGTGGCGCCCCTCACATTCGGCGCCCCGGGCAGTCGCCCGGGTCGCCCGGCTCTTCCGCCGGCCCTGCCTGGAACCCTTGACCAGAGAAGAACAACCGCTTTGACCACACAATTCATTCTTAATTGTCGGAAAAATAAAGAAGGCGTTAGAACTTTGGTCGAGACTATATGAAGTGTGGTCCAACGGTTAGATGTTTTCTTGCTTTAAAACTCAATTGATTTTCGGGCTGTGTGGGACCTTGCATTATTGTCTTGGTGGAGGATCATTTGCCGTTAAGGGTTGGTTTTTCGAAACTCAATTTTTTCGAAACTCGAAAAGTAATTACTTTAAACAGCCTGTTGATGTTTATTTTTGGATTTATAAGAGTAAATCCAGGATTCATCACCACTAGCAATACTGTATAGATTTTTTGAGTTTCCTGCGTTAAAACGGTGTTTTAGAGTTTTTTTCTCTGTTCTTCCGTCAACAGATGCGGTATCCAACGAGAAACTAATATATTTACAGATAATTCTCCATATAAAATGTTTTTAATTAAGCTCTTTGAAACGTCCAATGATGTTTCAATTTCACGATATATGACATGCGTCGATCTTCTTATTAGATCAGCTTACGTACAGCATCGACGTTTTCCAGGGCGACGTGGCCCTATCTGGTGAGATGCCCCTTAGACTTAGCTAAAGTGCCAGAGGGGATTCCCCCTTCACCAACAACAAGGTCTCGCGGAACGAATGTTTATTCGTTCGTTCGGTAGTAGTATGGACGGGACCGGATTTTAGAACCAAACGAAAACACCTTAACCCATTCGTTTGCGAACGCCTTTGATGTACCGACTCGAAACGGATGGCCGAGCGAACGAACAAACGAACGACCGCATGCGTTCGGTCCACCGTCCAAATATACCGAATTCCATTCATTCGCTCGCTCGTTCGTTCGGATAATGAATACGCACCTTTAGGTTAGGTTAAAATTTTGGCGTTGTGTTAAAGATGAGAGTTAATTTTTTCATTTGATATAAGATGTTTCTATATGAAAAATATACACACAAAAAACACAAACAAATATACACAAACCAGCTTATATTTAGTACTTATTATGTTTAAGGTGTTACTGGACCCGTTCGCTTCTATAATAATGAACGCAAAGCCAGCATATTATTGAAACAATTTCAAGAAGGCAAAGAAGTAAAAGTTGGTGAATACAGTGCGGCCAAACAACATCTAGACATGACTCTCGGTTCTTCCTTAAAATGGACGGGAAAGTATGTAGAGTTTAGAGATATAGAGGAAGGAAAAATGAGCATGAACCTGTGCAGAACGTATCATGGTGGCCGTAATTTTTGCGCTTAAGTCTGGAGGGGAAGGCCAGAAAGTAATATTGATTATAATAATATTGTATAACTAAACTAAACGCCATATTATAATAATATATATTCCCCCTACTTCTATATCTCTGATATAGCTAAGATATTCTAACTTAGCACAGTCAATAATAAATTATATATTTTTTCAGATACCCGCCAAAGGACAGAACCGTTTTGATTATAGAACATACAAGAGTGAATAAGACAGTGTACGCCATATTGGCATCGCTTGCTATCCTTGGAATATTCATTGCGACTTTCTTTTTGGCATTTAATATAAAGTACAGAAATCAGAGGTGAGTTTGTAACTGGAAGCGAAGGGTATAGGGGTAATTACCCCTCCCAGAAAAAAAATTATAAATAAAATAAAAAAAGGAAAAAAAATAGTAATACCAATATATCAAAATAGAAAATTCAGATCAATCTTTTCAAGTGTATTTCATTAAACAGTTACAATACCTTTTTGCGAAACTTTAATTTATATCTAAGGCTAGTAATTAAATATTTCCACTACCCCTCCCAGACTCTAGATGACTAATAAAAAAAATAGACTAATTACTAGATGCGCCAAAAAAAAAACAACTTAATTTGTTGTCGGTAAAGTAGTAATAGTAAATCTGGATAATTTTGGCGAGGTCAATCTCTACACATCATTTACTAAAAATTTACATAAAACTTGTCAAAATTTAACAGTAATTATAGAAAGATTAAAAAAGATAGACACAAATCTATTTCCAAAAAAATATTTTTCTCCAATTTTAAACTACACTATTTAAAAATAATGTATACTCATAAAAATAAATTACATCCTTCTTAAGGATAACTGGCAGTAAGAGTAATTAAAAAATAAAGAAGTGTAAGGGCTAAGTAAATGACGTCTAGGGCTTGATCTCGCCAAAATTATCACCGATTGTCATTCCCCAGCCGTCTTTGACACCGTTTTTTTCTCGATCGTATGGTATAACTTCTTTGAATAAAAAAAGCTCATACTTATTTCTTTACAAAATTTAGCTTCATGTATTTTTAAAACCACGCATTCACGGATCCATTTTTATAAGAACTTTTTTTCATATTTTTTGACGATGTATCACATCCTAAAATTTCGCCGTCTAATTTTTGAATACCCTGTAGACAAAACGACATCGTCTAGAGACAAACCTAAATTTGGATTTATTGTTCCAGATATATTAAGATGTCCAGTCCACAACTAAATAATTTAATTATTATAGGATGTATGGTGACTTACACTAGTATCATATTTCTTGGTTTAGATTCAGGATTATCCAGTATTGGTAAGTACCCACTTGTTTTATTTAGGTACTTAAACCTTTAAGGTCGCGGTGATTAAACCCTCGGATTAATCACCCCTTCCACTCATACTAGAGCTTTTTTAAAGAAATAATATAGTGTCTACCCGGTGTCTACAATATAATAATCATTATATATTTGTTTTTAGAGGCGTTTCCTTATATATGTACCGCCCGAGCGTGGACCCTAATGGCGGGATTCTCTTTAGCCTTCGGTTCAATGTTCAGCAAAACATGGCGGGTTCATTCCATATTTACTGATGTCAAGTTAAACAAAAAAGTTATAAAGGACTATCAACTGTTTATGATAGTGGGAATACTAATTTGCGTAGATGTGGTTATCATGACAACATGGCAAGTGACGGATCCATTCTATAGAGAAACCAAAAGAGGAGAACCGTACGTAAGTATCAATATGAACAAATTTGAATTAGGTATAGTCGGATTCACACCATTATGCCAGTTACGGCTTTTCCTCGGTCCGGTAAAATCAAATTATGTTCATATTATGAACAGAGTGTCTTAATATTTTCAACAAAACTGAATTTCATATAGCATTTTGTCTTCTAAAAGTAGATTCAGTTTTGGCGCCCAACGTGGGGCACCAAAACAAGTTCACACATACCGCATGATCGAAAAAAACGGCGTTAGAGACGGCTGGGGAATGACAATTGGTGATAATTTTGGCGAGGTCAATCTCTACAAGTTATTTACTTAAAAATTGGCCTAAAACTTCTCAAAAATTAACACTAATTATAGAAAGACATAAAAAAATAGAACCTTTCCAGACACACAAATCTATTTCCAAAAAAGTATATTTTCTCGAATTTTAAACATTTTATTTTTATTTGAATTTAAAACCATTTAAAAATAATTTTTCCTCCAACCGTGATGGTTGAACCGGCATTATGGTGTGAATTGAGCCTAAATATCTAAAATTTCAGCCACATCCCTCAAACGAAGACGAAATAATAATACCAGAAAACGAATATTGCACTTCGGAAAATATGAGTATCTTTATTTCTTCGATATACATTTTTAAAGGCTTACTAATGGTAACACAGTTCAAAGAAGCTTCAGATAAAAATTTTATTTTATATTTTTTTAAGATCTTTGGTGCTTTCCTGGCTTGGGAGACTCGTCACGTATCCATTCCAGCCCTAAACGATAGCAGATATGTCGGTTTTTCCGTTTACAACGTTGTCATAATGTGCATACTGGGAGTAGCTGTGGCACTGGCCTTAGTCGATCATCAGGACGAAATGTTTTTGTTGATAAGTAATATTAAACATTTTAAAATATTAATTGACATGTTTTATTGTATCGAAAATCTTGTAGGTTCCTTTATAATCTTTTGTACTACCATTACGTTATGTCTAGTATTCGTGCCTAAAATGGTGGAGTTACGCAAAGATCCTGGTGGAACCATAGATAAAAGAATCAGGGCTACTTTAAGGCCTATGTCGAAGACTAGAAGAAATTCTAGTGTTTCGGAAATAGAAACAAAGATGAAAGATCTAAAAGAACTTAACTCTAAATACAAGAAAACATTGTTGGATAAGGATAGCGAATTACAGGTCTAAAATCTAAATAAGCCCCTTCTACACGTTACGTTTTACCTGTGCAGTAAAAACATGTCAAGTAAATTGAACCGAACATATTTTTCCATTATTTTACGAAATAATCTTTTGTCGATAAGATGGCTACTTATTATAGTCGTATTAACATAAAATGTGACAGAAACGAAATTAATAATACAGTTCATGATAGAAGATCCAGGCCAATCGAATTTTATTTTTGTTCTTCAGTTACAATACCTTTACTTTACGTACTTAATATTGTCACTACCAGAGTCATTGTCTAGATGCGCGATGCGCCACTGGTTTTTCCTGCACGGTCTCCTATACAAAATTGATCTAAAACCACAGATAAAACTTCCAGCGTGTACGTTAATCTTTAATCCGTCTTACCTGACAGGTAAAACGTTACGTGTGGACGAGACTTTAATCGCTGATAAAATTAGAATAGTTAGTTAATAGCGTTTATTTTGTATAGATGCTTATTCATCAACTTGGAGACGACGCTAAAGATATTCTCGAACAGAAAACTGAAGAATCTTTTTCGGACACTAACAGGTTATCTATACCGCAAGTACGGAAAGACATGCCTAGTGTTACTGAAACCAGTGAATTGACATCGCTGTGTAGTTTGAGCTCGCAACCTGATTTCACGTCACTGCATCGCACCGATAGTCAAAAGTGAGCATAAATACCATAAAATCGAAAAAAAAGGGCGTCAAAGACGGCTGGAGAATATCATTCGGTGATAATTTTGGCGAGGTCAAGCCATTTGGCCTAAAGAAAATTGTAATTTATTTTTATATTAAGTAAAAATGATTTTTAAATGATGTAATTTAAAAGTTGTATGTCAACTTTTAGTAAGAGTGACGTCTAGAGATTGACCTCGCCAAAATTACCACCGTTATTCCCCAGCCGTTTTGTTTGACGCAGTTTTTTTATCATAGGGTATAATTCTTCAAAAAAAGTAGTTATTTTTTTATACCGCGATAAATGATAGTCTATTCTCATATTTTCAGAAAACAAAAGTTACTTCCTCCTACTGTAGAACCTCCTCCAGCCAAAACCAATACACAGAATTCACCTAGTTTTGGCAAAACTACTGAAAACGTTAGTCAATTTAGGCATCAGAATCAAGTCAATGGAACTATTGCAAGGCTATTAGACAACGTTGAGGTTGATTTGGACTCAAAAATAGAGAATGTCCAAAAAGAATCTTTTGTCAAAGTAGATAATAATTTTAATAGTTTAAAAAATAATAATAAAACATCGCACGACGCTGGTGAGAAAATGGAAATTAAAAAATCTGAAATGCAGGTACGTACTCCATATACAGGGTGAAACAAAATTGTTCCGTATCGTCAGCAATAATTATTGTTCTACAGGGTGGTCCGAATTGTATTCGGAAAACTTCGACAGCAGTATAAATGTATGTCCCAAAATGCTTCGTTTCGGAGATACAGGGTGTAGAAGTTTCATTTTTATTTCGATTTCTTCCAATATTTTCTGAACTAGCGTCGATATTTGGATGATAACTGGGTGTTTTTTGACATTAGAAATTTGATTTCGATGTAAATATCACTCCGACTTGCGCCACCCACACGCTTTTTAACTGTTTTGAAGGGTACTAAATTTTCGTCCGTACCTGTATAAAACTATACTGAGTGACAAAATATACATTTCCGTCGTTTTTTAAATAAAAAATGTCTCTTGGTAAGAATAGCCACGAGTAACCGTTCTCAAAATATTTGGAATAGAATTTATCAATACATGTCATCACTGACAAAAAATAAACATTTTAAATAGATATAGTTATTTGACTGAAACGATAAAATTGGAAACTTATTTTTTAAATTAATCATAAAATTTGTACACCCTGTGTCTCCGAAACGAAGCATTTTAGGACATACATTTATACGAACTTTTTTACTTATTTTTATCTGCAGAATATGCTACCGAAGTTTCCCGAATACAATTCGGACCATCCTGTATATGTGCATAGAAACTTTTTCTGTTATTTTTTTCCGCTGAAGTTTGGTACACTGTTTTGTTACATCCTGTATAACAAAATAGTGTACAACTAATCAGCGTGTAATTAATTATAACTATGTAATTGGATCAACGCTTATATTTCTAGAATGTAATAATAGTCTTAGAGATTTCTCAGTTATTATTTTAGACGAAGAAAACAGCAAAATGTGACGAAGAAGAAATAGAAAATAATGTTCCAGTAATAAAAAAGGACGAGAAACACAAAAAAACACCGACTCATGAACGTACTCCATCAAAAAGTATAGCAACTCGTTCAATTGAGACAGACGAAAAAAGGAAAGAGAATATTTCATCAAAAAACATTGAAGATGATGATATAAAAGGTATCTATTATTTTGTATCTATTATAAGGCTATTATCACAGCTTCAATCTACTGCGGTGTTTATGAAAGAGGTAGTGTCGTGTTAAAAACCCCGCGACAATCCGAAGATCGTTCTTACTTAAATCAAGGAAAATCTCTGATTTTTTTCGGTCATAAGTCCTGAGAAGTTTCTTAGAACGTCTTAGACCGTTGGAGGATTCCCATTCCAAGTTACGGATGGAGTCTTCCAGGTTGTTCAGTTCCGCCTGAAGTTGGTTTCCACTTGAGAAGCAGAACGGTTCTGGTCCAGTTAGTGGAATGTTCGTAGCTAAATCATTTGCTTTTTCAATCTTCTATCCCTTGATGGGTCGGCACCCAGAGGAGGAGCAAGACGACTTTATTTTCTTTGCCTAATTTGTTCAACATCTCTAGGCGTTCTTTAACCAACTTATGGTTACTGAGTTGATCGCTTTTAAGGCTGCTTGACTATCGGATACGATTGTTTTTTCTTTTTCCGATAGTTCCTATCTAAGATGAGCTGTAGTGAACAACAACAAAAAAAATCAATAAATAGTGGGAACTACACAAGGTGTATCAAAACTAATGCGAAAAAGTTATACCGTATGATCGAAAGAAAACGGCGTCCATAGTTGGCTTAGAAATGACAATCAATGACATTCCCCATATAATTTTACATATAAAGAGACAGCGATCTTCATTTCATAGCCATCGCTGACGCCGTTTTTTTCGATCATACGGTATAACAAACTACCCTTTATTTTTGCCAAGAAAACGCTTCTTAAAGTTTTTCGCATTTGGTTTCTTTTTAACACCCTGTACAATCGCTTTAAGTTTGAGATACCTTGTGCAAACCTCCTTTTTTTGGCCTGAGAATACATTCAGTCTTTATATTTAGGAATAGCCTGCTCTCAAGCAACAACGCAAAACGTGCGAACCACCACACCCCAAAAGAAAAACGAATGCGGAACGCACGTTGTGGCCAAAAGCGAATTGTGGAACACTGGGAGCCAGCACAGGTGTCCAAAAGCACATCAAAAGAACAGCAGAGTTAGTATAATGCAACAAACTAAAGGTAAATTTGTTTTTCGTTTAGTTAGATTCAGTTTCGTGTCCACTTGGAACTAACTTGCATACACCTTTTGCACAAGTATGTACCCAGTATTGAAAAATGCTCAAAGTCTATTCTTTTTTTTATACAATATGATCGAAAAAAAAAGGCGTCAGCGATGGCTATGAATTAAAGATCGCTGTCTCTTTATATGCAAAATTATGTGGGGAATGTCATAGATGTTCATATTTTAGCCAACTGGACCTTTTTTCGATCATACGGTATTCTTTTATTCTCTCTTGCCCTTTTTACTGAAACGTGTACACATAAAATCTTTCTTCCTGGAAAATGTTGTCAGTAACACGTTGAATAAAATTATATTCGTTCAATTTCTATAAGTTATTTTTGCTGTAATGATAACGCTATTTTTAAGGCACCGTTGTTTTTGTCGTAACGATAACGTTATTTTTAACATAACGTTGACGATATTTTTAACAAAACGTTGACGTTATTTATTTTTGTCGTAACGATAACGTTATTTTTTGTCGTAACGATAACGTTATTTTTGTCGTAACGATAACGATATTTTTAATGCAACATTATTATTAACTTTAACGTTATTTTGTAGTAACGATAATGTTATTTTTAACGTAACGTAGCTGTTTCACGGTAACGTAACGTTTTCTCGTAACGAAAGGTTTTCATCGTAGCCTAACGTTTCCATTGTAACATAACGTTTTCACTATAAGCTAACGTTATTATCGAAATGTAACGTTATTACCGTAACGTAATCATCGAAGTCGGTTTCGTAACGTAACGTTATTTTTAACGTTAGGTTAATAACGTTAATTAACGTTATCATCGTAACGTGACGTTATTTTTAACGTAACATTATCAGCGTAACGTAACGCGTATCACCTTAACGTAGGGTAACTTTATCATATTAGAGAACAACGGCATACGGTCGAGTCGGCCGCTGCTGGCACGTAGACGTAGACGTAAAGAATCTTTTACGTGTATAAAAAATAAAAATATAAGAAATGCGCATGCGTACGTAAACGTTTACGTGTTTGTAGGCCGACTCGACCGTATGCCGTTGTTCTCTAGTATCACATTTGTTTACGCGTTTTATACTATCGCGCGCCGCACCTAAATTTGTTGATATGTTCCTTCCTTAATCTTTTTTAAAAAACGCAAATTTACTTGCAAGTGGACGTGCCTTGGCTTTAATTAACTTAATAATATTCTCTACATTGTTCTACACTTTGTAGTATTTTCAGAAGAGACGCCCATACATCGCACCACATCCGAAAGGAACAAACACGGGGGGCAGAAAGAAAACTCCCCCGCCAAGTCGCATCTGTCCGACATATCGTCGAGCAGTATATGCAACCAGCAATGCAAGAAATTGTCATATTTTCAAAGTACCCCCAACGTAGCCGCTATAAAGTCATCAACTATGAATCGCACAAAAAGAGAAAAATCCATGTGTAACGCGATGTCCGAGGGAGAACTACTGGAGACGGATACGGATATCTTACCCATTTTCCAGAAATTGCTGACTGAGAGAAACAAGAGTCAGCACAATATAGACTACTCATTTGGACGGTCATGTCCGAATATTAGCATTAAGTGCGATATTGTGGAGTACTTGTAATTTAAATAAAATAAACGTAATTTTAAACTAAGTGATATGTTTTAATATTTAATTATTGAAGCCAATGGTCCAGCTACGTTAAAACACCGGTTTATAACTATCGATGGTTATCGATATATCGGAAAAAATCTGATCCCTAGTCAGCACTATTTTACTAAGGGTGTATTCCGTTGCTTATCTTGGTTATGGTTTTATGTTCCATTTCTATCGGTTTCCTGAAAGTTTTCTTATTATGGAACACGGTTCCTGAAAAATTCGGTTATAACTGTCACCAAACTAACCAGCGCGAGAAGGCTGGTTTTTCTGGTTTTGTTTGTCAATCAATGTCCTTTATGTGACAGAAATCAAGCAAATATTGGATGTTCGAGTGAAATTCTCATTTAATTTCTAAAATTTGTTATAATATTTTGTATTTACTATGGAGGCTAATTAAAGCCCCCCATAGTATTTACATCCAAAAGCAATGGAGGTAGGCAGTAAAGGTAAATAAATTTCATTAACTAAATAGAATGACTTTTTAGGACCATTTAAACTTATCATGCAGCCATTGTTTCTTAAAAGTCAGGAACATTTAAAGAAAACATGAAAAACAAGACAACAAGTAATCGTGAATGTTTTGTAAGCTATAAAAATATAAATATTGATTAGATTTGTTTATTTATTATTGACCTGTTTTAATATTGGACCTGCAAATCGTCACTTGAGCTGTCTAAAGAGTTTAAGAGTTTATTAATAAAGTACTTTCCTTTTCATTCATTAAAGGACGTTTCCAGTATTTTACCAAACCGTTCCGTATCAAACCGATGTTTTTCAGGAACCGCTCTTTAACGTAGTTTACCGGTCTGGTTCGCCTGGTTTTGCAACGGAATACAGCCTAAATATGGCCACTTGAATAACAAACATACTTTTTCTAGATATATTTTTTCAACATTTACTATATTTGGAACTTAAGAAAATACTGATATCTTACATAGGTATTTGAATTCGTTTAAAATTTCTGTTATTATTTTCTTACATACTGTTGGTACTTCATCAGAAATCCTTTCTTGTGATGTCATCTTCATTCAATATATGAGTTTGAGCATACAATACTGCATCGTGCACAGTAGGAAACATTTTAAAATATCCACCGTTATTTTGCCATCGATAATAATTACTAATCACCTCGTATATTTGCCCTGTAAAATTATAAAAAATTCAGTTCAAATTTTATACTGTTTTTTTACTCGGCTTGAATACCTGAACAGCCGGCAATGTACAGGGCGATTTCTAGCTGGTCTAAGTCTTCCTGTAACTGTCTCAAAAAATTGACACCAGATGGATCCAGAAATGTCAATGAGGAGAAGTCCACTACAATTGCCCGAGTTAGCAACTCCTCTTGGTTATCGAATGATAAACCCTAAATGTAAAATATAATAATTATTTTAACGCATTAAAAATTACAGGGTGTACAAGAAAATCGTGTTTTATGGGGTTTCTCGTTTATGAGTAGTGATACAAAGATAAAGATGCGGTTTTAAGGATAACTAAGCTATGTACTTTTTTATGAAACTATGCTACACACATATTTGTCCTAGCTATCTTAGTTGATGAAGTACAGGGCGAATTAGAAATTTTTGCATTTTTTTCGATCCCTTTTTTATCTTGGATATGTGTCCCGTAGTGTTTTTTTACGTAGAATTCAGTGGCGTAACTAGATTTTTGCTAGGAGCTGTCAGTTTTGAAATATGACTCAAACTTGTGATTTTTTAAATAGGACATGCTGTATATTATTTTTTTATTTTATTTATCTTGTTATGAGCTTTCTATAAATATTATATACTCTATACTTATTCTCATAAATAAGGTAAAAAATGCATTATTTAATTTTTTAACATAAATCAACCTAGTTTAAAAGAATATTATTATTTTATTTCATTTAATTTAGTCAGATAATTTTGCTTTCCATCGTGTAATAAACTACAACGAAGATGAACTTGTGCAGCTTTTTTAACATGCTATCAGAGTTATTGAGGTTTTTGATTGATGCACTTGTTCAATCATTTCATATTTCATGCATTTTTTACCTTATTGTTTATTACAATATGTATAAAGTATATTATATTTTTGGAAAGCTCATAATACGGCAAATAGAATAAAAAAATAATACAGAGTGTCCCCTTTAAGAAAAACATAACTATTTCGAAAATGACACCTCTCACCGATTATAAACTAGTTACGCCACTGGATTCTACGTGAAAAATTCTACGGAATTTAGTTTTCATCTTTTCGATAAGTTGTAAGATAATCGAGATAGGAGGTGAGTCGAAAAATGCAACAATTTCAAATTTAAAAATGCTTGAATTATCTGCAATTTTATGATTATTTTATTACCCTTTCCATAAGTTTCCTCCTAGTTCTCAAAATGGCCGCGGGATCTAACCCAACTTTTTCCACGAACAGTTTCTTAAACGTATTTTGTGATGCAAAACTAAGACCACCGACGAAATGGATGATTTTTAACCCCGACACTTCTGTCGTCTAAAAAATATAAAAAATCATTATTATTTAATATGTTTAAACAAAGTTTTTTTAGGATCGTCGGTTACACACAAATCCTTACCGCTTTGTGTCTCTTCCTATCCAAATACAAATCAGTACCCGCCAATCTACCTAATACTGAGGCCCTGGGCCTTAATCCTTGAGCGGCCAAACTGATTACTGAGACAGCAATACCTGCAGCTAGACCTACGCTGATCTGTACAAATAGCGTGGTAAAAAATGTCACCACCCATACGAAACCGTCCCACTTACTCAGTCTCCAGTATTTCGGCAGTTCTTTCACTTGGTACAGCATACCCTACAAGTACACATTCTAGATCAAGCATTCTTCTATATGTATCCATAATATGTATGTATAAAATGAAATGACGTTTGTTAGTCCCGTTAAAACTAGAAAACGGTTGGACCGATTTAGCTAATTTTGGTTTTGAAATATTTGTAGTCAATTGAAGATTCAAATGGTGAGAAAATATAAAGAAATAAAGAAATTCCAAAAAAATAGTAAAAACAGTTATATATGATCATCATATATGTATAAAAAATATCATATATAAATTATATATGATGATGATGATCATCAGATCATCATATATAAAAATATATACGTAATCATATCATATAAATTATATCGTGAAATGTCATATATAAATTATATATGATAATCATACATAAAATGGTCATATATAAATGATATATCATATAAAAATATCATATATAATTTAACTTGCCTTTAAAGCCACAACTATTATACTGGCCAACACGCAACGAGGTAGTGTTTGAAACATCGGTCCGATCCACAGCAAAACGGTCAACAATATCGCGCTACTGACCACGCTGGCCAACTGCGTTTTTCCACCCACAGTTTGCTGGATCATCGATCTGGATAGCGAGGCGGTAACTGGCAGACAGGAGAAGAACGATCCCATAGTATTACTGAGCCCCTACAATAGTAGTTTTTTTATTAGGAGTAAAAATACTGCGAGACTGTACGTTTGACATTACAGGCGAGGCACAAAAAGTAATTTTTACCCCGACTAGATCATGCTATTTTTCAAACGTCACAAATAATTTTTTAAACAATTTCACCCGTTGCAAATAATATAAAAAATATAAAAGTAATATCTTGTAAGTAATTATACCGGGTGCGTCTCAAAAGTGGCTCATCCCTTTAACTTTTCTATTTTATCAGATAAAAAAACGAGATTTCGTATGTTAGTATATGACATAAATTAGGATTGATTGAGGTATTCAATCATTTTCGGCCACTTCCTGTTTCACCGGAAATGACTACAACTTTTGATTTTTAAATGGCACTCTCGGTATTTTGTTACTTTGTTCGATAGAAAATGACATTCAGTATATAATGACATATCATATGTCAACTTTTGATATTTCCGCTTAAAACAAAATTGTATTTTAAATTTCAATCACCAGAGTGCCATGGCTGTGTTAAAACACTAATTTTTAATCAAGGAGCCTTGGAAAAATAGATTTGATTAAAGTTCTAATGTTCCTGACCGGTTAAAAGATGCCCAAATCGTATTTTTGCGAGGGTGCCATTTGAACATCAAAAGTTGTAGCCATTTCCGGTGAAAGAGAAAGTGACGGGAAATAATTGAATACGTCAATCAATGATAATTTATGTCATATACCAACATACCAAATCTCGATTTTTTATCTAAAAAAAAAATAAAATAGTTATAGGGGTGAGCCACTTTTGAGACGCACCCGGTATATCAAAAAACTATTGTTGCGCTCGTTAAATTTGACACTTTATTTAGGTCAGTTTAATAATATATTTTCGTACTTTTATGCTTAGGCACAGCATAAACAACATATCTTATGCTGTGGCTTAGGAGTAAAGGAGCTTTACTTTTAGGCCTAGCCGTTAAAATGACTTTTTTATATTGTCAATCAAGTCACAAAAATTAATACTTTTTACTATATCTCTGATTTAAACACGTTCACATCATTTTATTACCATAGCTAACAATTCCTGATTGGAATCGACTTCGTACATAAGTTTTCTGGCGAATATTAACGCCATAGACATTGTTATCGTGTACGACACCATGGTTATCACAATAATATCCAACCAAATATGCGGAAGCAAAGTAAAAATTGGCAAGGCCGGTTCTGGAAACCTAAAATAAACTATTGTTCGTTTAATTTACGTGTACAGGGTGTCCCAAATCTAGGAGCATCATCATTGGGATCTCAGAAACTAGAATAGATACGAGTTAACAGATACAAAGATCCGCAATTACATGCCAAGATTTTTGAAAAAAAAAACGAATATTTGCCATTTAATTTTTGATTTTTTTGAGATTCTGAGTTGATATTTTCAAAATGTTTTAGGCGGATTGCAAGTTATTGATATTGCTCGGAAGCAGTACATTTTATATTTATTGTGAATAAACAGGGGTGTGGGGGTTCTGAGCCACCTCAGGCCCCTCAGTAAACCCGCCCATACGGTTGAGCAAGGCGCAACTTGTCTCTCTAATTTAATCATCAAATTAGCTCTGTTATCTATGAATTTAATCATACGTATCATATATTTGTGTCCTTTCTGGTTCACGAGATCCTACGAGATATCTGTTAGGGATGGGCGATAATGCATTTACTTATCGATAAGATATATCGTATTTCACTGCGATATAATATAACTATCGATATATTGATACTTATCGATATATTGGAAAAAATCCATTCTTAATTCTAAGCATCTAGAGGGTATCTAGTATATAAAGCGGTTTTATGAAATTTTAAGAAAAATTGAAAATATAATATGCACTAATTTTCATCTAATATTCAAGTTTTTAAGAAGATAAATAAAAATAACCCACAAAGTTATCAGTAATCGATGATCTATTAATACATCGATAGGCAACAATATATCAACAAGTATCGATAAGTCAATATATCGATACATTGATACTATCCGTAAGTGTAAAGGTAAGTGTCGATATATTAACAGGTATATCGATAATTTTAAAGACACCTATTGTTATTCGATTAATCGATAACTATTTATAGTATCGATATATTGAAAAAAATCCCATCCCTAATCCGATACATGAATCTTTACTTCTCAAAAAAAACCTAATAATTACTAACTTACCCAGTCGGTATAAATCCGACAATAGAAACATTATGCGTATGGTGTATATCGCTATAATATGCAACTACAGTACCCAGAGTCACAGCGACCAATTCAATGGGAAAAGGTACTTTACACCTTTTCGAAAACCAAGGCTAAAAAAGTAAAAAAAACCCTGAAGAAAACCCTTTAAATCAATGACTAAAGAATACAGTAATGAGAATACATGTAAAGCCCATATATGGGCTGCAGCAGAATTTGTGATGTTAGACGTCATTTTTTTTAGCAATTTTTATTAATTTGTGTTTCGTGAACTTTGTATAAACTTTATTACAATGGTGATTAGTTGTTTAGCTTTCAAGTGTAAAAGCCGCAGCCAGGAGTTACGTTTCATAGGTAAATAAACAGTTCACTCCACCTTTTTAAAGTTTTCTGAGTTTTCTTATTGAAATCGATAATTATTTTTCTGATATTATTGTAGGTACTTGATATTATGTGCTATTATTAAAATGTTAACAAAAGGTACAAAACTAGTATCGACGTATATATACTACTGTATATACTGCCATTAGTCGCTGACGAGTATTCGACACGCATCAAAAGATGGTCACGCTAGGCGTTTTCTTTCATGAGCTTTTCTGTGACTTAAAAGCCCGATACGTGATGTTATTTGCCTACCGCACTCCGGATATTTAAAAATCTCATTGCTTTGTTGCCTCTTTACTTTTTGGTTGTCGCTGTGAACTGAGTTTACAATTATTCTTCTCCTTCTGAGTTATATTGTGAACTGCTTCATCCCAAATGATTCTGCTTGTTAATCCCCTTTAAGTTTTCGTGGAAAATGTCCTTGTACCTTTTGAGTTGTCCACCCGGCCTCCTGTTACCGTCTACAAGCTCACCGTAAAGCAGAGATTTTGGTATGCGATTTTCTTGCATTCTGCATACGTGACCAGTCCATCTTAAACGGGATTTTGTAACCATGACTTCAATATTCTCGAAATTAGCTTTTTCAAGGACCGATACGTTTGAGACATGATGGAACCACCGGATTCTTAAGAGTTGTCTAAGGTATCTCTGTTGCAACTTGTTTAATGCGTTCATATGTCGGCGGTACGGCACCCAGGTTTCGCTCCCATATAACATGGTGGGGATTATAATTGCTCGGTACACTGCAAGTTTCGTTTTTGTACTCAAGTCATGATTGTAAAAAATCCTGTCTTTTAATTTCCAGAATGCTCTTGAGGCGCTGCTAATCCTGTGCTGAATTTCAGAGTCGATATTGGCCTTTTCCGAAATCAAACTGCCGAGGTAATTAAATTCCGCTACATATTCCAATAGTTCTTCTCCGATTTTTATAGCATTGTTATGGTCTTCCGTGGGAGTGCACATGATTTTGGTTTTGTCAATGTTTAGCTTAAGGCCCAAAGCCTCGTATGCCCAGGTATATGTGTTCAACATTTCTTGTAATTGTTGAAACGTGTTTGCAACTAGAGCGCAGTCATCAGAGTATTGAAGTTCTGTGATGAATTTTGTACGTGTTTTTGCCCTGAGTCTTGCTCTGTTGAACAGACCGCCGTCATATCTGTATCTAATGCCCAGTCCTCTCTCCTGCAGTTTGCTGTCCACTATAATGGAGAGCGCTGCCATGAATATGTTGAAAAGGAGAGGCGCTAAGACACATCCCTGCCTAACTCCTATATTTGTTAGGAAGAGATCGCTCAGTGATCCATGATGTGACACTCTTGACTGGTTGTTGTTATGGAGGCTTTTACACACTGCAAGAAATTTGTTGGGTACTCCGAACTTTTTCATAATTGCCCAAAGTGCATCTCTGTTCACAGAGTCGAAGGCTTTTGTTAGATCGATGAATGCAACATAAAGTTTAGACTGCTGCTTTTTTACTTTTTCCTGTAGTTGGCGGATGGAAAATATGGAATCGACGGTGCCACGGTTGGTACGAAAACCCGTTTGCGATTCTGGAAGGATTTTTTCTATATGTGGGTGCAGGCGATTTGACATAATTTTTGCAAGAATTTTTCCTCCGATAGCCAACTGTGAAATTCCCCGGTAATTTCCGCAGTCTGATGCACTTCCTTTGTTCTTAAATATATTCACTATATTCGCATTGCAAAAGTCCTGAGGTACCTCTCCGCTTTCCCATATGACATCGAAGAGAGCCAACTATATATAGCACTGTGCTATACGTCGATACTAGTTTTGTACCTTTTGTTAACATTTTAATACGTTTTTTCGTAATTAATTAGTATGATACCACAGTATACACCATAGGCGTAGTTAAAACACTTATCAAAAATCTGAATATCTTGATCTCGTGTGTTATTGGTCCTTGTATTCTTTAGTCATTGGATAGTATAATAACGTACCTTGACTACTTCATTATTGATAATTAAGATTATACAACAAATCACGCTTATAATAATGGCCGTTGTATTTGCACTGGGCAACGCCACTATCGAGTCGTATATCGTCTAAAAGAAGATAGAAAATATATTTTTTTCCTCAATGAAATCTACATACGTATATGAAGGCAAAATTGCCCCTTCTTTTAATGACGGATATACCGAGTAAATCTTTCAATTGGGACGATGCCACGTGAAATGCAGAGGCACAGGTAAATCCTCCCACCAGAGTGTCCGAAAGTAAACTGGACACAGCGCCCAATTGTAAAAAATACATAAAAAGCTGAAAATTAAAATAAGATGTTGTATAGATCAGAAAATTGAAGGGTGTGGATGTTCTTATACTTGCAATATGGCCACGCCAAAGGTTACGGTGACCGCAACTTGAATGTTGGTAAGTACTGGACTGGCCTCACCGAATTTTAAGGCAACTATTTGATTATCTATACTTCGTGCGGTACCATTTTGCATTATTTCCACTGTCGAGTATTCGCTTACTACTTTTCCCGTCATTAGACAAACGATTGCAAAAGTTCCTAAAATAATTTCGTTCATAAAATTAGTGTATACAGAGCGAGTCTTAAATAAGTGCAAATATTTTCAGTGCTGGTAGATCTCGATAAAAGAAATATATTTTCTCTTTGCCGTTTTTCAAGTCAGTCTAAAATAAACGAGTTATTTTACTTTAAAAATTAAAAAATATATATTTCTGGCTTAAATTTTGTGAACGTCTGGATCTTTTTGTTTTCCTTTCTTGTAAATTTATTCTACTACCTAATGTTGCCATTTTATCAAGACAGAATATTAATTCTTTAACTAAAAATTATAAAAAAATCCAAATTTTCAAAATTTTTCTCACGAAAACTACCTCATAGACGTATTTCTAGGATCGAATTATACTATCCCTAAAAATATCTGCACATATTTAAGACTCATTCTGTATAAGGGCCTATATAGACGCTTGATTCTTTAGCACAGACTGATTATGTAGACCAGTTTGCGCAGTTTAACCTGTACTACATAAACTAACTAACCTGCCTTTCCTACATACACGCAGTTCTATAGCACAGTTTTGTCTACAGTGAACTGAATAAAGCATCCACTAATAGATTCAGCATAGTTTTTACAGTGAAAATGAAATGCACAAATCAGCTTTGAACCGACGGTCTGTACTAAGCGTCTGTTGCAAACTTTATTTGAAATTTTGCAAATATGTTGAGCTCTTCTGAGTCTATTTTACGTTATTTATTATTTATTCTATAATTGGTTTTGTTTCGTAATGTTAGTAGTTATTTTTTTAACAATTTTAATAATTAATAGCATTTATTGACAACGTTAAAAGAAAATTAACAAATTATTGAATCACATCATACTTTTTAAGCTTTACGAAGTTTGTTAATATGATCTTTCCTTAAATTTATTGATTCAAATTACTACACTTACCCATTGACACATGCTTGGAAGTCCCAAAAACAAAATAAATTAAAACAGGAAAAAAAGCCATGTATATTCCAGTAATTGGAGGTACATTGCCTAATAATCCGTAAGCCATACCCTAAAAATATAAATAAATAAAAAAATTGCTCTTTATAAGCTTAATAATATCGCACGATAAAAAAAAACAGCGTCATATACGGCTGGGGAATGGGGAATGATAATCGATGACAATTTTGGCGAGGTCAAGCCCTAGACGTCATTACCTGGCCCGTACTCTTCTTTGTTTTTTAATGGCGCTTGCTACCAGTTAAGATGCGATTTCCTAGCGAGGTCTGGCGTCCGCGACTCGCCGCACACTGGTTCGTTTTTATGAACGTACCATTGCGATAAAAAAAACTAGTACAACAAAATATGATTTAATCTGCCGGTCTATAATAAAATATTTTTAAAACTTGAAAAATTGCCCATTTTTAAAAGGTAGGTAAATTTTTTATACTTTTATTTCGCCACGTATACCTACCAATTATTACCAAATTCATGGTAACGCCTAAAAAGTTAGGTGGCATAATTGTATTGTTTTCATATTGACGACGATATCCACTTCTCGATATCCTTCCAAAAACTAATGGCCAGGGGCGCTATTCTGTACACGGCATCGACAATCGTCGGTATCGGTAAGTTGCGATAGCTCTCGGTACGTATTTGTATATAGTAATTATGTGTTAATTGTTGTTGTCATAGTTACCGATCGGCCCTATGGCAGACATCGTAATTTGTACCGATGAGGATCGCTATCTCTACCGTCCCCTTGTTAACCCCACGGTAGAGATACCGATAGACGTCGGTACAAGTTTGCTATATGTCCTATTAGTGACAGCTAAAAACTATGACAACAACAATTAACACGACGCGCATTGGGCGTACGTACCGATAGCTGTCGGTAACTTACCGATACCGGTACCGGTAAGTTACGACAGCTCTCGATACCTATTTGTATATAGTAAAAATGTGTTAATTGTTGTTGTCATAGTTACCGATCGGTCCTATGGCAGATATCGCAAATTTGTACCGACGAAAATCGGTATCTCTACCGTGCCCTTGTCAACCTCACGGTAGAGATACCGAGAGTCGTCGGTACAAATTTGTGATATCTGTCATAGGGCCGATCGGTAACTATGACAACAACAATCAACACGACGCTCATTGGCCGTACGTACCGATAGCTGTCGGTAACTTGCCGATACCGACGATTGTACAGAATAGCGCCTCAGGAATTCTATCTGGGACTAAATTTTTCAATTCCTTAATCATACCTTTAAGAAGGTTGTAATTTATTTTTGTTAGGTAGAAATGATTTTTAAATGGTGTAGTTTAAAATTAGAGAAAAAATATTTTTTTAGAATTAGATTTGTCTGTCTGAACCCCGTTTTCAGACAGACAAATCTATTTCTAAAAAATATTTTCTATATTTCTAATAGGTTCTATCCTTTTTTATCTCTATAATTCGTGTTCATTTTGACAAGTTTTATGTCAATTTTTGGCAAATGACGTCTAGAGATTGACCTCACTAAAATTATCATTGTCATTCTCCAACCGTTTTAGAAGCCGTTTTTTTTTCGATCGTATGGTATTAAGATGGTACTAAGTATATATGATGTAAAAAATGGCGCTTACTTGTGGAATATGCATAATAGCAACGGTAATTCCACTGATAATATCCGCTGAAAAACTTTTTTTCCAATTATATTCTGGCAACCATCTTAATAGAGGTACGGTACTAAGTAAAAACTGACCAATATTAATCGATTTACAATACTTTCTGCACTGTGCCTTTACTAAAAACAAATTCGTTGTTTATTATAAGTAAGTAACACAATACTTACTCAGAGATATAGAGGTACCGAGAATGAGCTTTAAAAAATTATTTGAATTAAGAAATGAGTGATTTCTTTTCTGTTTTGTAAAATTGTTGCTTGGATATAAAACTATTATTGTATTGTTGTAATCTGATTCTGATTCAGAACTAAAGTTTTGTTACAATAATTTGTTTCAATGGCGAATCAGACATTTTTATGCAGACGTTTTTATAAAACTGTATCCCAATATTATGGAGTTTAGAGGTAAGGAGAAATATCTTAGTGCATTAAAAAATGGTCATAAAAAAGAGAAGACTTAAGATGGCGCTGCTGTAGCAAAAACCTAAAATTTAAAATATGCTCCGAAAATTTTTAGAACAGGAAATGATTCAAAAGAGAAAAATATTTGACGTGAAGGTGCGGGTTTCAAAAAAATACAAATTTTATTTTCATGTCACATGAAATAAATTATCGATTTTTATTCAGTAGGAATATACTGGGCCTGAAATATATAAAAATAATTTTTTTATATATTCTAAAAAATAAAACAAAGCTTTTTTTGGGTAATGTTTGGTTATGTTACTATTATTCTCTTATTTATGGTTACTTTTTATTTTTTAGAATTATGCGTCATTAGCGCCACTGTGGTTATTTGGTGAGCCCTTATTCTCCCGATTTTTGTGACTACTTTTACGAATAAAGTCTCATAAGAGATATTTCTCCTTTCTCCTCATCTCTACACTCCATAGTCTCAATTTGCGGACTAATTGCGGACCACCACGCAGCGTGTCGCGTCTTGCCCATGTCTTGCCGGTCGAGTCAGGTCGCGCCAGGTCATGTCACACGCGATATACGCGACTCACTTTGCGCGTAGCCTACTCTTCAATTTATGCTCATTCTTCCTCTATATCCCTGTACTTACTTGAAGTTGCAGGTTTTTGGTAAAGACTATCTTTATTCAGATCTTCGATTTGATACACAGGGCGTTCTATATGTAAGTCCGGTGTGTTTTGGTTAACCATGTCGTCGGTAATTGAAAAACTGAAAATAAAATGTGTTTAGGAATGGTTTTAAATGGTTATTTAAACTTATTGCTACTTTTTTGACATGAACAAATTATGTGACATATATTGACTTGATTGAAAAATGATTTGTCAAATTATTATGAGACGTTTCATTCCTTGGTTGTTTTGTCTTGTGTCTTTGAATAAAATGATTATAGATATAGGGAAGTATAATTGAAAGATTATGAGAAATAAAAATATTTGTGTAACACAAAGGTATAACATTTAAATTTCATAATTTTTAAATATGTATTTTTTTTAAATCTCATTTTTTTAATATGTTTTACATAAAGCTTAACACTATCTACTCACCTGTCTATCATTGCAGAGTGTTTAATAAATGTTTCGTCTTCCTTCGTCATTATTCATAAAAAAATAAATGTGTATATTTTAATTAAATGAAAAACTAGAGCACAGACATGCCGAGAGAAAGTAACTTTATAACAATATATCTAGTTATGTCACAACCAGGATTTTAAAATACTTGAGTACCCTTGATAAAATCAGCTCTTAATGATTATCGTGTAGTACCTGCAAAAAAAATATTGTAGCGTTAATAATTTGAATAAATATTGAGAATGTGTCTAAATGATAGTTGGCACCTAGTAAAAATAATGTAGTTTGTATATATTATTTATTTTAACTATAAAATGTCTAATTATAATAAATTTGAATTTACTGTCAATTTTTGAATGTCCTCTGTCGAAATCATCCCTTAACTTTAGGGACTTTAGTTTGATTTTAGAGTTTTATTTTTAATTTTAATTTAAATAAAATTTTGCGTGAAAATCAACAATACATACCGCCGGTAAATCACAACACGCACTTGTGATTATAATACAATATAATCAAATTGGTATTTAAAAGACCTATTAAAGCAGATTATTATAGCTTGTAATGTGCAAATAAGATAATCAAAGTGCTTAACAATCCGATAAAACCATAAAGTATGTCTCTGAACTTTGCTGAATATAAAATAAACCGTATAATACTTATGCGGCTTATTTTAAATATTCATTTTTAATTAACTCTTGTATATACAGGGTGGTCCACTAATAATAAAGTAAGGAACTGTTAACGGAAGAGCTTTACGAAAAAATATTACAGGTTACAGGTTAATCAACCAATGAACCAATAAGTGAAATCTAATAAATTATAGTAGTATACCGGGTGCGTCTCAAAAGTGGCATCTCTATAACTTTTTTATTTTTTTATATGAAAAACAAGATTTGGTATGTTAATATATGACATATAAATTATGATTGATTGAAGTATTCTATTGTTTTCGGTCACTTCCTGTTTCACCGGAAATAATTGCAACTTTTGATTTTTAAATGACACTCTCGGTATTTTTTTACATTATTCGATAGAACATGACACTCTCCGAATAGAATAACATTTCATATGTCAACTTTTGACATTTTCGCATATGTTTTATTTGAAATTGTAACATGGCGGTTCATAACGACAACTTGACTCGAAATACCGAGTGTGTGGTACCAAATTGTTCCATTGAGAGAATTGAGATATGATTAAAAATACGATTTGAGCATTTTCTAACTGGCCAGGACAAGACACTAAAAATATTAGACGATCAAACCTATTTATCCAAAGCTCCTTCATTAAAAATTATGTCATGGTACCCTAGATTGAAATTTAAAACAGGATATTTTTTTAAGTGAAAATGTCAAAAGTGGACATATGATAAATATGTCATTCTATTTAGAGTGTCATTTTCTATCGTATAAAGTAAAAATAAACCGAGGCAAGGGTTCCATTTAAAAAGCAAAAGTTGTAGTAATTTCCGGTGAAACAGGAAGTGATCAAAAACAATTGAATAAGTCAATCAATCCTAATTTATGTCATATACTAACATCCCAAATACCGTTTTTTTATCTGAAAAAATAAAAAAATTATAGAGGTGAGGCTCTTTTGAGACGCACCCGGTATAAGTATAGCATAACTATATAAGCAAAACTGTAGGGTGCCAGCCCCACCAAGGGATATAAGATATGAAAAAACACACGATCTGGCTAGAAAAGGTGCCAACACTCCACTAACTGGACCAGAAAAGTGGACTCCAGCTAATAGCGAAACTCAAGAACCTGGAAGACTCAATTTGTAACCTGGAATGGGAATCCTCCAGCGGTCTAAGACACGAAGAAATTTCTCAGGGCTTACGACGGAAAAAATATTTCCTTAATAATAAAAACTACTCTGGGTGCCTGCTCACCAAGGGATAGAAGGCAATGAAAAAGCAAACGATCTAGCTAGGAAAGGAGCGAACACTCCACTAACTAGACCAGAACCGTTCTGTTTTCCAAACGGGAACCAACTGAAAGCGGAACTGAAGAATCTGGAAGACTCCATCCGTAACTTGGAATGGGTGTCCTCCAGCGGTCTAAGACACTCGAAAAAGTTCCTTAGAACTTATGACCGAGAAAAATCAAAGGTTTTCCTTGATTTAAGTAAAAACAATCTTCGGATTGTCACGGGGTTTCTAACAGGACACTGTCTCCTCAACGAACACCTCAGTAGGCTGAAACTGAGAAACAACGGCGAATGCAGATTTTGTGGGGAAAATGGGGAAACACCAGAACACCTTATCACTGAGTGCGCCAAGACGACGACCATTCGTGCCATGAACCTTGGCACGTCTGATGTCGAGGATGGAGAGCTGGCCTCTGTGGAGCCGTCTCAGATACTGGCTTTTCTTAAAGCCCTGAGACTGTATGATGAGTTATAACTCGTTATAACTCAAGAAAGGGGAACACACAATAGATCTATAAGGTCGCGGTGATTAACTCCCCTTCTAAACATTCTACATTCTACATTCTAATAATAAAAATATTTTCCTTAATTTAAATAAAAACAATCTTCGAATTGTCACGGGGTTTTTAACAAGACACTACTGTTTTCTCGGTGAACACCTCAGTAGATTGAAGCCAAGAAACAACGGCGAATGGAGATTTTGTGGAGAAAATGAACATGAAACAACACCAGAACACCTCATCTCTGAGTGCACCGAGAGGACAACCATTCGGGCCATAAACTTTGGTACGACTTATCTCTGGTACGACTGATATCGGAGATGGTGAACTAACCTCTGTAAAACCGTCTCAGATACTGGCTTTAATCTTAAGTTCTGAGACTATATTATGAGTTATAACTCAAGAAAGGGGGACATCATAGCTCTATAAGATCGCGTTGATATTAACTTCCCCCTCTCCCATACTATCTAAAATCTACTACAGGGAGCGTAACAGCAATATAAAATCTAAAATCGAGATACTTGCAGAGATACTTGCATTCTTATATCGGACACTCTGTATATGTCTATACCTTTGCGGCGGGTTCATTTCTCGAAAAAAATTCTGGGGTTTTCACCACACTGGAACAAAATCTAAAAAATAAAAAGTTATTTTTTGTAAAAAACAACTGCGTTGAACAACTGCGAATCCAAACGAAAGCCATCAGCTTGCCAATGACTTTACTAGTAAAACAAATTTGCCTAACCGACAAAAAAATGCTTAACGTATCAGGAGGTATATCTCCTCACGTCTCAAAACTAAAATGTTCTTGAAAAGTTGTTAGTATTTAGATATTAAAATAGTTCTTTTTTCTGTTCTCTTTCAAAAGATACATCATGAAACGTTAATATTTTTGTCGGTTAGGGCAATTTTGCTTTGTTAGTAAAATACCACGGACAAATTAGTCTTTGTTGGATCAACCTGTGGATCAACGCAGAGGTGTTTACAAAAAGAAACTTTTTTATTTTGTAGATTTTGTCCCAGTGGCGAAAAACCCAGAATTTTTTTCAAGGGATTTTGTGGGATTTTGTATATAATTTTAAGGTTGAAATATCTGGTCAAGGTATTTCTATGAAGTTGTTCGAAAATTACAAAAAAAATTACTATTAAAAGTTGAGTGAAGATGAACTAAAATACAGTGGCGCATCTAGAGATTGAATCTGGGAGAGGTAGTGATGGCAATATTTAAATAAAGTACTAAATTTAAATTATATTTTCGCTGAAAGTTGCGTTTGGTTACTGTGGCTAACCTCTATTTGAACCTCTATGACTTTTATTTTTTCAGATTAAAAAAAATTAGATTTATTTAGTATGTCCGTATTACAGTCCGTATATATGACATAAATTATGGTTTATTGACGTATTCAATTGTTTTTGGTCACTTACTGTTTCGGAATATAACTACAACTTTTAATTTTTAAATGACACCCTCGGTATTTTTTTACTTTATTTGATAGAAAATGACAATCTGAATAGAATGACATATCATATGTCAACTTATGATATTTTCGCATATGGTTTATTTGAAATTGTAACATGCATTTTATCTTATTCATAAAAATTTCTTTCTGAGAGGGGTAATTACGCCACCCGTATATGCGCCCCCGCTAAAACATAACCGAAAAAAAAATTTTAAACCAGAATAAAGGCAAAAATCCTAAAAAAACTAACAATATTAATATTTTACTATCTGCTAAGTTTAAAGAAAAATGCAACATTATATCCAGAGTATAATCTATTTTTTTATTTAGATGATTAGCACTTTTAGACGCTGTTAATACGCCAGTAAATAAGTAATAAAGCAATTTTTAACAAGCATTAAATAAATCTGTAAACCAACAAAATCTTCTCGATCTTGAGACTTTTTATAAGATAATTTAGTCATTATGAATTCAAAAGATCTGAATAAAATTGACTATAAAGTTATACAGGGTGTTTCAAAAAACATGCACCATCTCTCGTGGAGAGATTTCTACGTTAAAATAAGATTTATTTTTTACATCAGCATATAGGTCCCATTCTGCTTTGCTTCGTAGGTACAGAAATTTTTTCTATTTATTATAATTTTCGTCCAATTGCTTTGAGCGATTCGAATGAAATTTTGAAGTTACTATAAAAGCGACATATTGCTATGCTAAAAAAGTGTAAACTTTAACCTGTAGCTACGAAACAAAGCAGAATCGGATCTATGTTGATATACAGGGCGAGTCTTAAATAAGTGCAAATATTTTCAGGGCTGGTAGATCTCGATAAAAGAAACATATTTTCTCTTTGCCGTTTTTCAAAAGTCCAAAATAACTGAGTTATTTTACTTTGAAAATTTCCAAAAAAAAAAAATATTTTTGCTTAAATTTTGAGAACCACTGGATTTTTTCTGTATTTTCTTTCTTGTAAGTTTGACCTACTACCTATGTTGCCATATTATCAAGAAATTACGGGTTTTAACTAAAAACTAAAAATATTTCCAAAAAATTCCAAATTTTCAAAAAAAAATTTTCGCAAACTAAACCTCATAATCGTGTTTCTGGGGTCAAAAATACTACTCCTAAAAATATTTACACTTATTTAAGACTCACCCCGTATAAAATAAATCTTGTTTTTACCTGAGAAATCTCCCCACGACCCACGAGAGAGGGTATACCGGCAATAGTTTTTTTGAAACGCCCTGTATACACGTCCCATACGTAACCAGAAGATGTAAGATGATTTAAAGAATACGAAAATAAAAATACGATATGTCGCACTTGCCTAAAAAATGTTGTTTTTACACCCATTATGGTGATCCGTATACAGAGTGTCCGAGAAATAAGTGCAAGTATTTTAAGGAGTGGTAGATCTCGATAGAAGAAACATATTTTCTCTTTCCAAGTCCAAAATAACGGAGTTATTTTACTTTGAAAATTTCCAAAAAAAAAAGATTTTTTGCTAAAATTTTGAGAATCTTTTCTGGATTTTCTTTCTTGTAAATTTAATCCAATACTTATGTGCCATTATAAAATTATGTTTTTTAATTAAAAACTAAAAAAATTTCCAAAAAATTTTTCCAAAAATTTTAAATTTTCAAAAAAATACTGCAACCTCATAGGCGTGTTTCTGGGGTTGAACTATACTACCAGTTAAAATACTTGCACTTATTTCTGGGGCACCCTGTATATCAACAACAATACCAACCCCATATCTTAATAGTAGATTATTTTCTTGTATCTATGCCCATATCACAGCCCCAGGGGCGGATACAGGAATTTATTTTAGGGGGGGGACCCAAATTAAAAAGTATCGTAGAATATGCATTTTAGGGCGCCATTTTTAACCCAAATGCCCAAGATTTAACCCAATTTACAGATTTTAGCCCCATGGGCCCCCCCTTTGTATCCGCCACTGCACAGCCCATATGTCTCTCTCCAACACTTTTACCTCTCTTTGGAATATTCTGTATTATATGTACATTTGTACAGAGCAAGTGTGCTATATCATTGCATTTGGGAGGTCACAAACTTTTAAAAAATGAAATAAAAAGAGCAGGTCCGTATTTAAAAAATTCAAGTTGATGACGGTATCTCGAAAAACAAAACGTCGTGTCGGATTGAAAATCTGATGACATCAGCTTGTAGAGCAGGAAAAGTGGCTATGGGAGTGTGATTTTTTTATTGTCGTAGGTATCTATTGAAAAACAGCCAGAAAAACAGAAAAACCAAATCGGAAAAATTAGGTTTTCCCTGTTTTCCCCAAAATATCTTCGGAGATATTCGGATATTCGATTAGGACTACGAAGATTGAACAGTAACGTCACTCGAGCTACTTGCCAAAACCCAAAACAACTTAAGGCCTTAAAAGAGAGATCACGTGACGTGAGCGGATTATACATCTATGTTTTCTTAAGTCTAAACTCTAAACTGGTCTAGAGTAAGCAGGAGTAAGTAAACAATAATTATATCTCACCTTATCATTTTAACAGCAAAGTCACAAAAATATGTATTTTCAGTATGTTGTTTATCTATTCTTAAAGTTACTCATCATGACAATGAACTGAAAATACACAGAAATCGCAAATAAAATGAATGAAACATGTGATCAGTATGGGCGGGGCCAAATTGATTATTTCCCAGTGATGTAGATAGTAGATAGATCATCGATAGATCTAAGACGAAATATAGATTAACAAATAAATTAAATTTAAAAGCATATATACGATTTTTTAGGTTGAAACCATCCTTTTTTAGCATTTAATAATATCTTTAACGTTACATAGCTTTAAATAGCTCGTAAAAAAAAACATATAAAAGTATAATAAATAAATAGTTTTATTTTGATTTACCCAAAAAGGACATTTTTAAATTGCATCTACGTCATACACATTGATCGCAACCTATAAGTGATATAATATATCACAACCTATTTTACGTGATGTGATATATTCTTTTAGGCCTGCCTGCTGCCTGATTATTATAACCCATTATAACCTTATTATAACAAGTAGCTCGAAATGACGTCAGTATAGTGGTCAAAGATGAGAGGAGTTATAATATATTTCTTGCAAGTTTATTTAGCAATAAATGACTATCCTTGGACTACCTTTAGCAAAAAATCAATACTACACAATTGACAATACAAAGACCAGTAAGAGTAAGACCCGTGACCAAATTCCACATGTCTCGAAACTGTGCCGTGCCACATATTTTTCTTAACTTAGATGTTTTGACTACACCTATTGTGTATGTTATGCTGCTTATTTACGTGGTATCATACTAATTAATTACAAAAAAAAGTATTAAAATGTTAACATAAGATCACTAAAACAAGTATCTATGTATCGCTCATATCAAGTACATATAATATCAAAAAATAAAAATTATGAAATTCAATAAGTGGAGTGGGCGTGTTTCTGGGGTTGAATTATACCGTATGATCGAGAAAAAACGGCGTCAGCGATGGCTATGAAATGAAAATCGCTGTCATTTTATATGTAAATTTATATAGGAAATGTCATCGATCGTCATTTTCCAGCCAACTGGACGCCATCATACGGTACTACCAGTTAAAATACTTGCACTTATTTCTTCGACACCCTGTATTTTATCACAACGCAAGTCCGTCTACTATAGTGACGCCGGAACTCGTTATCCCTTCGGCCTCTATCCGTAATTCACGATCTAACGATTGCCATATGTTTCTAAAACGTCATTTTGACGTTTGTCAACGAAAATAACCTAATTTTAGTCGATCGGAGTACGATTTCCAGTTTTTAGAATTTTATATTTATCTTTTTTAACTATTATTCACATTAGGACAGGATTTAAAGCATCAAATATCTTATGCAAAAATATACAATCTGAAACGTGTGTAACATGTAATTATTTGTGTTTTTAAATATGATTAGCCATTTTTTTTGAGACAATAAAATTCTAGCACTTTCTAAAAAGATTCGATGTGTCTGCCAGCTAAAAATAGTACATTACTTTTATATTTCGTATTATTCGTAGTGACATATTTTAGAAAATAACTGGATTATACGGCTATTTTTAGCGCACTGTAGAGCGTTTTTTTACCCATCTTTTGGCATTTTTCAGTGTCCCAAATACGACATGGTTTCCCGAAAGTCCTCCTAGGAGATAATTAAATTTAGTACCACCGAATGCAAGAAGATATTTCTTAAAAAAATATATTAAAAATGCCAGTGTTAAGTCCACATAGAAGTTTATCCTCCGGATTGTCTGGATCATATCGGTACACTTACAATACAGCCTTTGATAAGCCTTATTATGGAAGTACTAGTTATAACCCTCGGTTGTCTAGTTATTCAGAACGATTTACGACAAGAACTTATACGGATTCAGATGGGAGAAGAGTATACTTAAGGTAAGTACCTATTTATAGTACTAGATATATGGATATGAGGCTATGAATCAACATTTTGCGTATATATCTAATAGTAGAAAAATATATCTAATAGTAGAAATATTATAGAAAAACAAGAAAGATACTGTGCAAATGTTTATAATCTTGTTCATTCTAAACACTCTAAACAAAGGATAGGGTAGTCACAGGTCTATCATTGTCTATTCAGGGGCCTGCAACAGTGCTTCGGGCATCTGTAGCTGCTATAATAAAATACTTCCGAATTTTTTTAAGTGTACAAACCAAGCAAAATATTTAAATTTTACTGGGTGACTCAAAAAAGTGTGAATGGATCAGGATGATTTTTTTTAAATGGAACATCCTTATAATATTGCATTTTTGACTTCCTTTCTGATCACTTTGCATTATCCTAAGATATTAAATTTTTTTCAATAGTTTCTGAGATATTAATAAACAATCTAGCCTTTTAAAAAAAATATTAAAAATACAAGAAATGCCCTGGAATTAAAACTATACTAGGTATTTATTGTCGATGATCTGTACTTACTTTGCTACATCATAGAGGGTGTTCAAAATTCCACGCCACACTTTCTTTAAATATAAAATAATTTTTCTTAGTTTTTTTAAATGGAACACCCTATATATTATTTTTTTGTTAGATGCAGAATTAAAAAATGAACATATTCGCGGTATTTTGTTACACATGGCTCTTTCAACAGTAGATTTTTCTGAAAAATGTTTTTACCATTGAAAGAGCCTTATTTTTACCATAGAAACAGAAATATATATGGTAATAATACCTTTTTATTTTTAATCTAAGATAATACCGCGATTATCTGTAAAACCGTTAAAATTTCAAAATACTTTAAATACAAAAAATGTTTGTTTTAATTCTCTATCTAACAGAAAAATAATATAATGGATGTTCCATTTAAAAAAAAACGAAGAAAAATTATTTTATATTACAGAGAGTCTTTCATGGAATTTTATGCATCCTGTATGATTTAAGATTACGATATTTATAATATAGTATATACTGTCCCACTATAGTAAGTACCTAGCATAGTTTTTATTTCAGGACACGTTATATTTTTTATATATATTTTTTTTAAAAGTTTGAAAAATATATTTTTTTATTTATTTATTTATATTTCCGAAATTATCAAGACACAGTTAATAATATCTTAGGACTATTAAAAGCAATTAAGGAGAAGGCAAAACTGCAATAATATACATATACACGGTGTTCCATTTAAAAAACGTTTTACTGATCCAATCACACTTTTGTGAACAACTTTGTACAGATTAAAATATTTTCCTGAAATAGTCTCTAGTACATACCGTATGATCGAAAAAAAACGGCGTCCAGTTGGCTAGGAAATGACGATCAATGACATTCCTGCAAATGACAGCAATCTTCATTTCATAGCCAACGATTTCCTGCAAATGACAGCAATCTTCATTTCATAGCCATCGCTGACGCCGTTTTTTTATATCATACGTTACTTTAGGTATGCACTTAAACAAGTTAGGTATGCACTTAAACATTCCTAAGTTGTTTTTACAAGACCTACAGATGTCTGACGCTCTGTTGCAGAACCCTGTATATTTAGGTAATACCTTTTAGACCTTTTATAAAAGTAGGCGCACAAAAAGATTGTGCTATTTCTCTAATATTGCTTATATTCCTCTTATGGTCTTTTTATACCTCTACTAAAAATGTACAGTAGAACCTTTTTAGTTTTATCTTTAATTATTTTTAAAATTTATCTTCGATTAACCTCAGAAGTGGCTCAATCACGGAAGATGGAGTGACGACAAAATTTCGAGAGGAATCTAGAGAGGGCTCGTCATCTCGAGACAGTGGAATCAATTCAGTGAGAGAAGGCAGTGCCTTGGATTTTCCTCGAAGGTAATATACAGTGTGGACTATCAGTGCGAGGAAGTCCAATATAGTTGTATTTTTTTAATGCAGAATTAAAACACTCACATTTATTTTATTTGAAGTATTCTATATCTTTGATCGTTTCGCGCAGAGATTTGCAGTTTTATTACTATTGTTTTATAATTATATGACTTTTTCAGTACTAAAATATAAGGCAAAAAATCATGGGGTGGTTTTGCTAAAGATTTACTGTTGAAAGTGCCGTGTGTAATATATTGTCAAGGTGTATGTGGCGCTAAACTGTATTACTGGTTGCCTACATTGTCGCAACGTGCCTACGTGTCAAGAAACATGGCGAATTCACCAGAAAGTGAAAGAAATATTACAGAATTCTATAGAAGGTTCGAGAAACAGTCAGCAGGGGTATATAAAGGCCCACGTTTGACAATACCGCGTTTTAAATTGTGAATTAATTGGCGAACGTGCCAGAACCGTTAGAGCAATAGTAGTTGCATAAATTGTGTTGTAAATAGTATAAGTTGTGTGTACAGAGTGAGAAAAATAAATTCGTTAAGTATTTTATCGTGAGTTTAAATTAGTGGATCCACGGAATCCGTAACAATATTAACGCCAATAACTGCTAAACCGTTAAAAATTTAGGAACACTTTAAATGCAAAAAATATTCATTATTTTATTCTGCATCTAAAAGAAAAATAATATACAGGGTGTTGTATTTAAAAAAATTGAGATATAGCATTCTAAATATTGCGGTGGTCATAAAATTTACCCTGTATAAGATAATGTAAATTTTCCTTCGCGGGATAATTCTGTTATCCTCGATGTTTAGGAAAATATAGCTATGTATTAATAAAGTTTTCTCTTTTAGTTTTTAACCACTTTGCCGTTATAGTGTTTTTAACTAAAGTTTCGGTAAACATGAAATAGAATGGCAACAACGCATAGTGCGAGAAATAAAAATAGCGTTTTATATGTAGAATTTTATGCTGAATCCAAATCTGTAAAGAAAAATGGGTGGTGAAATTTAAAAAAACTTAAAACTTTATCATAACCTTTTTTTGTGACACCGTATACAACAAAATATTTTTAAAATATGCCCCTTTATAAACCATATAACATCTGTATAAAACTTTTTTTTATATCTTCGACAACGACGATGATATTGGACTTCCTCGCACTAATGGGCCACCCTGTATACACATAGTTCATTTCTCTGGTGATGATTTAAGGTTAATAATACTTAGTATCAATCAGTAACAGTTGTAACAGTCCTGAAATGGTACTTTCTATTAGGGTAGAGGGTACTACTGGTGGTACTATTTTTATCCTTACAAATACAGAAAGTACAACAAATGGCAAAAAAACTAGGACTTTTTATATAAGAATAAGTTAATACATTATTGAAACTACTGTATCTATCTTATTAAAAAAAATATCACCAGTAGTACATTCTACCCTAATAGAAAGTACACTTTCGGAACTGTTATGGAATTTTACACTATCGCTATTCGCTTTGGTATTAAAATGTGTGTAAGAGTACGACATTTCAAGAAAAAAAACGGTCTACCAATGTTCTTAAAAATAGACGAAATACCGTATGATCGAAAAAAACGGCGTCAAAGACGGCTGAGGAATGACGATCGATGAAAATTTTGGCGAGGTCTTTGACGCCGATTTTTTTCGATCATACGGTACTTTAGATGTTTATTTGAACTTCTTTTCTTAAAAACATATATGAGAAATCACACCATGAAATTTTTTAGACTGCTTATTAAACACCCTGTATATTAATGTTTTATGAATTATTTTCCTGTTTTTTTAGAGACAGTTCGCTGAGTAGATCCGATAGAGTGTCCACTTCCAGCGTGATAGACTCGGTGGCGGAAATGAGGAACAAGTATTCTCCAGCCAATTACGTACCGGCCATTTACAGGAACAAATATGAAAATATCTCCAGATCGAAGTCGATTAACGATATAGGTAGGCCCAAGTTTTTTTTTATTTTTTAATTATTTCTTTTATTTTTTTATACCAAAATTATTTTTAACTTTCTTTGCAGGTCTTCCTCCAATTGAAAATAAATCTACCAACAATGTATCTCCTCCTAAAAACCAGGTAAGTTTTACAATACCATTGGCAATTGTACAGGAGCGGCTCGTCGATAAGAGCGAGAATAGGCGCGAAAATAAAAAATAAATAAATGAAAACTAGACCTTAAAAAATGAATCTCATTGTAGTTGGTTTAATGCTTTGAGTATTAAGGTCTCTGCACATTTTATCATACACATATTGTTTGAGGGATGTAACGTTTTGATTCCAAAAATATTATTTAGTGGTTTTACAAGTAATTCACACTATCTGGCATCATTGTAGATTGTACTATTGTGTCCCTTTTCTTGAGTTATAACTCATCATACAGTGTCAGAGCTTTGACAAAAGCCAGTGTATGAGACGGTTTTACAAATGTTAGTTCTCCATCTCCGATATCAGTCGTACCAAAGTTTATGATACGAATGGTTGTCGTCTCGGCGCACTCATTGATGAGGTGTTCTGGTGTTTCCCCATTTTTCCCACATAATCTGCATTCGCCGTTTATTCTTACCTTTATTCTACTGAGGTGTTCGTTGAGGAGAGAGTGTCCTGTTTAAAACCCCATGACAATCCAGAGGATCCAAGTAAAATATTTGATTTTTCTCGGTCGTAGGTTCTGATAAATTTCCTCTAGTGTCTTGGACCGTTGGAAGATTTCCATTCCAGGTTATGGGTGGAGTCTTCCGGATTCTTCTTGTCTTAATCTGTTTATTCAAAGACACAATAACGATATTTTTGAGATTAAATGGTACCTAGAAGGTAGCACCAAAGGTGGCACTAAAAATAGTGTACCTAAAAGGTAATAAATGTCATGATGTTATGTTTATAATGCCAAAAGAGATTGTCCGATAAAAGTTTGATAAAAATCGTCGAAAAGTGACAATAATAATATGCTAGACAGAAGCCACAAACAATAAGGTGAAAAATATTCTGGTAATTTATCGATTTTAATTTTTATTGATTAGGAACAATATATGTTTTTTGTTCTTGTTTTTTTATGAGAAGGTTTTAATTGAGTTATGAAATCTGTTATTCCAAACCAAACCAAATCTACAACATAAACGAAATATTTTACATTTACACTTTTATCTGGAAGTTGAGTCGACAATAGAGTTGTTTATTATTTCGCTTGTTTTTATGAATTACGAAAAAATGTTAAGGTTCTTGTAGCAAGATCAAGGCTGGACCCTGTAAGACCAAGATTTTGTTTCGTACTTTGTTATATCACCACAGACATATTCATTAATGTGGATTTTGTTCTGTCAGGACGTGAACACATCTCCCTCAGGAGGTGGCGCCAAAGGCGGTAAAAGCTCCGCCGGTACTACCGGCGCTTCCAGACGCTCATTGGTCGCCTCACAACCCGCCGACAAGGACCTCGACGATGACGTGGCGCATGCGCGGCGCGTTTCTCCATCAAATAAGCTGGGTCTAGTCGGTTTGAGGAATATCGGCAACACCTGCTTCATGAACAGCGTATTACAGGTACGTAATAATATACGGACTAATTTTCTACGTCTGGACGTGCATGTAATGTAGAAAATTATAAGCGATGCCAATTAAACTTTTAGTTACGTAATCGAGGGCGCGATTTTTAAGTCATTATCGCCAACCATGGATGACATATTCAGTGCCGGGCTGACTAACTGGAATTTAAATTTCCCGCTGGGGATTCAGGTGGTAGCTGTGCTGTAAAAAATGTCAAGTTGCCACATTTATTTATTTATTTTCTGACATTGTTATTCGTTTCGACACTTTAGTTTTGTATTACGAGTTTTCGGTTTAAGTGAATTGTGCTGTGATACTTTTAGCTTAAAAATGTTTACTAGCAGACCTCGCAGTCCAACATTGTTCTTTTTAGAACCTCTTTTAGTGCGAAGTGTAGAAGATAGCTCAATAGCCATTGCAAAAAATTATTATTTCTGTTTCCTAAAATATTTTTATTAAAAGAAAATATGTAAAGTGGACAACGCTGTGCCGGTTAAGCTTAATTACGTCACTAAAAATTTATTTGGTATCACTAATTAATTTTCTACGTGTAGAATGTACGGTAAAATCACAGAATATACTAACGAAAAAGAAGCCCAAGTTCCTTGTAATAAATCGGTTCCATTTTAGTAGCGCCATTTCTCGACAAAGCTGACATTTACAGGTTAGCCAAAGGGGTGAGGGGCCGCACGGTGGAAAGACCCAATATAAAATGTTGGACATTGACTTAAAAATAAAATTTTAAATTAAATAATTTTGGTAGAAGATTTGAATTACTTAATGTCCAGACCGTTATATTTTATCCAACTCAAAAAAATATTTTTAATTATATGTCTGTTTGAAAAGTTTCAAATGAAGATATTACACTGACTTAATTATGGTATTCATTTCTTGTGAAACAACCTAGTTTTATAAAAACTGGCAAAGACATTAATAATTTTTTTTAACCATACATATTAGTGCAAACGATTGTTTTACTTTAAAATAAAAGATATATATAGTCACAAAAGTTTGGGAGAACAATTGTATATAAGAGACACATAAACATTTTTTTGCTGCCAAATACTATATTTAGTAGCAAAAAAATGTGTATGTAGAAAAATAAAAAAATGGCCAAAGTTGGCCAAGACTTTATATATATCACAAGGTAGATTAAGCCTTTCTAATAACGAAACTAATTTAACATCTTGCCCCAGCTTGCCCCCCTCTAAAAATTTCCATTTAATATATTACTAATACATGTTATACTAAAATCAAAAACCTTTTCAATTCCAATAAATTAATTTAAAATTTTTAGAGTCAAATTATCTTTATTTTTTTATAAATTTATTAATATTTAATTATTAATTGGATAAATACAAAATGACGCTAAAATCAAAAACAGATACAGGGTGCTACAACTATATGGAAAACTTATAAACTATTGGAAAAAGAAAGAGGGTTAAAGTGCAGTGTTGAGGTTTTTTGTCTGTAATAAAAATATTCTAGTGCGTTGATTTACTGTTATATTCTTTGCTTATAATAAAGTTATTGTACAGGGTGTCCCACTAAGAATAGATCTCGGCTATATCTCGGAAAGTCTTAGCCGTGAGGCTTGCGGAAAAAATATTCATAACTAAAGAGACCATGAGAAAATGCAGGAAATTATTTTCAAATTTGTAGAATGGCCGCTAGAGGGCGCAACTGCTATAAAAAATAAGAAAATGGAGTTTTTACACAACTTTGCCTAGATAAGGGGTACTATAAATAATAGCTTCATAATCTTCAGTAAATTCTGAATATTTTTTGTTGGAACCATTTTCCCCTATCTGCCAAAATAAAGTGGTGGGGGAAGGTTAGATCTGTTTTTATTTAAGTATTAATAATTCCGGACTGGATGGACGGAATCCAACTAACGGGGGCTCGTTTAAAAGACCGTTTCTTACTCTATATTATACCATATAAACAATAATAGTAAGCTTTTGAACGTAGATGCTAGGGGGCGCTGTCTTACAAATCAACAAACATTGCGCGTTTTTTCAAAAAAAAATAAATGCGATGGTATATGCCATTTTAGCTAATAGTAAAGAGTAATGAAAGCTTAAAAAGTCAGTGAAAACCGCATCTTGATATCTTCTTTCAAATCGAAGATATTAGCAAAGTTATGTCAAATAGGAAAATATATGTAAGCCCTTAATTACCATATTTTTATAACACGGTATCAGTAGTCTTAGATTTCAGTGGTAAAATCTAAAGCTATTTCTTTTTAAAAGGATCAAAACTAAAACATTCCACGACAGTTTGGCAAAGTTTATAAGCATTTAAAACTTGTAAGATTTTTCCAAAACATACTATATTTTTAGGTCACCCTGTAGATGGTTTGTAACGAGCCAACCACTTTCTTTCATTAAAGTTTAAAATTGTTCTGTTTATACATTATTACGGTATATAAAAATCATTTTTTCGTCTTTTGGATTAAAAGTGTTGAGAAGAAAACCTCATGTCCAACAGCTCCCATAAGCTCGTTCCACTGTGGGCCGGGGGAATTGTAAAATACACTTTTTTATTTTAATTATTTTTATTCGCTATTTGCAATTTTATTTTTAAAACATATTATCTGAAACAATCACATAATATGTCTTAAAAATAAAATTACAAACGGAAACAAAAGGAATTAAATAATCTGAAAATCTACAAAGTTTATTGATAAAGTTAGGCTATGCAAATTGATATATTAAGTATAACCTCTTTGGTATAACATTGTTAAACAAACATTAACAAATCATAACATATCAGATCATAGAACTAAAAAAAGTACTATTACATAAAAACAGGTGATACAATACTTCAAAATTAATTTTAACATAATATCAAAACCGAAAAATCAAACTGCAAACACAACCACACTTATCACAACAGAAATTAACACACACTTCCGCGGCAAATGTCCAAGAAAGACTGATCATTCTGATTAGTCCGGTCCGGTCGTAGCTTACGTCGTATTGTCGGTAAGCAAAATCCCTGTCTAAAAATCTTGACGATCAGCGCCATCACCCGTCATAATTGGGAAACTATTGCTGGAATCATTTTGAATATTTCACTTACATGGCCCTGGGTAAAATATGTAAAAATTTTCACCTACCCAACTCTGTGCCTGGTATAATATTAAAGTAATACTTATATGTTCTGTTTTATATCTAGTGCCTGAGTAACACCAAAGTGCTACTGGATTATATTAATAAGGACAGTTACCAAAGAGATATCAACAGCACTACTTCTGCTATGAAAGGTATATATTATTAGACACACCGATTTGGTCATTTTAGAAGTGTGGTTTGGATTTTAACGTGTAAGACAGAGAATAATATAAATAACCGGTTGACAGACAGAGAGACAAAATCAAAACCGGTTTCAATCAATACAGTGTTGCCGGTTTTTACGTTTGTAGGAAAATTTCTCTAAAAAAAATAAACTACTTTAAAAACTTTTATTTACACTACTGAAATGAAGATAATATATCTAAGCTAAATATAATCTATTACATCTGTAGTAAAATGAGTAACTAATTGTGAAAAATAAGGTTCCAACCCTAGATGAAACATTTTCCATAAACGCCTACTCGTGCGGATTGAACTTTTGATGCAAAATCCGGCAATACCGCATAGAAGAAATGTAGCAATCCAACTTTTATCTTTTTAATACATTTGATTTTCCATTAAGCTGCCTACGTCACTGTCTTACATGTTAAAATCCAGACCACACTTCTGAAATGACCAAATCGGTATATTATGTTTTAATAGGACTATTTCTTTATGAGCTATGTTTTAGGAGCCCTAATTAAATCATTTGCTGAACTATTAAAACAATTATGGTCACCCAGTTCTTCAGGACCTGTAAACACTGCAGCTCTCAAGGCACAGATTCAGAAATTCGCTCCTCGGTTTATGGGATATGCTCAGCAGGATGCTCAGGAATTTTTGCGATATCTTTTGGAAGGTATTTTTACTAATTTTTACTGTCGTTGAAAACTCTCCAACGACTCAGGACAGATTTCGATAAACGACATCCAAAAAATGACAGAAAATGCTATTTGCCCGTGAATTCAAATGACAGTAACATAACTGTCACTGTCAGGGACTCCCGTTTGACAGGCTATGACCTTAATATAAACTTTTTTTATATTATAGCTATGCAGGGTGATTCACGGCCATGGTACGTTAGAGTTTTATGGAGAACCGGTGATATAATTTTTACATAAAAACGGCTGCTCTATCTTTCTAAAATATTTTTATTATTACATTGTTGCCGCATGATATGTAGACCAGAAATCGTGTTTTTTTACTAAAAATTAAACAAAAATTCAATTTTTTTTTCATAAAAATCCAAATTTTCGTTTTTTTTTTCGCGAAAAAAACCTCATAGGCGTGTTTCTGGTGTCAAAATATACTACCCCTAAAAATATTTCATTTATTTAAGACTCACCCTGTATTTATAGCTCTTCTTTGCAGGATTGCACGAAGAAGTGAACAGGGTAACGTCAAAACACAAACCAATCACGACGGACATTGACGATACTCTGTCAGATACGGAAAAGGCCAACGAAGCCTGGAAACGATACGTCCGAACCGAAGATTCTTATATAGTGGATATGTTCGTTGGTCAACTAAAGTCTACTTTGAAGTATGTTCATTTTGTATGGTTAATTATTGTTAGTATACTACTGATCGCTTGTTGTGTAGGTGTACATTTTGTGGCCACTGCAGCGTTACATTCGACCCCTTCTGGGACTTATCATTGCCTTTACCCTCAGGTAGGAATTCCACAGCTTTGCGCTTGTCCCACTGTCTGGACGCTTTCACCAAGGAAGAGACACTTGATGGAGACGAAAAACCGAAATGCGATAAGTGTAAAGAACGAAGACGGTGCACGAAGAGTTTTAGCATACAGAAATTTCCTCAGGTGAGTTAATGAAAAATAAATGGTGTCCAGTTGAGTTGGAAATGACGATAATATTTATAATAATAAAAAACTATTAACCAGGAATCACATGCCATTTAATTTTTTTCATTTTTCTATCAAAACACTTTAAAATCTCTTCCAGGTCTTAGTAATTCATCTTAAGCGGTTTTCCCCTCTGGAACGATTCCGTGGAAAACTCAATACACTAGTGGAGTTTCCTGTGGAAAACCTGGATTTATCCAGATACGCTGCTGATTCGGCGCAGCAAAATGGAATGTCCTCCAGATACAATCTGTATGCAGTGTCGGAACATTCGGGCACTCCCTATTCGGGGCATTACACTGCACACTGCAAAAACCCACTAAGCGGCGAGTAAGTTTAGTTAGAGTAAGGCATGGGCGGCTCGTCAGTAAGGGCAAAATTAAATTCTACAATATAAAAAGTAAATCTAAATTAAAACAAAGGAAATACGGTGCATTTTGGACTAAGGGGATCAGAAGAGGACCATAATAAATCTGAAAAGGTCGCAGTGGATCAGGCCGATAGCCACCTACTGCCACCTACTTTTTATTTGGAAATGAAAGAGTAAAATGCTACGTAATTTTTATTTATTTTTTTTACTGTCTATATTAAGTAGTATCGCACGCCTATTCACGAGTCGCTACTTCTTACATGGGTATTTTTATAAAAAAAAATCAATAACATTTTAGGTGGCACGAATATAATGATTCCCGAGTATCACTAGCCAGTGCACGTTCCGCAGTGTCGCCAGAGGCGTACGTATTGTTCTACGAGAGAGAAGGAGAATCACCCTCACAAAATTCACTATAGTTAAGGCTTCGTTCACAAGAGAGTGTATAGCGTTATACTTTCACCGATATTAATTGAAGAGTTGTCTAATATCTATATTTGCAACTGAACTGGGTCTTTTCAGCGTACACCACGTCACTGACGACTATACAGGGTGTTTTTGAATATATGTCCCACATTTTTCAACTCTTTTGAAGGTAAAAAGTTTGTGTTCTAAAATGCTTCGTGTTGGAGATAGAGGGGGTGTCAAAGTATTGATAATTTTTTTTTCTCTAATATCTTTGGTAGTCAGTCTAGATATTTTTATGAAATTTGGTACACGTTTTTTCACCATTGAGAGGCATTTTTTTTAAATATATTTTCTCTAATTTTTACCAGTGCAGTTCGTTACCGAATTTTTCATACAGGACATCGTATCAGTTTTTTTTTTTGGCAATTTTGCCATGCATTAAAATGGTTTTTATTTTTTTAAGTGAAAACTGTGACATAATATAAAATAAGAGACGTAATTTGTTATAAAATGAATAGGGATTCTAAAAATAATTTTTATTTTCGTATTTATCGCGTGGGTACGAAACGCATTTTTTTCGAAAAATATTCAGTCGATATTCCGTACGCACGACACTGGTGTAAATTAAAAAAAACATTTTTCATTGAAACCTTTAATGGTAAAAAGACTTGTACAGAATTTCATAAAAATATCTGCAGTGGTTCCGAAGATATATAAAAAAAATTCTCAAAACTTTGACACTTTGTATTTATATGAACTTTTTACCTTAAAAATCACCCTATATGGTCTTTTAACAATCTAAAAACAAACTAAATTAGAAACACTTAAAATTTATTTGTTATATTATTAAAATTTTTGATTGTTATCTTTTTTTTGCTTATTTATTTATTATTTTAGATCTAATATATATTTATTAAAATTATTTCTGTATTAATATAACTATATATTATAAATTATATCGTTATACAGGGTTCTGCAACAGTGCTTCTAGGCATTGAAAAAACAAACGGCGTCCAGTTGGCTTGGAAATGAACATTGATGACATTCCCCATATAATTTTACATATAAAAGGGCAGCGATCTTCATTTCGAAGCCATCGCCGGCTCCGATTTTTGCCATCTTTTGCTCCGATCATAATTGTATTTTAAGAAAATATGTTCGCCTATACAGGGTGTCTAAAAAAATAAGCGGATGAGGATAGATTTTTTTAAACGGGACACTGTAATTTTGGGTTCTCCTATATCACTTTATATAATGCTAGGTTATTCTTATATTTGTTTATGGTTTTTTTTATTATTAAATAAAACTAATATATTTTGCAGAATTTAAAAAAAATAAATAAAAATACAAATCAACATCCTTGGATTACAACAACGTCCGGTATATACTACAGTGGGTTTTTTCTTACTTTATTACAAATATCGTAATCGTAAATTATACATTATACTAAAATAAATTTAATAATAACCTAGTTTTATACAGAATTATCAAAGAGGAATCCATAAAAGTGCAATAAAATACAGGGTGCCCTGTTTAAAAAATCTACGTTCGCTCACTCACTTTTTTTGAGTCACTCTGTACAGGTGAACATATTTTCCTGAAATACATCCTACTGCCTTTTTTTTGCAAAAGGAAATCCTTAGGAGTTATAATAGATGCTAAACGCACTACTTCTGCAGGACCCTGTATAATTATATTTATAAAGGGTGATTCTCTAACCCAGGGAATAAATTCAGTAGGAAATCGGATATGTATATTTTTAAATCAGAGATATGGTATTTTAAACTGCGCTATTTTTGACGTAGGGAAATGCTATATAACTTGTCCGAAATTTGATGCAAAATTTCAAATTTTTATTCCCATAGAAATTGAGGTAAGTATTGAGAAGCTTTTTGGGACAGGCTATATAACATTTTCTTACATATTTCTGAAAGAAAACAGATATCTCTGATTTACTGAATCTATTCCGAGTTAGAGAATAAATCGCCCTGTATATAGAGCTTTCTTTATAAACACTTTATTGTGATAGTATTTACGATAAGCACATTTTAATGATTGGTCTTGCATAATTTTGTAATATATTTTTTTGAAGATTCCTAATACTTAACTATTAAATATATTATTTATTAATACTGATAAAATAAAATTTTTGATTTTATAAATTCCGCTGCTTTTTTAAAATTCAATGGTAATTTATCAGATATACAGAGGTAGAGAGAATGGGCACGAAAGTACGTAGAAATGTTTTATTCAAAGGTTTAAACCTGGTTTCAACAAAAATTTTGAAATCGGTAGCAGTCGGAGTCGGAACGTTTTGTGGTCGGAACTATTTAAAGATCAAACATCGATATTTTTAAAACATCAAGGAACATCGCCCAGCACTACTGTCAGCCGTATCGCTTCTGTGGTTGCACTTTTGTTTATTCTCTATGGCCTCTCTAACCTAAAATAAAGTCGACGTCTTTGAAAATAATTATCAAAAACAAATGATTATTTACGTTCGGGATTGCCCCACTTAAAAGAGATTCTAAAAATATTAGCGAATACATGGCAGCGTTATTTTTAACACCGACTTGAAATGGTCCAGAAACTCGACTCTTTCAGCAACGAAACCTTAGATGATTATCCGAATTCCCAGTTAAAAAGCGTTGAATTATTTAATTTGTTCTCGGAACGCTTCAATGCGATTTTTGTTAGTGTTCAGAATTATTTAGTCAACACAGTGGAGCATCTTGTCCTTGGAATTCTTTTATATGTTACAATATGTATCATTCTTTTTTATGTTATCACACAATGGAAATTTATCAAGTTCTCTCGAGACATGAGAAACTCAAAACGACTGCTTTTTGTTATCGCCCACCCAGATGACGAAGTAATGTTTTTCGGCCCCACTATTTTCCATTATATTAAGAAAGACTGTATAGTGTTTTTAATGTGCTTATCCACAGGTATACTATTGATAGTGAAAATTAATAAGAACATCATAATAAGCTACAGTTATACATATATTTAGGAAAAAACTATGGTATGGGTAAAGTACGAAGAAACGAACTGTATAGATCATGCAAGGTATTAGGTATAAAACAGGAAAATATATTTATTTACAATCATACCAGCTTGCCCGATTCAATCGAAGCAAAATGGCCCCTAGAAGTCATATCAAATCAGGTGCTGTATCTTGTCGATGTAGGTAAACCATATTATGTGGGATTTGTGTAATTTTTATTTACTCTAACATTTTTTCAGGCTTTGAACATAACAAATTTAATAACGTTCGATAAGTATGGGATATCAGGACACCAAAATCATTGCTGTATATATTATGCCATTGCCAATTTAATATTAGATAGACAGTTACCAAAATGTAAGTAATATAGGGTGTTTTTTAATAAGTGACTGGGCGATTTTTCAAAAAATGAAGCACAGTTTTTATTCTTTAATGAATAGCCAAATTTTGATTTTAATTTCTGTTTGTAAATTCTATAGTCTGTTGGTGTTTTGTTTATAAATATGTTGAATGTTATACAAGGGATTTAGTTTCTCAAATAGAATAAGCCTATTATAATATGTAGTTAAAATAACTGTTGTACTTTAAATCAAATTAATACTAGACACAGAGTATTAATAAAGATCTACTGACACTAAATCATAAAAATGAAAAAATCTAGGAATTTTTTTTTTGAGAGAAGCATATCATACTTCTTTAATGAAACCAGATGAAACTCACTCACCTTTATTTTTTTCTAGAATGAAATAAGAATGAAAAAATCAATTAATATATTATAGGGTGTTCCAATACACAAAGCACAACTTTGATGCATAACTTTTTTGGGGAGACCCTGCAGAACTCGAATATATTTTTATAAAATGCAATTTTCATAAAAATATCTGTAAAAAAAAAGATTTTTTTTTAAACTGACACCCTGCACCCTGTATCTCATAAACAAAGCATTTTAGAACACACAGTTATATGAAGTTACACAGTTATATTTTCAAAATAGTTGAAAAATCACCCTGTGAAATATGGGACACTTATTTATTGTTATTGATCATTTTTTTATTTTTAATGATTTTTTTTATAGTTTGTGGAGTATTCGTATTAGAAACGGTGAATATTTTGAGGAAATATTCGCTATTTCTTGACATACCCTTTTCTATGCTGTCTTCAAGGTTCATGTAAGCATTTTATCGATAAAAACATCGAATGATGAGAAAAAGATACGATCGAAAAAACGGCGTCAAAGACGGCTGGGAAAGTACAATTGATGATAGTTTTGGCGAAGTCAAGCCCTAGACGTTATTTACTTGGCTCGTACCCTCTTTATTTTATAATGGCACTTTCTGCCAGTAGATGGCCTTAAGAAGGTTGTAATTTATTTTCATATTGAGTAAAAATTATTTTTAAATGGTAATAAATTATTACCCTGTACATAAATGTAAAAAAAAACGAGCATTTTATAACTGTATTAAAACACACAATTCTCTCTTAGTCTACTCACACAGTCTACTCAGAAATAAACACACAGTCTACCCAGAAATAAAAAACATTACACAGTTGTCAAAATTAAAAAAAAATGAGATATAGCCATATAATTTAAATAATTTTTGGAGTATGGTCGAATTACTTAGAATATGTACTTAGATAAACACTTTTTAAAAGTGAAAAAAGTGAATCAATTATTTATTAATTAGGTACTATAGACTATACATAATTACTACACAATACAGACGGACAGACGGTCATTTTAATACTAATTATGTGAAAGTGAGTCAAATTATTTATTCATTTTTAATTTATTACTTTTTCAACGTTTTAAACTACACTTTTTCAATGTCTTTCAAATCTTTCAATTTAGTAGCTGCTAGTAAAAAGTTTCACTTCAAGTATGCGCGCTTAGTTTTAGGAAAGATTTTGTGGTGGACAACTGAAAAGATACAAGGACATTTTCCACGAAAATTTAAAGGGAATTAACATGCAGAATGAGTGGGAAAAAGCAGCTCACAATAGAACTCAATGGAGAAGGGTTGTAAACTCAGTTAACAGCGGCAACCAAAAAGTAGAGAGGCAACAAAGCAATGAGATTTTTGAATGTCCGGAGTGCGGTAGGCAGATAACATCACGTATCGGGCTTTTCAGTCACAGAAAAGCTCATGAAAGAAAACGCCTTGCGTGACCATTTTCTTTATGTGTGTCGAATACTCGTCAGCGAGTAACGGCTGTATGTATGTATGTAGGAAAGATTTTATATACCTTCTAAAGTTCTCCCCCTTCTCCCCCGTTCTCAGAACTGCGTCGTGTCGCTGGTTACACAGTTTGACATTTCAAACAACCAATGAGAGCTGTACTAAATTTAAAATTAACAGCTGTTTGAATTTTGTACAAATCTCATTGGTCCTTTTGACGTGTCGCCCGTGACACGACGTCGTTCTAAGAACAGGGCTTAAGTGATTCATTTTTTTAAATATATTTCTAGATATTAGAGTGGAAGGGGGGTTAGTTACAGTCTCTAGACATTTATATGTTAATAGTCAGAATTTCGATTTTTTTTAATCTTCTTCATTATCTCTTAGAATATATTTTGGATATTTCTGTTTTCTTTGACACTATTTCACCCTCCTATATCATGATACATATTCTTGAAATAAAGAGTTATATGTATCTATCAGACAGTGTTAATTTTTGACAAGTTTTATGTCAAATTTTAGACGTCTAGAGATTGACCTCGCCAAAATTATCATTTGTCATTCCCCAGCCGTTTTGACGCCGTTTTTTTATCATGCTGTATTTAATTCGTATTTTTCTAGGTACATGCATGGGTTCAAGCAAAGAAGCGTAATGCACAAAGCTATGAAAAAACATAAATCACAATTGGTATGGTTCAGAACCCTGTATATGATTTTTTCAAGGTACATGTTGGTTAACACTTTACAACAAGTGAATTTAGTGGACATTGAGCTGGATTTGGAATTGGACGATTAAAATATAGTATATGTTTAGAATATCTACCGGGTGTTTTTGAAAAGTGGCCCACCTCTATAACTTTTCTATTTTTTCAGATAAATAAACGAAATTTAGTGTGTTAGTAAACGACATAAACCAGGATTGACTTCCCGTTTCACCGGAAGTTACTAAAACTTCTGGGACCCTTACTATTTTTTTACCTTATTCAATAGAAAACGATAATTTCAGTTAAAAAATAGAATTTTAAATTTCAATTTAGAGTGTTGTGGTTGCATGCCAAAACCATTAATTTTTAATCAAGGAGCTTTTAGAAAAATAGTTTCGGTCGTCGAAAACAATTTAAGACCGTCAATCAATCCTGATTTATGTCATAATATACTAACATACCGAATATCGTTGTTTTTTTTACCATAAAAAAAAGTTATGGTGAGGCACTTTGAGAAACACCCGGTATATTTTCAAAAAAATTAATTTTCAATAATACAATAATAGCTAGCGCTAGTCAAACCAAAAATGTACCTACAATGTATATAGAATGAATAGAAGATCTCTTATTTTCAATATTTGTGCCATTAAATTTAAACACCCTGTAATTTTAATAATATTACAAGGTATTCCGTAAGCACATGCCAATAATTAAGGGGGTGATTCCTGGAACTATTCTAAGAAAAAAAATCATATGAAAAAAACGGCGTTCTGTTGTCTTGGAAATGACGATCGATGACATTTCACATATTATTTTATACCTAATATATACCAATAAATATAAAATAAGAGTGCCCGGTGGCGTAGAGGTACAGGCTCTCGTCTACCAATCTCAAGGTAGTGGGTTCGATTCCCACACTCGGCATTGCATCAGCCGACTATTTTTATTAAAATAAAAATAATGTGGGTACCTAGGTCGACTCAGCCTTAAATGAGTACTTGGGTTCACAATCCTGAGGTAATAATAGGCGGTTGAAGCGTAGTGCTAGCCACATTACCTTCCTTGTATAACGAACGGCTCTAGTATGGCAAGCTGTACCTTGCTACTCCCAAGGCGTTAAACGCTATATACGGGAGCTATTATTATTATATATACCAATACCATATTGTACAATATGAACGAAAAAAAAACGCCGTCAGTGAAGTCTATGCAATGAAGATCGCTGTCATTTTATATGTGAATTTACCTGGCGTATGTCATCGGTCGTCATTTCCAAGCCAGCTCGTCGCCGTTTTTTTTTCATACGGTATTAGAGATACAATAAAAATGTTTTTTGTACATCACCAAAAGAATTTTTATGCATAGAAGTCGTGTATGAAATTTCATAAAGACATGACATCTACATATAATAACATCAAAGTTATTATGAAAAAAGTGTTTTTCTTTTTGAAAATTTTACCACCCTGTATATCTCAAAAGTTAAGCTGTTTAGGACGTACTTTTATGATTTTTTTTCTTAGAATAGGTCCAAGAATCCCCCTCTTAAATATTAGCATATCATTATGGAGCATCCTGTATACGTACCTTGGTATATCTTCCCATATAGAAACTAACTGTTGAATGTGTTACATAGGCTTCAAACCTCTCAACTTTCAATTAAATCTGTATTTAATAATTATTTGTATGAATTATAAATAAATATTAAAATTTATTAGAATTAATCCAGTTTGTTTACATAAAAAATGTAAGTAAATGTACATTAAATAAAAGTAAATAAAATAGAAACAAGATTTATTTGAATCATATCTAATAAAAAAAAAGCTCAAACAACTAAAGATGGCATTTTCTGCATGACAGTAAAGAGTCCCGTTCCAGTGTTGCACGGCTTTCCCAGCATTAGACAGCTCGATGGTGTGGCAAGGGCATCGTTTTCGCCTAAAAAACAAATATTACTATACTGTATGATCGAAAAAAAAGAACGGCGTTAAAGAAACTGAGAAAGGGTGGCGCCTCTTATACTCCTCGCAGGCTCAAAGAACAACAGTTTGTATTGAAATGAAATTTTATGAGCATAATATGTAGGTTAGTTTAAAGCATTATTTAAAATATACAGACTTCTACAGGGTGTCCCCAAAAAAAGTTACTCATCAAAGTTATGTTTAAAAATGTCTATATTATATATGTGGCGGATTCATCTTTCCAAAAAATTCTATATGGGTATTTTGCCACTGCAAGAAAATCTACAAAATAAAATAGTTATTTTTTGTAAACACTTCTGGCGTTAATCCAAACGGAAACTACTTGTCAGAAGTTAGGTTTACACTTTGAATAAGAAGACTAAGGAAGGAGCATATCAAAAATCTTAGGTACACCGCGATGGGCCTCAAATATGGCCGACTTAAATTCCGGTTTATCAGTGTCGTTCTAATTTTATTTAAAAAATGTAAAACTATGATGTAGGGTAGACGTGGGGTAGACTCAATAATTTGTTGTTTTATTTTACGTTGTGAATAAATGTTAGTAGTTATTAAAATTGTTATAAAAATATATAATTCTAATAAAAATAGATAAGTTATAATAAGTATTTATTAACACAAACATCCGATACGCTACTGAAGCAGGTAAGTCAAATTAACGTATCTAAATTCTTTGACATCTAATCTTTGACAAGTAATAAATAAAAGCTAAAATGCAAGAAAAATATATAATTTAGTTAATTTAAGTGAATTTCATAAATGATCGGTTTACTACACGTATGTATATTATATAGTCACTTACTAGCGAAAAGTTGTTCCATTATTTCACTCAATTTTTGCCGAGATCTACCGCACGCTACACAACCAACTATTTTAGAGTCTTTTTCGATAAATCGCGATAGTGTCACTGTTAATTTAAGTTCTGCCACAATTTCCATCTAGATTTACTACCTTTATACAGCTATCAGTAGTAGAATAAATAATAAATAACATAAAATAAGCTCTGTAAAGACTGACAAATCCACAAAATTTCAAATCAAATTCAAATGTGTCAAATGAATCGTCAAACAGAACTGTCAATAATCCCCACCCTAGAGAGCTTTTATGGTGGCTTTTCCGCCCACCATGCATGAATACATGGATAGCATTATGCTCCTTCCTTAGTCTTCTTATTCAAAGGGTTTACAGATATACAAATTTGCCTAACGAACAAAAAAATGCTTAACGTTTCAGAAAGTTTATCTCTTTCCGTCGTCGGAATCAAAAAAAAAAAATACAAAGAATAAAGAAAAAAACTATTTAAATATTTAAATTCAATTATTCGAGAACACTTTTTTTTTAAACAGATACGTCTACAAAAACCGTTGACGTTCTGTTAAAATGACATTATATCAAGTTGAACTTCAAAATTATCAATTACTATCTGATAACAATTACTTAACAAGTTAAAACCAAAAAGCCCCAAACTTTCTGGATGATTTTTTTAAATTTTTACGTATATGTTATGTTTATTAGTTATTTATGTTATGTTCTTTAAAATCAAAGAAGCGATTGCCATACATTAATAACATCTACAGATACATGAGCAATACATTTATTTTTATTAATATTGAAATTTAACTTGATTTTGTAGACGTATCAATCGTTTTGTAGACGTATCTGTTTTAAAAAAAACTAAAGTGTTCTCGAATAGTTGAATTTTTTTTCTTTATTCTTTGCATTTTTTTGCTTCAGACGACGGAAAGAGATAAACTTTCCGAAACGTAAAGCATTTTTTGTTTGTTAGGCAAATTTGTGTATCTGTAAACCTAACTTCTGACAAGTAGTTTCCGTTTGGATTAACGCAGAAGTGTTTACAAAAAATAACTATTTTATTTTGTAGATTTTCTTGCAATGGTGAAATACCCATTAGGATTTTTTGGAAAAAAGTTATGTTTTTTGTAACTTCTTTATATTTTAATCGATCTTCGGTTTAAAAAAAAATAAGGGCAAGCTTCATCAGAGAAGCTTGTGAATGAAATGTAAAAATTTTGACATATTTTAACATTTTCTAAAAATATTGTTTTTAAATTGCAATAAAATCTACTTAAATTGGAATCTATCCGATATAGCCTAATATGTAGTTAAAATATCCATTGTACTTTAAATCAAATTAAAACTTGGCCCGAAAAGTTATACAGGGTGAGACAAAATTAATATTGAACACTGGTCACTTTTAAAGGCAAGTTACTATTTTATTTTAAACGGAACACCCAGTATATTACTCCGATATTCAATGGAGAATTCATGTCTCTTCAAAATACTATTAAGGTTGCCTACCCCTCAAACAAATATTTTCCTAGATTTTTCATTTTTATGATTTAGTGTCAGTACATCATAAAATGAAAAAATTCTAGAACATTTTTTGTCTAGGGGTTAAGCAACCTCAATGAATGAATTAATGTGGAGATAATTATGGAGACATGAATTCTCCATTGAATATCGAAATAATACGCTGATTGTTCCGTTTAAAATAAAAGAGTAACTGGCTTTTAAAAGTGACCAATATTCAACAGTAATTTTGTCTCATCCAGTATAAGTTTAAGATTTAATTTGGTTTAATGTACAATGGATCTTTTAACTGCATTCAAAATGTTACATATGTCAAAAACCTTACATTTTAGTCATATGCTTCTCTAATAAAACTCATATTTATTTTTTTCCTTATAATCCGAAAATCAATGAATATAGGTATAGGGTGTTCCGGTGTTCCATAAAAGTACAAATACCTTTCATGGCAGCATTTTTTAAAAATCCCAGTGACGCTTCAAAGGACATCTGTTGCAAAGGAGATGAACCATTTTCCATGCCTTTTCTGCTTAATGGCTCGAATATGCCGTTAGACGTCATATAATCCGCAATTAGTGACAGATGACGTGGATCCACCTTAATACCATATACGTTGAACACATCCTTTACTTCTCTGACGATGATTTTTAAGGCAGCCTCGATACCGTAAGTTTGTGCCATTTTATGGATATCATTGCAGTATAATCTAAAAAGGGTCGAAAAAAATATTTTTTACTTTTTACGTGTTTTTTTGAGTTTAAAAATAATAAAAATTGAACAAAGCCAGTGACGTGCATTAAGGGGACGCCACTGATAATAATAATGTTAATTAATTAGACCCCAATGACGTTATTGTTATTAGAGATAGCACTGACAAATTTGGCTATAGAAAGTTGGCTACAGGACATTTTAGATAATAACAAAAAAAATTAACATCCTGAAACTGTCATAAACATATCAGCGAGTTACATTGTCTTCTTTCTTTGTTGCACACGCAATGCTTCTACTCTATCTACTCTTGTCGAGGACCTATCGTCCACGCGCCAAATTTAAAGTTTAATTTGTAAAATGCATATATTTTCTACAAACCAAACACTTTTTAGTCATTTTTACGAGTATTTAAAAATTCCAACCAAAAAAAATAGAAATCTAATTGCGCAAACTTAAAATTAACTAACAAAATACAAGAAGCAGAAATTTGTTTATATAAACCCTACCAAGCCTTCAGCTCCATCTACGGTAACGTGGATGAAGCAGGCATTAAAATTAACTTCTCACTGAACACACTTGCATCCTTGGCTATATAAAAGCGAGTGATTAAAGAGTAATTAATGCAATTTTTAAAATAAAAAACGCAAAAAACAAGCGTCGTTACACAATGGAAATAAGATCATGACCTTGGTATATTCTTTGATCATGACCACAAATTATGACATATGATTATGACAATATGATGACAATGAAAAGTTGGTTTCCATAACAATGTATAATTTGTACTTTCTAGACCATATAAAAAAATTGTGATTATTTTGGAAATATGTACGTTTTAATACGCATGGCAACTTTTAATACGCATGGCGCAAAGTATGGTCTTCGAAAAAGACAAACCAACTGAACGTTTCATAAGCGCAATAAAGAAGGTTTGAAAATGGCATGCCGTGATGTTGGAGACATCGTTTTTAATGCTAATCGTGTGGCGTTTATGTATCCACGTAAGTATATTATGATCTATGCTTCGACAATATATGACGTGACGTTGAATGATGGCTGAACATTCTGTACATCGACTGTGAATAACCCTGTATATTTAGTATACCTGTTTAAATCCAACAAATCGGGATATTTGAACATTTCAACAATGTTTATCCCATCTGTGCGCAGCAATAACTCTTCATTCTTTACGTCCAATATTGCTCTTTTAATATTGGCAGTTTCCCATATCACGCTTTTGTTGGCTACTTCCGTTAAGATTGAGGTTAAGTCCAGCTTCTTATAGCTCATTGGCAAGCTAAACGTTAGTTCACAGAAATGCTGTGCTTTATCCTCCTTGTAGGAATTAGCGAAAGAATAACTTTCCAATACAGATTGAATATTTTTTTCTTCAGCACCTTCCTCCAAGTTATTATTTTCCATCAAGTTCTCCTTTTCATCATCTGCAATTAAAATATTCATATAGCAAAAAATCAATACAAATTGGCGTGGACATCATCAAAATACCATAAACGGCGTCAAACACGGCTTGGAAATGATAATCGATGATAATTTTGACTAGGTCAAGTGTAGTGTTGTTAATTTTGGACAAGTTTTATGTCAATTTTCAGTAAATGACGTCTAGAGATTGACCTCGCTAAAATTATCATCGATTGTTATTCCCCAACGCCGGTTTTTTTCGATCATACGGTATTACCTTCTACACAAAATCAGAAATAAGTTAATAAAAACAATGAAAACTAATAAACTTACGAAGCTAGAAGAAAATCAGACAACATAACTGCCAAGAGAGCTCAAAAGAACTTTTATAAAAAAACTAACAACAGAAAGTACTACAATATGCTACCCAGAGAAAATAATCACAATTATAAAAACTTAAAAAGAAAATTCAAAAAAATGAATATAGAGGGTGTTCTATTTCTAAACCATAAGTGCCAGAAAAGCAAAAAATTTTTATAAAATACTTTGAAACATTCAGATTTGTATCTAATTTAAATCCTAAAATATTTTAGTAGACTAATCGCGAACAACTCTGTATAATATTAATAAAAATATAACATATTACAATTGTGATTATCTTGGGTATAGGTTTCTTAATTAAAAACTAAATGATTTCTGGGTGTTTTTAAATCATTTATTTGCCGACGCGACGTTTCGATTTTTCATGTAAATCTTTCTCAAGGCATCTCAGATGTTGTTTCGGCCGTTGAATTGTGCAAACAACGTCTGAGATGCCTTGAGAAAGATTTACATGAAGAATCGAAACGTCGGCAAATAAATTATTAAAAACATCCAGAAATCATTTAGTTTTTAATAAAGAAACCTATACCCAAGACAATCACAATTGAAATATTGAATAAAGGTTTAAGAAAAAGAAAGATATCTATAAAAATATAACCTATAACCACCTTCATGAAGAACACATCGTTCGTTGACCATCTTCACGGGCAGCCAAGCAGCGCTAAAAGCACTCGGTTCCACGGAGGTCAATTCTAGATTAGCGTGGGATTGTTTGCGTGCTTTAAATACAAGGTTCATCAATGCCATTCATAGGCCCAGAACCCTTGTGCGGCGTTGCAAAGGCAGTCACGAGAATGGCCACGGAACGATGAGTGGCCAACAAAACTCTAAAAACTCACCAGTGCAGGGACAGGTGAAAAAGTTCATAGAACATTCGCCAAAATTCACGGCAGATCTAATAAGCAAAGACAGTGAAAGCTGTAGCGAGTCTACTAACAAGGCATTAAAGGACGAAGCAATTCTTTCGGTTCTGTCAATGTGAAGAAGAAACGATAGAACACATTTTAACCTGGCAAATGTGCGATTCTCGGTAATAGGCAATGATTGACAAAGAGCTACATGGAGGGCTCAGTCTCCAAGTTACTAGACTTTGTGAAAAGAATAGGACTGGAGAATGTATCCTAATGATCAGAAGAGGACCACAATAGATCTAGAAAGGTCGGAGTGGATCAGATCGATAGCCATCTCAAAGAATTTAATCTAATCTAATTACCTTCGTATATGCGCTCTTCCTCATTTTCAGGCTCTTGGTCTTCCTGTTGATCTTCGTGTTTTTTCGTTAATTTTGCGTCCTCCGTATCTTCAACCTTTAATAATACATTATCGTTACAGAATTAAATGTTACAAATAGTTTAAATATATACGCACTTCTTCGTCTGAACTATTTTCTTCGTTCGATGCTTTCGTTTTCCCACTAACTTCTTTATCGTTTTCTTCCGTATCGCTATTATCCATTGAATTCTTGTTTTGTCCACGACTAGCATTTTTCTCTATGCTAACTCTTAAAACAATAATTTGTTTTATTTTATTTTCATCTCGTATCCATAAAATATTTAATCCAGACCAACAAAAAATAATGTATAAGACAGTACAGTATCAAGTCAACTTCATATAGAATTGTTATTCATTTATTGCCTTAAGGCACCTACGGACGCTCAGTATTTTCGCACAGGCGACTTGTGCTAACTTGATTTATTCGCGTGTGTGTGCGATAGGCAATAGTACAGGTTAAATTGAGTAGACAGGCCTGCACAGTCAGCCTGTGCTAAAGAAATAATCGTCTGTGGGGGCTCTTAGTTAAAATCTCACTTCAAAATTAATCAGTTCACTTATAAATTAACTAGGTGATTCCCGCAACATGCCAAGATGCATAAAAATGCATCTCAATGCATAGAAGACGTGTATCGAATTTCATAAAGATATCTACAATACCCTCGAAGTTATTAAAAAAAAGTTTTTTTTCTAGATAATTTTATCATCCCCTGTATCTCAAAATTTAAACGGTTGGGACATACAATCATATAACGTTTTTTTTTCTTAGAATAGGTCCAAGCATCACTTCCCTAAATATTAGCATGCTATTAAGGGGATCACCCGATATAATAAATTATTAACTTACAGATTGGACTTGATTTTGGATATTTTTGCTATGGCCAAAAACATTTCCTTGAAAAAGGTTTTTCTCATGTGACGCAGAATTGATTTGATTGATATAGAATAATTCTGTTTGTAGCATTCGTCCGGCAGAATAAAGCATTTTATCGTGTATTTGTGCTGCCTGAAAAAGAAAAAAATCACTTTAAATATCGCTACATGCTATAGTCTATCCAACGAGAGGACCCATATTAGTGACAGTTGTGTCTGTCATTTTAATTGGCAGGCAAATTGATTTTTCTGACATTTTTTGTCGAATTCTTTTCTGACTCGCTGAACGGACTATATGTCATCTAAGATAAGGGGTGTGCCGATATTTCGTGCACGTAGAAATGTCGATATGTATACGTGTTACGAGAAGTTCTATGACCACGGAATATTGGGACACCCTGTATACCTTAAAGGCAGCAATTCCAGCTTGTTGGTAACGTCAATCTTTTCAAGAACGTCAGAGACAACAACTTTTGTCAAGCGTTTTGTGAGACTTAACGCTCGGCTTTTTATATTGGGTACATCTTTTTTGAAGGGCACTTCCATAGAGGGCGTTTTTATATTCTTAGACGCCATCATCAATATTTCTCTGAGTCTGGGAATACCCAGAGTTACGTTCATGTCACCTCTGCCAGCGAAATGGAAAGTATTCAAAGTCATCTGAGTCGATGGTTCACCGATAGACTGAAATGAAAATTTATTTAAATAAAATTTGTACAGGGTGTCCAAGTTTCATGTGTTTTACAGGTTGGTTTTTCGTTGCTGAACAGAGGTATAAAGATGCGATTTTTACATCACTGTGCTACTTTTTGTGCAAGTAAAGATGCTATACACAAATTTGTTCTAGACTTTTTAGTTCATGAAATACAGAGCGAATTTGAAAATGTTGCATTTTTGAGACACCCTTCGTATCTCGGTTATCTTATAACTTATCGACAAGATGACTGAATATCATAGAGTTTTCCATGTAGAATCCAGTGGCGTAATTAGATTTTCGCTGAGAGCTCTTTCTCTTCTCTTTTGAAATATGACCCAAACTTATGTTTTTTAAATGGAATCCCTGTATATTATTTTTTTATTTCACATGCCTTCTTATGAGCTTTCTAAAAGTATACTATACTTTATAATTACTTTCATAAACAAGATAAAAAAATGCATTATTTAACTTCATAACATAAATCAAACTAATTTAAAAGAGTATTATTATTTTATTTAATTTAACCAGCTAATTTTGCTTTCCATCGTGTTTTCGATAAGCTATATCAATAATGAAACTTTTTCAAATTCGCCCTGTATTTTAGGAACTAAGAGGGCTAGGACAAATCTGTGTCTAGCAGCTTTAGTTTCATAAAAAGTTGACAGACTAATGTGAAAAGCGCATCTTTGTATCTCTACTCATAAACGAGAAACCCCAAAACATACGAAAACAAGACATCCGTTACAGTGCTTTCATTTTGTTTTGTCCGACTTTTAACTGACTATACAGGGTGTCCCAGAAATAAGTGCAAATATTTTGAGGGGTGGTAGATCTCGATAAAAGAAACATATTTTCTCTTTATTGTTTTTCAAATAAGTCCAAAATAACGGAGTTATTTTGCTTTGAAAATTTTCAAAAAAAAAAATATTTTTTGCTAAAATTTTGAGAACTACTCTATCTTTTCTGGATTTTCTTTCTTGTAAATTTAATCTAATACCTATGTTGCCATATTATCAAGAAATTATGTTTTTTAACTAAAACCTAAAAAAATTTCAAAAAATTTCGAATTTTCAAAATTTTTTTTCGCGAAAAATACCTCATAGGCGTGTTTCTGGGGTTAAACTATACTACCAGTTAAAATATTTGCACTTATTTCTGGGACACCATGTATAATTTTTGTGACACCCTGTATGATGATAATTTTATAATCAATTTACCTGAGCTGCTAACAGTCCAACTGGTTCACCAGGAACGCATATACTCTGCATCGCTTTCAATTTAAACATGTCTTCAAATTCTCTTTTAATGCTTTTCCTCTTTGCTTCACTAAACGAAGACATTAAGCTCTCTAAACGTTCATTAAGCGAACCGAAATAATGATCCGATTGTAGTACCTGTTAAAAAGTTGTAATAGAAACAAATGCAAAATTTTTAAACCAATCAAAATATTTGATGAAAATCCTTAAAAAACTTACTGAATTTACGGGATCCGGAAATCTTGTGATCATTTTTTCTAAAGACATCTTTGCATCTTCTTCCATGTTTCTCCAATATTTTATTATTTTGTTCTTTGATATTTTTTTACTTGTTGATGTTCCATCGACTTTTTTACAGAAATAAAGAAACGGAGTTTTCCTGTGGTTCTTCGACGGTTCCTCGTTGTTTTCTAGCCATTTTTTAATTTTATTCTGATGCTCAGCTATCAACTTAAAAAATAATTCAATCATATTTACACACCAGACAACCAAAAAAAAAAATATATATATATATATATATATATATATATATATATATATATATATATATATATATATATATATATATATATAAGGTATAATGTCAGAGGGTAATACCTCGTCAAAAAAATACGAAAAAATGTTCCTATAAAAATGGGTCCGAAAAAGTGTAGTTTTAAAGATACAGGATATTAAAACATTTAAAAAAACTATTTTTGAAGTTGGATACGACGTTTCGTTTACATCTTCATCAGGATGGGACTAAGGATTTGATATTGAAGAAAAATGTGGGTCGATTTCGGCATAATTGTGGACGGGCTACAGGATGACGCCCTCGACGTTTCGAACCACTATGCCACTAACTGACGAAATCATTAGGATTTTTCTTAATTATGGGTCGATTGTCAAATATGCGCACATAGTGCACACATAATTTTTTTTTTAAAGTTTAGCATTCTCTATCTTTAAAATTACGCTTAATTTTCGGACCCGTGTTTATAGGAACTTTTTTCCATATTTTTTTATGAGGAACCACCGTGGATTTTTTGGTCACCCTGTATAAGTTTCACCATACCTCTAGATCTTTATCCAGCTTAATTTTTTCCAGTAAATCTTTCTGAACGATCGATCTGATATTATTGTGTAAAAAACTAAGATGTTTCTTAGTTAAAAATTGAACTTTAAAGATATCCATTCCGTCTTCGCCATATAAAAACTGAACCACTCTCTGATCACTGTTTCGAACCTACATATATCAAAGAAAAAATAGATATAATTTACCCATAAACATAATAATTAGTAACTATATAGATTGTCCCCTATATATTGTAACTATATAGATTGTATATAGATTGCAATTACTGTCCTCCATTCACGCAGTTGTGCAGCTCTGAACTGTTCAAGAACGCGATACTCTCACTCCATTCAATTGAGTCATAAAGTTCAGAACTGTTCCGCGCCATATGGAGGCACCAGGCTATCGCGCACAGCTCCTTTCAGAACCGTTCTGAGTAGCCCAGAGCGTAAAGCTCTGGAGCTTGAAATTCGCGAATGGAGGACAGCAAATGTGTTGCAGGTATAGGGGATAATGTGTTGCATATTATGTCCACTAAATTTACACACACCTTGTATACTTACCGTTAGATCGTACCCTACGCAGAGACCTTCAAGATGCTTAATAAGACACCTAGAAATAAATCAATTAATTAGAAAACTACTAATAATTTGTCAAAGATTTTTATTAAAGGTATTTTATGAAAAATTTGACAGTGTAATATGTGTGACTTTATAAAATATTGTATATCACAATGTCAACCTTTTCTTAAAATATTCTTTATAAAAGATCTTTGACAAAGAAGTTTTATAGTGTAATAGAGGCCTAAGAGTTAACGTAAAAAGTCTATGATGAGGGTGAGCTCATTTAACAAGCAACGCTTTAAAAAAATTACTTTTTATTCACAAAATATTATTGATACCTTTGAAAAAAAAACGATAGAACCAGTTCGTGAGCAGCGAACAAGCGTTACATTACAGCGCTCGGCTCAAATCTATCTCTGCCTTAGAGTCCATTTAACTTAATTTAAAATTCCGTTACAATACGGAAATGGATTGAAGTTTTGTGATTACAGTGATATATAATTTATATGGTTTTGTAACAAATTGCTCGCTATTTTATAGCAAATGCTGAAATGTATGTTTGGAATTTTGGGTGTGGCTTAACACGACAGGATCGGGCTAAGCCTTAGGCAGATTTCTGAAATGTAATATATATTTCCTTCGGCTACACACCCGCTTTACCCGACCCCTGAGAGCGACCCGAACAGTTCAGCGTAATAGACTCTTAAATTTCTTGATATGTTCCTTCCTTAATCTTTTTATTCAAAGATTCATACCTTTGTAAATATCCACTACGACTAGTTTTTACTGCCGTATCGATCAATCCTTCTCTGCCGGCCATGCAATGGAAGAAAAACTCTTGCGGTTGAATGCCCGTCATAAATCTACCGTCTATAAAACCTCCGGCTCTCGGCGCAAATTCGAAAAGTGGAAAGCTTGGTAGAGATTTTCCTAAAACGTCCATATTAGATTATATACATGGTGTAAAAAAATACTGTAAATAAATTTGGAAACTTTTTATTTCTTTTATTAACCATATTTTTTTCTGGAAAATCTTATCTATTATAATTTTTTCTAAAAAAAATATAATAAAACAGTTCCTGTTGAACGTTCAGCACAAAAACATTTTCAAGTTTATTATTTCAGTCTATTAACTATCTATATAGTCAATATGGTTAATTTTTGTTAATGACGACATATATTGATTATTTCGATTCCAAAACAAATTCAGACCATTACGCGTAGCGATTTTTACTAAGAGACCTTTTTTACGTTAAAAACGGCGGAAATGTATATTTTTTCATTCAGTTGTTTTATACAGGTACAGTCGAAAAGTTATTACTCTTCAAAACATGTAGGTGGCGCTCACTGCAAGTAGTACTATATAATTACTTACATACCGTGCTGGCAACTCTTACTTTTGGGTCGCATTTACATGTGTGGAAGTAAATCGCATAGGTATCTTATTAAGTCGGAGTGAGAGAAATGCGACAGTGTGCTGTTGCGGCGTTGCCACATTTCTCCGGTACGCTTTTCCCTATTAAGTAAAGTAAAATCACGATCGCAAACCGCTTATTTTTGAAAGTTTTTTTTTGAAAAGATAACTAAATAAAATCATTACATATGATTCTGAACATCTGAAATGGAATTTTAAGGGGTGTCCATATGTTTATAACGAAAAAACGTCAGTAATCACGATAATTTAAAAACTCAAGTTTTTAACACACAACACGCGATAACTCAAGAACTACTTTAGATATTGAAACTTTTTTATTTTGAAGTTCGGATCTTTTACAAGATATAGATATTTAAATAAGACAACTTAGATAGGCTTGTTTTTTTTTACCATTCAAAAAATTTAAAAAACCCATCCATTTACTTTTAGTGCGTTGCGATTTTCAGCAATCGTGTAACTTTTTTATTTATAAAGATTTTCACATACTATCTGCGAAGAAAATATAGCAGAAATATTAAGAAAGCTTTTGAAAAAAAAATTACAATCAATTATTTCTAATGAATTTGGAGATATCGATTTTTGAATTCAGAGTTCTAATAGCGCGACCACTGTCGAACACCAACTCAATTCCACTTATTTTTACCAAAAGTGCAAGTGTTTCTAACTTGCACTTAAAAATTTACAAGCTATAGGAAAAATTACAAAGACTCGTTACCTAATAAATAAACAAATAGAGTATCACGAGACGTAATTATCATGCAGCTGAACGCATGATGTACACTCTTCCCTAGAATTTTAAGTACTGATTGGGTATTGGGTCGACCTCGAATCTGCTATATCTCCTTCCACATCTCTTAGCAATGTGCACAGTTTCTCGGTTTATTTCATACGTTTGGCAACGCTTTTACTATTCTCTCTTTGTTCAGTACATTATAAACGCATTGTTCTTACATACGGAAATGTCGACCCAAAACTAAACTTTGCCAGCTTTTAGTATGCACGAAACTAGGTATATATGATCAAGGAAACAATATAAATAGAAAATATAAAAAATGCTGGGTGTTGATATTAAAACATACCTGATATCATAACTGGAGGTCTTTTACCCTCCAACTCAATTTGTCCCAATAAACACGATATCTGCATAGTATTGACAGTTGAACCTTTAGCCCCCGACTGTACCATCAATTGCAAACTATTATCGGGGAATTTCTGTATTAATCCAGTGGGCAGGCAACAATTATTGATAGAATTGGTATAGGAATCGAGCGAAGTCTTGTATGAACGATCTATAATCTAAGACAAATACAAATAAAATTAAAAATTCTCACTCTAATTTTGATAATACAGATCTGGTCATCCTAAATCCGTTGTCTGGATTTTTTAACGTGCAAGATAATGATGGAGATCCTAATGAAACTTCAGAAGTGCTAAAAAGAGATAGAGAGTGGTCCAATACAATTCTTCTCTGCGGTATGCCTGTTTTCCGTTAAAATATTTAAGGTAATTTAAAATGGCTATAAAAATGAGAATATGAGCCCCCACAGCTTTAATACAATTTTTATTTTTAGCTTCATAATCTTAAATCACGTCTACTGCACGTAGGAACCGACAACACTGCATTTCTTTGTATCTCTCTGTCTCTATTATTCGTTTATAACATTTTAACTTAACTATTTTATCTTTGTCTAACACTCATTAACATACAGACCACAGTTTTAGAAAAACTAGAGGCTGATTACAACAGTACTATAAGCGATACCAATTAAACTTTTAGTTACGTAATCGAGGGCCCCATTTTTAAATTTATTGTTGGAAACCACCATGCACATATTCGGCGCCGGCGCCGGGCTGAGTAACAGGAATTTAAATTTCCCACTGGCGATTCAGGTGACCGCTCTGCTGTAAAAAATCAAGTTGTCACATTTATTTACTTATTACCTGACATTGTCATTCGTTTTGACACTTTAGTTTTGTATTACAAGTTTTTGGTTTAAATGAATTGTGTTGTAAAACCTTGCATAGTCGAACATTGTTCTTTTTAGAACCTCTTTTAGTGCGAAGTGTACAAGATAGCTTAATAGCCGTTGTAAAAAATTCATCGCAACCTTATTAGAATATTTTGAAAGGGAAAGCGGTAGCAATAGCCCTTTATGTCGTATAAGTGCTGTTAAGAAGGTAAGTTTTGTTGATGTAAATAATAATTGTTTGTATATTTATAATTAATTTATTTTTGTTTCCTATAATATTTTTATTAAAAGAAAATATGTAAAAGTGGACAACGTTGTGCCGGTCAAGCTTAATTACTTGACTAAAAGTTTAATTGGCATCAACTATACCTGTCTGAATTTGGAGTCCAACGAGTACCGTTCTTCCAGTCGTTCTACAATTTCCGTCATGCTACTATCTTCGGGAATATTCAGGGCTTCAGTGATTATGTTTTTTCCGTTTTTTCTCAAGCCTTTGATGCATTTTTTTCGTGCCTTATCCGCTTGTGTTACGGTAAGAATATCCTGAACGCCCAGTGTAAACCCTCCTTGTTGAAGGAAACTAAAATTTATTGCTTATTTCTTCAATAGTGTACAGGATAATTCATGAGGAAATGTCAATATTTCAGATATGTATGTGCTTCATGCATTTCAGTTGATTTTAAAAATTCCGACCGCAGCGCTCGACACGGCAGAAATCAGAAGTTTTCGCTCTGTATTTCACGCAGTTCCGATTTTGATCGCATTGAAATAATATTAAAATCGTGGCTTTGTCATAATATTTCAGTATTTTAGTTTTTAATAGTGCAGTTATTAAAATTATAAAACACTCAGGTAGGAGGTTTGTGTGATGTAATGCTGTTTCTGGTAGTAAAAATTAAGTGAAAAAGAACCCGAGGCAAAAAATGGTATAATAAAAGAACTAGCATAAATAATTAAGTAATTATTATAATTTTTTTTCTCTAAATTTTGGAAAATTTTTTCAGATTTGGCATCGCTGCTTTCGAGAGCGGCCGATAATATCCCATTAGAAACAATATAAAGAAACCAAACTGCCTTCGCTTAAATCATATGGAGCACCTTTATGGTGAATTTTATATGGGAATTGTGCGATAACGCAGCAGTCGAAAATTTTTTTAGTATATGTTAGTTAATCTCGAGAATAAAAATAAGATGAAAAATGTGTATTGCTGAATTTGTTGGATTATTAATGAGCTATAATGTAATGTTGTAAATAAGAATAAGAATGCACCAAGCCTATAAATGTTTAACCTAAAGTGCTTCGTTTCGGAGATACAGGGTGTAGCAGTTTTATTTTTATTTCGAATTTTTCCAGATATTTTCTAAACTACCGTCGATATTTGAACGAAAATTGGTGTCTAGAGCACCCTGTAGAGAGGCACCTACAATACCTACTTCGTGAACAATTTTGCCAAGGCACTTAGAAATCTTATAGCATATCTTCCGCCATACAATTCATAGATACAATGCACCAAGCCATACGGTGTGGCACCATAATGAGTCTTATCCAATATACCATTTAATAATTCTCCATTTCTTATAATAACTTCAGCTTCGGTCATATCATTTTCGTTTCTAAGAAAAAATAATATAAGATCAAAAAGTACCATACATAATACATACAATCGAAAAAAAAATGGCCTCAGAGATGGCTTAAACAATCTTACCGAAAATTTGTACCGCCTGCTTTCCACTTTCGTTCCTTAGATTGTCGCCAAGCTTTAGCAGGAATTTTTGAAGAAGCCAATAAATTAATAGGAGCGTACTCTTTCGGTATAATATTGATGAGTACCGTGGACAAAATCTGTTTTCCAGACCATAGAACAGAGGGTTTCAAAATGGACGGGTTCAATAACTTAATTTCGTCGGTTTTGTGATCGAGTGCTTGAAATACCAGTTGTTGGTAATCCGATCTATAAGACAAATTATTAGTGTAACTAAAAGAATTTAAAACTTCCATTGTCTTTATTTAACTTAACTTACACAACGTTTCGGTCAGATGTGTATCAATTGCAAACTCTATAGTCAGTCCTACAAGAGGATACGACATGACAGTGACAGTTGCGTCCGTCATTTTAATGCACACGTAAATTGTCTTTTCTCACTTTTTTTGAATGTAGTCTGTCGAAATCTTTCCTGATTCGTTGGACAGACTATAATTCCCAAAACTAATTGCGAAACACCAAATTTTCACGATTTTGAACTGATTCTTACTACGTATTCTTATTACGAAAATTACATTCCCATTTTCACGTTTCGACTCTCGACCATCATCAACTTTAGTTTTGTTAGTGAGAGAGAGACAGAGCATCTTCTTCAGGTTGATGCACATCTAACCAAAACATTGCTTAAATAAATAATAAATAAAGACAATAAAAGTCCCAAATTCATTTAGTATCAATACTGAATCATCAAAGTAACATATATCGAAAAAAAAACGGCTTCAAAGATGGCTGGGGAATGACAATCGTTGACAATTATGGCGAGGTTAAGCCATAGATAAATGCAACAAGTTTAGATTGGAAAGCCCGTAAAAATTTTAGGTCGCGAAATTATTTTGGGTCGCGACCATTATACGCGATCTGGCGCTGCTATAGCGGTTGCTAAGAACAACGGCAAACAAAAACAGAAATAATTTTCTCTTGTCAAAGTCAGAATCTTCAAAAATCATAATAATATTTCAAAATCCAAACCACTCTCATTAAAGAAATTCCGAACAGTATTTATAGCGTCCATTTTCAAAGTAATAATTTCTATCTTGTGAGTTTAATTCAAGTTTTATTTACTCCAACCGGTGATAATTGTGAAAAAGTGGCATTAAAAACTTAAAAAGCTGTGCTGTGAACTGTGAACTGCAAAAACCATCGTGGATCGTGGCATAACGTCGGTTTCCAATGTTTCATAGGTATTTCATACATGCGTCCTTATATAAAATAAAGTTTCTTGTATGCAATACACTGTCTTTTATTTATAAAATTAAACAAAAATAATAATAAATTTGAATAAACAATATTTGGCGACATAATTCCGGAAAAAGCCGAACCGCTCCGAAAGTTTCAAAAGTTTTGGGTCGCGACCGTTGCAAGAATAGCGCCAAATAGTGTTTACATTGTCCTTATGGGCACTTTCCAATCTAAACTTGTTTCATTTATCTATGGGTTAAGCCCTAGACGTCATTTACTTAGCCCATACTCTTCATTTTTTAAGTTTCAGAAAAAAATTATTTTGCGGAAATTGTGCCTGGATAAGTTCTATCCTTTTTTAATCTTTCTAAAAGCAGTGTTAATTTTTGATAAGTTTTATGTCAATTTTTAGTAAATGACGTCTCACTAAAAGTATCATCGATTGTCATTTGCCAGCCGTCTTTGACGCCGTTTTTTTTCTTCGGTCATACAGTATTATTATTACAGGCTATAATATGGGTGAGACAAAATTATTACTCACTTTGAAAAAAATCTGCCTCTCAAGGATAATCTGACACCTGCGATTATATGATCTTGTATCAATCCGCTCAATGGCGTGCCATCTTTTGGTACCAAGTACTGCTGCGAAACCTATCAGAAGGTAAACAATAATGTCACAAATTTACTTTAAAAATTTCAAATCAATCGAGATTAATATACAGGGTGTCCAATATTCCGTGGACATAGAACTGCTACGTATTTTTTGAATCAAAATAAGTTCATTGGACACAATTTACCTCTATACAAAAGTGCTTCGTTTGTACGCTAGAGGGCATCAAACTTTAAAAAAATAAACACATTTTTTCAGATATTTTAAAAACCGTTATTCCGATTGGAATGAGATTTCGGGTGTCTATGTTTTGCTAAGTGCTCTAATATTTGACTTTCACAAAAATCAAGAAAAAGTATGGGAAGGGTCAAAACATGGGTCAAAACTACCCCCCACCCCACAGTGGTTCGCCGGCCATAGATACCGTATGATCGAAAAAAAACGGCGTCCAGTTGGCTTGGAAATGACGATCGATGACATTTCCCATATAATTTTACATATAAAATGACAGCGATTTTCATTTCATAGCCATCGTTGACGCCGTTTTTATTCGATCATACGGTACCTATGTCAAAAATCGCCACATCGGTAAATATCAGTTTCTATCCAAAATTTGAACAAATTTAGCTTTGAAAAGATCCGCCAGTTGTATTTACTAGCCAAAACATTCTGATTCGTTATTTTAAATTCAGTGGCGTGTATTTTTTTATGTAATTAGGTACCTAATGATTAAAGTAATAAAAATTGCTTTCTAAAAATGGGAATCTGTAAATAATATTTTTATTTATCACGATTATAACATAAAAATGTATAAACTTAACTTAGAAAAACGAAACGGGAGGTACACTTAGTTATAATAAACAACATTAATAACAAGCAAAACTAATCTGTACCAAAACTATAGGGATTATTAATATATTAATTATAATTTAATAATTCAATAATTAACATTAAGTGTAGGTTTCTCTAAATTTTTCAAAATCCAAATTCTCTTTTTATTTCATAATTTATTGACCTATTGACCTCTTGATACATTCCACAACCTTTGAAATTTTGTTTGGCTCTGAGTGAAGAAGCCATTTTTCAAACACAAATTGTTTCTTAAACACTGCATAAAATCGAGAACTTAAATAAAAAAAAAATCCAATGAACAGTATCTGCTAGAATGATTGACAAAGTATTTTTCGGTGCCGGAAGACCACGGAATTAGTTAAATGCTTGGTAAGCCACTCAAATCATGTTTCAAAACACTTTGATTTAAAATCATCCTTTTGCAAGAAGTTTTTAAAATTGCAATTTCTCAAAAAGTTGGACAAAGTAGGACATAATTCTAATAACGATTAAAAGTGGAAACCGTAATCTTTGTATTCCTGTAATTCATGAAAAGGACTGAGAAGGATTTCCTATTTAAAACTTTACAGCTTCTCATTTTTCAAAAAAAAACGACGAAATGAACAGTTTGTTTTTTTTACCGTTTTTAGAGCATGTATTAAGTCGAACCCTGATTAAAATATAAAAAATATGAACTAATTTACCTATTTTTCGAGTCTCCATACCTAAAAACTATAACGCTAAAAGAAGATTCTGTGAGAAATACACAAACTTGTCACCAAATCAATTCGGAACACAATTATGGCATTAAAATAAACAAATCATTTATTTTGTTATTTTTCTCAGCCTTCTAGATAATCATGTTTGGTAATCTATAACGTTTGTGAGACAGTTTCGAATGTCAAAATAAACATAAAATGAAATATAGCAAAAAATATTAGATTTGCGTTTTTTAATTTTTGTCATAGGACCGACCCACAGTGCACCCCTACATAAATTTTAGTATAAATATTTGCCAACTACGGAAAGAGTGCCGTACTTTTTCTTAATTTTTGTGAAAGCCTAATGTTAAAACACTTAGCAAAACATAGACAGCCAAAACCTCTTTCAAATCGGAATATCGGTTCTTAAAACATCTGAAGAAATGTGTATATTTTAAGTTTGATGGCCCTCTAGCGGCCAAATGAAGTACTTTTGTATAGAGGTAAATTGAAGGGGTCGCTGCAATAACCAGACAGCTCAACTTTTTTACGAAAATGAGATTTTTAAAGAATTGACCTTTAAAAAATAGTCCAATCGTTCCCTGCAACAATCAGATAAGTCCATTTTTTTTAACAGTACATAAATGACAACGTTATTTGGAGCTAACTTGCTTTTAGTTTGCAGCAAAAACCAGGGTAGATCCTGGGAGCTAATTGCAGTAAGCAAAATTGGTTAAAATGGAGCTGCCTGGTTATTGCAGCCACCTCTTCAATTGTGTCCAATGAACTTATTTTGGTTCCAAAAATACGTAGTAGTTCTATGTCCACGAAATATTGGGTATTTGTACCTGTATAAGTTAGCATTATAGTCGTAAATTATAAAAAAAAGATTATGCTTACTTCAGTTAAATTATAACCTTCGCTCCTTGCAATTTCATCTTGAGGAAAATGCGCGTTCATCTCGTCTCCGTCAAAGTCAGCATTATAACTCTATAATTATTAAGAAAAAACATTTTACCATAGTTCTTCATAAAGTGTATAAGATAATATCAGAGAGACTATATTAGAAACTTACTTTACAATTCGCGTAATGCAAACGCAACGTTTTCTCTCCCCTTAATATCCTGGCTCTGTGGCCCATGATGGATGGTTTGTGCAAAGTGGGTTGCCGGTTTAGTAGTAAGATGTCGCCGTTTTGCAAATGCCTGTGCACTATTTTAACCCCTTGAAATCCGGGCCTGCGTTCGTCGTGAGGTGTAAGTAGTATTTTCAATAAACCCTCTTGTTGTATCTTGTTTTCCGGATCAATTTTTTTGATATTTCCGTTTTCCATCTCCACTAGAACCGCCCCTGGATACTTGTTGGGCCCGTTTTTGACTAACTAAAAATAAAATGTTTATTATTATTTATTTATTAATAAATTCGCTCGATTTTTACTCGCCTCACGCAGATGGTCAACGTTCCAGGGTGTTACGGGAACGGGATATGACAGTTTTTTGGCAAAAACTTCGGGGATTCCCACTTCGTCTACGTCTAGGTTGGGATCGGGGGTTATAACGGACCTTGACGCGAAGTTGACACGTTTACCCATCATGTGCTGTCGAATTATACCTTGCTTCTTTTCTATGATCTCTTTAAGTCCAATCCCATCTTTTCCTCTACTTGTATCTTTTGACAGTAAATCGTTTACGTCATTCTGTAAGTCTTCCCAGCAATTGGTTAATTTTTCAAGGTCTGTGTCTCCTTTGGCCGCATTATAATACTGTTCTGCGGCCTTAGAACTGCTTAAAAAGTCCGAATTCCCTAAAACATTTCACAAACAAATAAATACACATTGTCATGTCACAACATCACAATCATCTTTAGTTTCATAAAAAAGTAGCCATAGTGATGTAAAAACCGCATCTTTGTATTTGTACTCATAAACAAGGAACCCCATAAAATACACGAAAATAGGACACCCTGTACATACACTACAGCAGATTTCGTAAGCAAAGAAAAAATACAAATAAGAATAAACTAGAGAAAAATTTCGACTTACCTTCCCTTTTTATAATATTAATCAGTTGATTTATTATTAAAGTGTTGGTAATAATATTTTTATATACTGTGCTTTGTGGATTATCCAGTACTCTTCCATTTAAATAATTTAGAGGCCTCACATTCACAGGTGGTACCGGTATTAATTCAAGATAGAATACATCAGTGGGAAATTCAGTATCAGTATTATTTAAAACATTGACAATAATTGTTATTAAATCTTTCTCATTTTTCCAAATTTCACGTAATATTTTTTTTGATACAACTGGATTTATATATTGCGATTCTATTGGTTTTATATCCGTGTTATCACCCTCCCTGAAGAATATAAAATAAAAATCACTCATAGAGAGAAATGAACAAAAATTTGTGTGCACATCATCAAAGATGTTGAAACAATTACCAAATTCAATTTCTAATAGGTTGACTTTGTGGTATTTATTGAAAATACATATCTTTTGGTGTGTTTCAGCTGACGTGCTCAATATCAGATTACGGACTGTGAGTAGAATCTAACAAATCGTGAAAACTAATGTTACTCAATTAGAACTTTACATTTTTCAGCTTTCAGTCAGAACACTTGCTAAAAACTTCATTTAATTCGAACATATTTGTGCAATAATCATAGGCAAAGTAATAAGAAAGATATAAAAGAAATATTTGTGGGTAGATGTATTTTGTCTAGAATTGAAGTGAAAAATTGATGATAGTCACAGTAAAAAAGTAGCCGTGGCAGTATTCCAATATATTCATTAAAAAATATTTTAATGGTGTGCACAGTAACTTAGTGTTTCTCCTATAAGTCTATTTATTGTACTTACCTATCTAACTTTCGAGACATCAAAAGAATTTTATTTTTAAGCACTTGCACCTTCTTAATAGCATTCTTACAAAAAATACAAAACTTTGTGGGTTTTGATTCCTCTAAAATATACTGAGTAACAACCGAAAGTTCATCTTCATTATCTTTGTTGATTCCTTCAACCATTTTATCAACTTTTACCCTACTTTCCTTCGATAATTGAAATCTGTAGCATGATAAGCAAGAGCATTTCAAAATGGTTGCAATTACCTATGTGAAAATAGTTTATAGATACATTTTTTCTGTAATATAAATAAACGTACCTTATGGAATACTGGATTGACGCAAGGCACCCCCAAATCAATGTACCCAAAATGTCCAGGACATAAAAATGCGTTTTTACCACAAGTACCGCAAGGTTCATGCTTGTCGGCGCTCGGACCTAGTCTTGTATCGTATATACCCCCAATTATAGGGTGTCCGAGTGTATCCAAGGTTAAAGGTGTAACAATTGGAAATATACCAATTTTTTCCACATCCTTTCTAGTTAGGACTGAAAACTTTAAACCTGTAGCAAGGACATGTTTAGATTTAATAGCACTTTTATTCATGATTAAAGTAAAACACAGCCTGTATATTCTAAATATTCAAAAAAAACAAAATAAAACTAATTACTCTACTACAAAACACTTTTAAATGCACCGTTAATACATTTATTTTAGAAAATCAAAGATTCACAGCGTATTTTTCTATATCTTCAGATATCTTAAAATTTTTAGGTTAGTTTAGCCATAGATAGGCTTTAGGCTTGGTTATTTAGATTCATTCTATGGGCGCCACACACACACACATCAGCATCAGAGATATAGAGGTAGGGAGAATAAAGTTCGATAAAGTGTTGAGATAAGTGCGCATTCAAGTCACAACCCTGATTTACAAATGTCACTAATCATATGTTCTGTAGAAATGTGGAAAATGTAGAATGTCATGTACTTCTGTCACCTGTCACTGTCATTCTTAATAAATAAATTAATTCCTGTGATTATTCCTAAATAATTTAATTACAATTTGTTTTCTCTAATTACTCTAAAGTATTCAGGTTTTAAATTATACCTTTATTCTCTTGGTGTGATTATATCCTTCCTTGAACTATGTGTTAAGTATCCAGATATACATATATCAATGAGCTCTAACGATATACGTTGTTTAAATCTCAGGTTCAAATAGAGCTTTTTGCTTTTTGCTGCTTTTTGTAGGATTCTGCTTTTTGTGATCATTTGAATCTGCCATAAGAGTATTATATTAGCGAAATCCGGGAATTTTGACCACATTCATTTGTTTTTGAAATAATATTTTAATTATGGTAAGTAACAGCTAATTATTTGATGACTAACAGTTTATTTCTTAAGTTTACTAACAAAATAGACCACAATAAAGCTTTTAATTTGTGAATTGTTCTATATTTTAAGAGTTTCTTTGGTTTCGGTCAATCTGCAGAAATAGATATCTATTTAGATGGCCAAGAAACGCGAAAAACGGCAGAAGTAAAGACAGAAGATGGTAAAAAGGAGAGGTTTCTGTTATATTATGATGGAGAAACAATATCTGGAAAAGTTAGTACTACCTATAGAACATTTTTAAATGGTTTACTATTAATATGAGACAAAAACAGTAAAATTTTGTTACATACAGTGTACAAATTACTAGATTTTGAATATGTAGGGTGTAGTTTCTATTATCGGACGCCTTATTTATATTAAATATATATTTTTGTTTGCAGGTTAATGTAAGCTTAAAAAAACCTGGCAGTAAGCTGGAACACCAGGGTATAAAAGTTGAATTCATAGGACAAATTGAGCTGTACTATGACAGAGGCAATCATTACGAATTCAGTTCAGTGGTTAAGGAGTTGGCTAGACCAGGGGAAATGATTGCACACACTAGTTATCCCTTCGAGTTCAGTAATGTAGAGAAGCCTTTTGAAGTCTATACTGGTAAGAAAATTGGTCTTATGTAAAAGATTACAGCAAATAACCAATATTCATACTCATTTGCTTACCAGTTTGTTGTACGTTACTTTAGTTTCTGCTAAATTAATTTTAAGACCTACTTAAAATATACAAGATGTTCTATGAATTTTTCGGAATTATTTTTTAGGTGGAAATGTGCGTTTAAGATACTTTCTTCGAGTCACTATAGCACGTAGATTAGCAGATATTGTAAAAGAATTAGATGTGGCAGTGCATACCTTATGTAGTTATCCAGAAATGAATAATTCTATCAAAATGGAAGTCGGTATTGAAGACTGTTTGCATATAGAGTTTGAATATAACAAGTCCAAGTAAGTTGATTAAACATTTTATTTTTATTTTTTTGTGTTAAATATACAGTATGTGTCCAAGAAAAATTGAGGAACTATCACTTGTAGGTATCATTTAAAAGATGTAATTGTTGGAAAAATCTACTTCTTATTGGTTCGAATAAAAATTAAACATATGGAAATTGCTATTATAAAGAGGGAAACAACAGGGTCTGGACCAAATACCTTTACAGATAATGTTACCATTGCTAAATATGAGATTATGGATGGTGCACCAGTTAGAGGTATTCTATATAATAATAATAATAATTTATTGCGCAATATACAAACAAAATTATGTACTTGTCAGTTAAACAAAGGTGATGTTTTGTTTAAAAATAAAAAAGAACATGTTTGTTTTCAATCCTGTAACTAAATTGGGTGAGATTAAAGAGTTATTTCTTTGTTCTTTCTATAGGCGAAAGCATTCCAATCAGAGTATTTTTGGCTGGTTACGATTTAACGCCTACGATGAGAGATATTAATAAAAAATTCTCTGTAAGGTATTTCTTAAATCTGGTTCTTATGGACACTGAGGACAGAAGATATTTCAAACAACAGGAAATAACTTTGTGGAGGAAAGGTAAGTACATATGCAATGCAGATTTTATGTTTTATACAGGGTGATTTGATCTATTCTATAAAAAAAAACTTTATATGAATGTATGTCCTAAACAGCTTAACTTTTGGGATAAAGGGTGGAATTTTTATCTACGTTTTTTTTTCTAATCCTATCTACGTTTTTTCATAATAACTCTGATATTACTATGCCGTAGGATCGAAAAAAAAAACGACGTCAAAGGCGGCTGGGCATTGAAAATCGATGATAATTTTGGCGACGTCAATCTCTATATGTCATTTACTAAAAATTGACATACAACTTGTCAAAAGTTAACACTAATTATTATAAAAAGATTAAATATAAGGGTAGAACGTTTCCAAACACACAAATCTATTTTCAAACAATTATTTTTTCTCATATTTTAAAATCCTTTTTATTCAGTATAAAAATAAATTACAAGCCACTTAAGCTGGCAGTAAAGTAACTAAAAAATAAAGAATAGTCCTGGCCAGGTAAATTACGTCTAGGGCTTGACCTCGCCAAAATCATCATCAATTGTCATTCCTCAGCCGCCTTTGACGCCCTTTTTTTTGGAAGTATGGCAGATATCTTTCTGAAATTTGATACGCCTCTTCTAATGCTGTGTTTTTGATGTAAACAAACATTTTTGTTGTATCTCCTAATTTCCTTCCAGCCAATGCATAGAGTTAGACACCCTGTATAAGCAATAATTATTAAAAATTTACTAAAAACTTTCAGGAGATGTATTAAGAAAACCGAATTTACACTCGACTATAATGGCAGGTACTCAAAGCCTGGAAAACACTGCAAATGCGTATAAGGAAGAAAATACTGGTGAAAACAATCAAAACGTTGATCAAGAAGAAGAAAACGATGAACAGGTCAATAAACCACTGATTAAGGAAGATTTTACAAGGTAAAAAATTATACAGATATAAAAAATTATAGGCTTGGTGCATTTCAGTTGATTTTAAAAAATCCGACCGCAGCGCTCGATACGGCAAGAATCAGAAGTTTTCGCGCTGTATTTCACGCAGTTCCGATGTTGATTTCATTGAAATAATATTAAAATTGTGGCATTGTTATAATATTTAGGTATTTTAGGTTTTATTTAATAGTGCAGTTATTGAAACTATAAAACACTCAGGTACGAGGTTTGTATGATGTAACGCGGTTTCGGGTAGTAAAAATTAAGTGAAAAAGAACTCGAATTGGGCGTCGCTATGTGTTGTGACAATTTTTTTTTTTGAAAAATGTTAACACGTAAATGAGGGCGTAATTACGTAGTTGTTGTGCAATAACATTCAATAACTCAACTTTCCCAGATATTTAACTCTCCCAAAACACATTTTATAGCTTCACAACTTCTCACACTGATTTGATCAAAAGCAAAAATGCATTCAAGCATCTTGACGAAACAAGTGAGTAAACAAAGTGCCCATTACATAATCAAAAATTAAATGGGTATATACTATGAGAGGATAAATTATAATTTGCAACATTAATGGTATACTGGTTTTAATCAACTAGTGCTTAATTTTTTGATGAACGTCTTCTAAAATTATAATTATGTACTTTTAAAGAAAATTGTTATAACCGAATTAGCCCTAGTTATGTTTTCGCTAGTAGCAAAATCGGTGCGTAAAACTATGTTAGCTATCGTAGTTGAATTCATCTAAAAAGTTTTATTAGCTTGAATAATAAATTATAATACAAGTTAGACCTTCTGAAGATATAAAAATATTTACTTTTTATTTTATTTTTAGAATTTTCACAATTTATACTTCCTAACACTTTTAGAATAATTATATAATCAATTTTTCATATACTCGCTATTTAAACCCGTGTATTTTTATATGCTGGTTATTTACTATATTATTCGATGGTGGCAGCACTGGCGGAGAATGCACCAACCCTATACTGTAGCCCTACCATATAAGCAATGAGTGTCTCCTCAGAATTTATGTCCCAGCATTGAGGGATAGAAAATTGAGTTTCTATAGTGTCAAAACATAAGCACGTCTTTGTTTAGGAGATGGAGTTTGCGCCGAAATGATATTTCGGCGCAAACGATCTAATTTTTGATATGCTCCTTCTTTAATCTTATTATTCAAAGGATTTGGAATTGTCCAATCAAAGTGCTCACAGCATCGAGCAGGCACAGAAAACTACTGACAACCCAAGGGTAGACTTATGTGGATAGTGCGTTTGAATCACTAATTTGACAAATCCAGTAAGTCTCCTTAACAAATAGGGTTTTTATAATAATAAAAACTATATAAACTGTCAATAAAACTTGAGAAACATATCTTAGACTTTCTGGACATATCTCTGAGAAAAACACCATAAAAGAGCTTATTTTTTAATAAAAATGTATTTATTTTGTAGATCCCAGTCAACTGATAAGCTTAATAATGAAGTTGCCGATCCATTCAGTCAAGATGTATGATTTAATAGTTAAGTTAAGGTCAGTGCAATTATACAATATGATCGAAAAAAAAACGGCGTCAGGAATGGCTATGAAATGAAGATCGCTGTAAATTTATATGGGGAATGACATCGATCATTTCCAAGCCAATTGGACGCCGTTTTTTTTTCGATCATACGGTATTATATGTATAGATAATTTGGTATACCGGGTGCGTTTTAAAAGTTCCCCCAAAAGGCTCCGCCTATAATTTTTTTATTTTGTCAGATAAAAAAAAACGAGATTTGTTATGTTAGTATATGACATAAAATAGAATTGATTGACGTATTCAATTATTGTTTTTGGTCACTTCCTGTTTTACCGGAAATGACTACAACTTTTGATTTTTAAATGGCACCCTCGGTATATTTCTACTTTACTTTATGATTACTTTTTGAATAGAATGACATTTCATATGTCAACTTTTGACATTTTCGCATATGTTTTATTTGAAATTGTAACATGGCGGTTCATAACGACAACTTGACTCGAAATACCGAGTGTATGTTACCAAATTATTTGTAAAAAAATTATTTTTCCTAATATGCTAATGAGCCAACCTCGTTCCATTTGAAAATATTGAGATATGGTGCATCTTTTGAAAAACATTAAACGATCAAAACTATTTTTTTATCTGAAAAAATAAAAAAGTTATAGGGGTGAGCCACTTTCGAGACGCACCCGATATATAAAAGTGACAAAACATTTACTGCATTGAAGTATATATAAGAAGAATTGTTAATATAATAATAAACTGTTTCAATACACAGTGCGATTTATTGTTAAAAATGAAGGGTATATAGTTTGTTACATAAACGTTGGGCGAAAAGATATTGCGGTACAAAGATGGCGGAAAAATATGGTTTTTATTTTTAATTTAAAAACTAAAAGCAATAAAATAATGAAATTGTATGGCTGTTACTGTTACTGCTAATCAAACCACTCTTTTTATATATTTTTTCGATTTTTTAAATTGATGGGGATGGGACTGAAATATGAAGTCTATCCAGAGGGAAGATTCCTGACTATGACAGTTATTTCTGTCATTTTGGATGTCGTCTGTCGAAATCTTCCCCGAGTCGTTGGACAGACTATAGACTACCTTCTTTTTAACCAAATTTGAAGGAAAAATTAAGCAAGGGCTAGGAAAAAAGTAAAGAAACATAAAAAAATTTTTATCTAAATTATATTTAAAATAGTATAAAACTATAATAAATTGGATTTTCTATATAAAAATACATTTATCTATTTATCACCCAACTGCGAGGAACATATTTTTGAAATTTCATGCACACAAAAAATTTGAGTCAATATACTGTATGATCGAAAAAAAACACCGTCCAGTTGGCTTGGAAATGATGATCGATTGTATCCCCCATATAATTTTACATATAAAATGACAGCGATCTTCATTTCCATGCCGCCTCCAATGCCGTTTTTTTTTCGATCGTATGGTACTTAAACAAAAAAAAAACATTGAAATGTTCATAAGAAAAGTTTTTTTTTGGTTTTAGCGCAAAATAAAATCTATCGTTTTTATGGAATGTATACTTGGACAGTCACAAAAATCCATAATAATTATCTTTATACAGGGTTTTCAGAGATGTTTAGTGCGTTACCTACACAGGCTTACCTATTGGAAGTAATAAAAAACTTGATGTAAATGTAGAGTTTAGTGTAAATCGCAAAACTTTGGTTTTAAACTTATTTTTTTTGTCTAAGTAAAATGATATGAATTTTCAAGTTATACTTAAAGCTAATTTTCAGATCTATTAAAATAACAGAATATAACTAAAATATTCTGAAGATTTTCCCTTTAAAAACTAAAATAATCTTAACTACATAAATGCCCTATTATAATATGTTGTATACCCAATGAAATATGGCCTTGTGCATTTTTGAACACCCCGTATATGATACAAATATATAATTTATGAACCAGGATGTCTAATTCTGGTGATGCTACTATAGTTATCTTCCTAACTGTAAGCGTTGCAAGATGGGTTAAATTAGAGAAAAGTTGCCTTTTTATGCATTCTATATATAAGATCTTTTTACCGCGTTCCCAAACTCCCGTTAGTTTCTGAGATTCAGGGTGATTTGTGAATAACTTCGAAATAGATTTCGTGAAATATTTAAAGAACAATTAATTTTTCGAAATGCATTTTTTTAGAGAGATAGCACCATCTAAATTAGATACCCTGTATAGACAACAGTAGGTATATGATTTTCTTTGCTCCCTGAGAGATTCTAGTGTTAAAATAAACTAAATATTTTTATGACAGTGCTTCGAATTACCAACGTAATTCATCTGGTAATCCTCCCGGGTATTCACCGGTTAAACAGGCAGTGCAGTGGCCAACTTCTCTCTTTTTTATTTTAAGGTCTTTATTCACTGCTTTTACCAGTCCTTCCACGCTAAGATATTGCAAACTGTCCGCGCCTAGAAGTAACAAAAAATACTTTAATTCAAGACATTCAAATAAAATTAAATCTAAATAAATAAAACAATATATATACACCAACTGTCTAAGGAGAACACATATACCGCAAGACTGGAATAGCGCCAACATAATTCTAATTCATAAGAAAGACAGCAAAGAAGATATAAGAAACTATAGACCAATAGGTCTACTGCCAGTAACATACAAGATATTCACAAAAATAATATACAACACAAAACACGCTAGACGTTGCACAACCACGAGAACAAGCCGGCTTTAGAAGCGGGTTCAGCACGATTGATCACATACATACACTAAGTGAAACTATCAGTGGAATAAAAGAATACAAACTTCCACTAGGCATAGCCTTTATACACTTGAAAAGGTTTTCGACTTTATATATCCTAAGGTAATAATAGAAACCGTAGCGAAACAAGGTATTGACAGGCCATTGAGAAGCCAAAGCATGATATGATATGTAAAACAACCCCAGAGTTTCCAACTGGCAAAGGAGTACAACAGGGAGACGCCATGCGCCATATCCCCAAGGGTGTTTACAGCAACACTAGAAGAAATCTTCCATTGACTGGACTGGACCAACAAAGGATTAAAATCAGATGGAGAATATCCTAACCATCTAAGATTCGCTGATGACATAGTCCTAATTGCCAATAGTCCTGAAGTACTACGAGCACAAATTAACGAACTAAATACAGACAGCAATAAAGTGGGTCTCATAATAAATTTAGCAAGAACTAAAGTAATGTACGACGAACTAGTAAACAGAAAAGACATTTTAATATACACAACACTGGAAATAGTAGAATATATATATTTGGGACAACTAATACACAGCTCAGGATCTCTACTAGCAGAAATAAACAGAAGAATTAGCATGGAATACTATGGAAGAAACTCAATCATATTCAAACCTAGAATGCCACTTTATCTAAAGAAGAAAAGATTCAGTCAGTGTGTACTACCAGTCATGACCTATTTATGAGAAACCTGGACACTTAAAACGGACATTATAAGGAAACTGCAGGCCGCACAACGCTCAATAGAATGAAATATGCTGGGAATAACCAAGAAAGACCGTATAAGAATAGAGTGGATACGACAAAAGACCTAGGTAATAGATGTCATCCACAGAATCAAATCCCTCAAATGGCAATGGGCAGGACACCTGGCAAGAAGGACGGACAACAGATTGACCACAAATGGTACCCACGAGGAATTAAGAGACATAGGAGAAGACCAAACCTAATGCCAGGTCTAGACCAAGGCGACAAAAAGTAAACACAATTTTGAGACAAAAACAAGACAAACTTGCGACAAAAAATGGGGAATTCTGACAAGACAAACTTGAGACAAATTGTTCACACCGCAGCGCAAGGACAAAAGTACAAGTTGTGGCAAATGAGTTTTATTAACCATGTATGATCTCACTGGCCTCCTACTGTTGGCAGCACACGCCATTCACACTGCGATGACAACTTGTAAGATATTCGAACAAAACATAGACACTTTGAAGAATTTGGAAACAAAACAAAAATGAGACAAAAATGTCGCAGAAATGTATTGGATTTGTCGCAATTTTGTCGTAAAACATGAATGTTTCTGTCTTGTCATCGTTTTGTCTGCTTGGTCTAGACCCGGCATTAGATGGAACCCTAAAATTAGGAAATTAGCTTAGGAAGTTATCCCTATAACTTGGCTCCGCATAGTCAACAATAGACAACAATGCCAATTACAAAGAGATCATCTAAATATGTGAGAGAGGCTACAGTTTAATTGGAAATGGTCGAATAAGCTGAAAATTATGATGATTATTATTAACTTACCAACTTTTAGAGCAATATCTTCGAAATCCTTAGCGTTAGCTATGAGTTCATCTCTCGTTGGTATATTTATACCCATGTAACAAGGATACTTTAATGGTGGACTTGCAATTCTGAAACAAATTCATTTTTGACTCTATCAAAGGCTAAAAAAATATTAAAACATACCTTATATGAACTTCTTTGGCACCAGCTTTGCGCAAGAGCTTTATGATTGGTCCTACAGTGTTACCTCTTACTATCGAATCGTCTATTAGAATAACCCTTTTGCCCCTAACATTGGTCAGTATAGGACCTGTACACAAATAAACTTTAGAACATGTACACGTATGTATATGAGTGTTCCATTTTAACTAGTTTTTCGTTGTGAGCTGTCGTTCTTCAAATACGACCCAAACTTATGTTTTATTAAATCGGATACATGTATTTTTTTTTAAATTATAATGTACTCTATACTACTCGTATTGTGATAGAAAATATTTTTAAATAAAAAGGGAAGTATCATGGTCAAGAGCAAAACAATTGGCTCAAGATAGAAAGAAATGGCCTGCATTTGTCTATGACAAGAGAGCAATAGAAGCAACCCAGACACGACGATCCTTTGTTATGGGTAAAATGTTTTTTTTTTTCGATTATACCGGGTACGTCTCAAAAGTGGCTCACCCCTATAACTTTTTTTATTTTTTTAGTTAAAAAAAACGAGATTTGGTATGTTAGTATATGACATAATTTAGGATTGATTGACGTATTCAATTGTTTTTGGTCACTTCCTGTTTCACCGGAAATAACTACAATTTTTGATTTTTAAATTGCACCCTCGGCATTTTTTTTACTTTATTCGTAAGAAAACAACACTCTGAATAGAATGACATATAATATGTCAACTTTTGACGTTTTCGCATTGACGAAAATTTGACTCGAAATACCAAGTGTGTGGTATCAAATTATTCGTAAAAAAATGCTTTTTCTAAATATGCTAATGAGCCACCCTCGTTTCATTTGAAAAAATTGAGATATGATTAAAAATACGATTTGAGTATTTTCTAACTGGCCAGGATAAGACACTAAAACATTAGACGATCAGATCGATTTTTCCAAGGCTCCTTGATTAAGAATTAGTGTTTTTAACATAACCATGGCACTCTAGATTGTATTTTAAAGTACGATTTTTTTATTAAGCGAGAATGTCAAAAGTTGACATATGATATGTCATTCTATTCAGAATGTCATTTTCTATCGAATAAAGTAAAAAAATAACCGAGGGTGCATTTAAAAATCAAAAATTGTAGTAATTTCCGGTGAAACAGGAAGTGACCAAAAACAATTGAATACGTCAATCAATCCTAATTTATATCATATACTAACATACCAAATCTCGTTTTTTTTATCTGAAGAAATAAAAAAGTTATAGGGTTGAGCCACTTTTGAGACGCACCCGGTATATTGTATTCTAGGGAGCACCAAAAAAAAATGAATATATTTTTTTAACTACCGTGAAAATATCGTTCAGGATGAAAAAATGAAGTCTTTAATCTGGTCTGAATTTTTATTTAATCAACTCGTGTGAAAGTTATTAAAGGTTAAAGTTCAACTTCAAATCCTAAATGATCACTTCTACACTTTTTTTATATTTCATCACGAAATAATGGTTCAAAAACATAAATATCATATTTTATGTTTTTGAGCCGTTATTTCTCTATACCTATAAAACACAAAATGGGACACCCTCTACATACCTTTTGGAAGAGAATACTTACTAAATTTAAGAGCCACATTCATCTGTCTCAATCGATTAGTGGGTTGTATAAAAGTTCTTCCGACATAGCTGTTTTTCGCTAGCAACTCGCCTTGGGGAATATTTGACTAAAAATTATATATGTCACTGTAAATGTCCGAAATGCGCTAAACCTAGGATTTACGAAAAGCAAGTGGTAAAAGCTCGAAAACTTCTTTATTTTGCTTCCATTTCGGACTTTTACCGGACCCAAACAGTAAATCTTAGGATTTACCACACCATTTGTATAAAATGATGATTATATGTGTATATGTTACTGTAAATGTCCGAAATGCGGTAAAACCTAGGATAAGCGCGCTAAACCTAGGATTTACCAAAGGCATGTGGTAAAAGCCCAAAAGCTATTTATTTTGCTTCCATTTCGGACTTTTACCGGACCCAAACAGTAAATCTTAGGATTTACCACACCGCATTGGGAAAAGTACGAATTATTTTTCTAATAGCAACAATGTCGACAAATTAAGGATGTCGATATACAAAGACATCTCTGTTTTTGTTTGGTTAGGCAGGCTTAGGCATTGAAATTTTAACGATTATCGTTTCACGATATCGATTTTTGTAACATATCAGTCTTATATTTGTTACTCTAAATGTCCGAAATGCGGTAAAACCTAGGATCAGCGCGCTAAACCTAGGATTTACCAAAAACATTAACTAATTAGGTTAGCCTGGCTTTGGAGAGTGTTAATGCATTGGTTAGCCTGGTTATTTGGAGGGTGTTAATGCATTGGTTAGCCTGGTTATTTAGGGGGTGTTAATGCATTGGTTAGGTGGTTATTTGGTGGGGTTGCTTGGTTTTTACTACCACTTGTTTATTTGTACTTTTACCAATGCGGTGTGGTAAATCCTAAGATTTACTGTTTGGGTCCGGTAAAAGTCCGAAATGGAAGCAAAATAAATAGCTTTTGGGCTTTTACCACATGCCTTTGGTTAATCCTAGGTTTAGCGCGCTTATCCTAGGTTTTACCGCATTTCGGACATTTACAGTAACATATACACATATAATCATCATTTTATACAAAAAATAATTTTAAAAACATTTTACTACTAGGGTAAACCTGCCGGTTGTGGGCAACTTTGTTTTTTGCGCCTAAAGTGTGTGAACATAAAACTGTTAAATATCGTTATTTATGTTACCGTAATTCATTTTAACAATTGTCCTCTGAATATTTTGAATTTCCGATTCGGATGGATAATTTTTTTTAAATCAGCCATTGAAGGGCGGTTTTTTCATTTTTTTCCACTAAAGGCCATTTAATTCTGTTTTTTTGCCACCGAAGGCTTCTAAAATAGATAAATTCTTTTTTGATCAATTCATATGCATTTTAATTCATATTTTCCCATTTTATGCGATTTTTCAAGGGCGCATAAAATGTTTTGGTCAAAAACAGCACTTCACATAAGTGGCGGCAAAATATTTTTCGTTTTGTCCGAATGGATATAGTTCCTTCAAGAAAAAGTTAGCTAAGGTTTCGAGATTTCCATTGGTGTGCATATGTTCACTTTAAAAAAAGTTATTGGTGAAAAACGAAAAGCGTGTCCACAACCGGTGTTTCCCCTATGCAATCGAAAAAAAAAACTGCTCTAGAGATTGACCTCGCCAAAATTATCATCAATTGTCTTTGGCGCCTTTTTTTCGATCATACAGTATTTTAAATAGTCATTCATACCTCCAAAGAATACCCGTGAGCGGCAGCGTTCCCTGACTCCGGCACTGATCCGACAATATCGGCTTCTATAGGGTGTTCTAGAGCTAGTTGTCTGCCGCAATGCACTCTCACATTATAAACCTAAAAATAATTTTGATTTAAAAAAAATCGTCGGTACCTTTTTTTTTCTTTGAAAATATTCAGTTCCCATTTAAATAACACGGGATTTTTTTTAAATTTTATTGCTTTCTAACAAATCAGCATGTTGTAAACATCAATACATATTCTTGTAGGAAATTGAACGATCTTCAAAAAAGGTCTGATATGATTTTTCATTTAATTGACTCATTTGAAAGTTCTTGAAGGCGTAGCAGATTTAGTTAATAAAAAAAAATATTGTCTAAAAAGCTATATAGTTCCTTACGTACGGCAGCTTTTACATACTGTACCTTGATGAAGTTTACGAAAAATAGGATATTTTGTGTTTTTGAACCATTATTTCGTGATAATATATAAAAAATTGTGAAAGTTATCGTATACGACTTGAAGTTTAATTTTAACGTTCAATATCTTTCAAACGAGTCGATTAAATAAAAAATCATATCAGACTTTTTTTGAAGACCGTTCAATTTCCTACAAGAATATGTATAGATTTTTGCAATACGTTGATTTGTTAGAACACAATAAAATTGCACAAAAAAATTGTTTTCCCGTGTTACTTAAATGGGAAATAGAAAAGCACAATGAGACACCTCTTAATACTAAGAACTCAAACTTTACCAGTTTTTTTTCCATCATCGTGAACGATATTTTAACGATAATTACAAAGAAAAAATATATTTTTTTTGGTGCTCCCTTTTATTTGAAGATGTTAGGCAAAAACGATTTTTTAAACAAATATACACTTATTGAGAAATACCCTGTATAATTACCTCTTGTCCTTCAAATATACTGGTAGGCCTGGCAAAATACACGTATTCGAATATACAGAAGGCCAATTTTTTTCCTTCTGGAGTACAAATAATGTCAATGGTTTTAGGACCATTCTTTGTTAACTCCACTATTTCTCCTGGTTCTATCTCTCTTATGTATTTGGTTATTTTCAAAAAGGCACAGGATTCGGATGCTATGACCCATCCGTCTGCAGGTTTATCCAGAATGTTATCCGAATATCCATTGACCACTAAAAGAAATACATTATTTTTTAAATTAAACAAAAATTTCATTTTTTTTTAATCTCTAAATCTCACTTTCTGTAGTTGATGCCAAGATTTTCCCTAAACACAACGGTCTGTTACCATAAGGATCCCTAGAAATAGTATATAGTCACATAAAACCGTCTCATACAATTTGCGCATGCGCATAGATAAAAGACATTTCAATATCTATACATGGTCACCAATGCTTCTAACATAGCTCTATATTAGGTTTTTGGTTTGTGATTTTTGTCAATATACAGGGTGATTCAAACATATTTTCTAATTAAGATGTATATTTTTTCAATCTTTTTGTTTTATTAAACACTTCCTATACTAAAATCTGTATTTAAGGAGTAAATTGTGAATCATTCTTATCAGTTGGAACTACACCAAGATCTAAATTACTTTATCAATAGAATGAATTTCGCAATGCATATTATGCTTAATACAGTTCATTAAAATTGGGGCATTTAACTTAAATCTTATTTTCCGATGAGGCTACCTTTAAAAGTAATAGATTAGTAAATAAACTTAATATTCTTTATTAAGTGAGAGAAAGCCCACACAGTAGATAGGTATGATACTTAAACCCCTACTATTGAAAGAACGAAAGTCAAATTTTGTCTTGTATTTACAAAAAAACATAATTTTCTCATTAAATATCGATTTTAGGTATAGGAAATGTTTAATAAAACTAAAAAGGTAAATTAAAATCTGTTCGATTATGATATAAGACACAGGGTGTTCTATTTAAATCATTGGAGAAAAATACAAGATTTAATTATGACAAATCAAGATTGCAAATTTTGGCAGAGTGAATTTTGAAGGGGACACTATTATACAGTACTTCCTGTAAAAAAAAATTAACATTCGTCGTATTTAGCATTTTGAGGAAGTTGCTAATAAGCATAGTTTAAAAATGGATAGGTATATTTCAAAAAGCACTCGGTATAGTATATGACATTATAGTATTTTTGGAACGGAAATTTAGTGGCGAATCCAGAGATAAAAAATATATAGTACATTTAAAAATATACAAGTCTGGATTGAAAATAGGTTTGAATCACCAAAATAGTTTGAAAGTATGTTGACAAAAATATTTCCAAAATGTGCGTTACCAACATTGCCCCCATATTATGTAAAAAAATTGAAATGAAATTCACAAACCGAAAACCTAATATAGAGTTTTTTTGGAAGCCTGAATCACCCTGTAGATATACGGGATAGATAGATATAAGATTTCGATAAATGAGAAACGAGATATGAAGGGGGTAGAAAACATTTTCAAATTCGCCCTGTACTTCGGGAAATATATATCTACTCATCAACGAGAAACCCTATAAAACACACGAAAATGGGACACCCTATACATCAATTTCTTAGAAGTTTCTAATACATTTAATGAATCAACTAATGAACTTAAAACTCCATAAGACGACGCATGGTGTCATTGATGACGTGCAACGAAAGTTGTTCCAATTTCCCTATATGTATATTTACCTCACAGCATATATCCTATCTTTTAACATAATAACAAGAGAGTAGCTTAAGGGGGCCCATTGCATCAAATGTCTTATACGTGCGGGCCAGTCAGGTCCATTCACTTCACCATCTGGTGGTATCAAGCACAAAGCTTGTGTTATTAGCTCACTGTCTGAGTAAGTCGACAGACCAACACCTCTATCCAATACCTACAAATTTAAAAAAGATCTCTTAAAAATACCTGTATGATCGAAAAAAACGGCGTCAAAGACGGCTGGGAACGACAAACGATGATAATTTTGGCGAGGTCAAGCTCTAGACGTCATTTACTTGTGCCGTACCCTCTTCTTTATTGTTTAATGTTTTTTACTGCCAGTTATAAGGCCTTAAAATGGTTGTAATTTAATTTTATATTGAGTAAAAACGATTTTTAAAATGGTGTAGTTAAATTTCGAGAAAAAAAAATTCTTGGAAATCTTTTTTCTATCCTTTTTTAATTTTTCTTTATTTAGTGTTAATTTTTGGCAAGTTTTATGTCAATTTTTCGTAAATAATGTCTAGTGATTGACTCCTCAGCTGTCTTGATGATGTTTTTTTTTTCAATCATATGGTATTACCCTAATCAAGGGTATTACTGTTATAAAGGATCCTACAACAGTGCGTCGGGCATCTGTAGTTCCTATAATAAAGAACTTAGGAATCATTTTGTCCTTAGGAGCCTTTTGTGAAGTGCAAACCTAAAGTATGTTCTAGGATGTATTTTTCAGAAAATCTACTCATCCCTGTAGAAGTTAAAATATTTTCCTGAAATAGGCTTTAGTACATACTTTTTTTGTATTTTGTATTTGACTAAGAGCGGGTCCCAGGTTGGACTCTCCACTGCGGCCGCGAGGGCCTATTGTAGCTTAGTACATACTTTAGGTAGCATTTAAACAAAATTTCCACATTTTTTTATACAACTTATAGAATGCCCAGCGCCCTGTTGCAGGACTATGACACAACGAAAACTACAAGACTCTACTTATCAGGGTTGCCACCCGTCTCAATTTTGTCGGGACAGTCCCGATTTTGATCCAAAAGTACCGTGTTCCCACGCAAAGCCCTAATGTCCCGATTTTTATTTGTTTAATAGCCACGTTTTTTAAATAGAAAAATTTATTATTAAAAATACATGTTTATTAATTTCTTAAATTTAAAAACACTTCTTTTCCACTAATTAATTAAAATCTTAGAAATTTTAGAATTAAAGGAAGTAAATATTGATACTCTGTTGAATGAATATTCGATAATAAAAACTTGTGTAAAGGAAATTTTCCAAAAAGAATATAAAAATTATAGATAAAAAATAAAGTATTTTTAAAACTAGAGTAAATTATGTGCCTTCATTGTTTAAGGTTATACAACGGAAACTTTTGATTTTGTTTAGGTTTTGCTCTAGTTGTTTTAGATTTAATTAATTGTTTACTAATTTTGTTTTCAATTTTTCATTTTTTATTTTTACATAATTAAATTTCAAATTCGAATAGTTTTTTTAAGTTAACGCAAAAAGGCATAAAATATTGTTTCAAAATCCGATGGGCACCTAAAATTTTACATTTAAGAAAAAAGGTTGCACTAGAGCTGTCCCGATTTTTTAAATACAAAAGGTGGCAACCCTGATACTTATATTATCACAACAATACCACAAGAATAACCAAAATCGTTGTTTCTTATTTTACCTGCTTTCTTAAGGCAGATGCATTCACAAGCTCGCCATTATGTGCAACTGCCAGAGAACCATGCATCGAATGTACAACAAAGGGTTGTGCATTAACCACAGTAGACTTAGCACTTGTTGAATACCTATAATCGATTTGTATATTATTTTTAGAGTATAATCAATAATAAAAATAAAGCTGTCTTAGATATTTATACCTGGTATGACCTATACCCATGTATCCGTTAAGGCGAGACATACTTTCATTTGTAAAAACGTTTTTCACAAGACCCATACCTTTTTCTATATTAAATTCGTTACTTCCTTCACTGGTAACTATTCCCGTAGATTCTTGTCCCCTAAAAGATGTATATAAGCGTATCTTAGTTAGAGTAGTATAAAATTACCTATGTTGTAATGCTTGTAATCCTATCATAATAATCTGAGCAATTTCATTGCTGTTCTCCCATTCTTCGTTCCCTATAGCAGCGAAAACTCCACATTCGTGCGTTAAACCGCTCTCTACAACTCCTCTATTATCGGTTTTATTTTTTAAGGCTTTCTCCATTTTTTTAAAGTTTTTTTAAAAATCTTTAAACACCTTGCGTGTAAATAGTAAATATCCTAAACCACATCCTAAACACAATCCTAAAATTCTAAGGTTAGATCACAACAAGTACAATATGTCAAACAGAGATGGCGCTAATTCAACACTGTTTCGCAATTTAAAATAGAGGTTTCTTTAAAGTACGGCTAATGTTTGACTACTTCCTAAGAGATATCGCCACCAGTTCTCTAAAAACAATTGTAGTTTTCTATTTTTAGTGTGCTTGCGCCATCGTGCGGTAAGTTTTATTATTTCTAATTTACAATTTTCTATTTGCGCAACTAGTGTAATCTAGCGGTGAATAGTTCAAGTTTAAGATAAATTTATAGAAATCTACTATTCCTAATTCGAAATAAGTGTTTAATCAGAGCCACCTATACGTGAAATTTTATATTAATTGTGATTTTATCCTTAGAAAGTTGATATATTTTTTTTATTCTGAATTTTGTTATTATTAAAACTCTTTAGAGGCGTGAAATTATACAGCAATGTGAGCTCTGTATTTACAAGAGGGTAGAATGAACAAAGGATATACTAAATTTTGTAATCAATATGATGATATTGTCCTGAAGAGATAACAGAATACATAATGCTTGTAGTACCACGTAGTACATACAAGGTAAAATAGTTTTGCACTTTGTTTTAGTAGTTATTTATCTGTAATAATGTTTATTATGGCCTACAGTAAATATAAATACAAGAAATAGAGAAAATGAAGTGAGAAATAAACCACTAAACACATTTTTTATCTCCATAATATAAATAATTATTGAAGTTACCATAATATGTCCAAGATTATACATTTGTCGAAAGATCTAGTGGAATGAAAATAGAAGATAAACTAACTATGGAGAGCAAGATCCATTGTATAATACTTGTTTACGTACCTAATTAAGTAAGTAATTAAACAGTACAGTAGGCTTTTTAGTTAGAACTGAATTTATTACATGTAACAAAAGTTTGATCGACGTTTTTGCCTCTATATCATAGTCGATACAATACTCTCAGAATCTTTAATGATTGAATTGATGTCTTATATTATCACAAATTACAAGCAATATCAGAAGATCAAAGCCTTTAAATTCAAGATTGTTATATTTACAGCATCTGCTGAATGTTATTTCAGAGTTTTATTTTAATTCCTAACTGCTTGTAGTTACTTAAATATAAATATTTCCTTCAAATTGTGTTATTTTATTCAATTTAATGCTTATTTTTCCATTATTCACGTTTGTTTTCATATGCAGAAAATTTATTTAAAGTGGTTGGCAACTAGTAATACACAAATAGCACAAATATTAAAGCCGAAAGCCTGTTAAAGCCTCACGTGGGCCTTATATCACAGCTATGGAGGGCTTAAAAAGCTTTTTCACACTTTTAGCCTCCATAATCACTAATAACCACAGCCACAAACCACAGCTGTGATCACAGCTTATATACGCAGCAGAAGTGCCCGAGTAGACTAGTGGGACGTAAACGTTGGATATCGCTAGATCTCCGGCCTGCCTCTATGCAAGGTCACGCGTCACGCCATAGTCCACGACACAGCGATCTGTGATAAAAGTCTTTTATTTTCATCTGCATTTATTGAAGTAACGAAAAAATGCCGCATTTCCGACTTGAGACTAATGTACCTCAGGAAAGCATTCCTAAAGATTTTCCAATCACTTTATGCAAAATTCTAGCTAAATCTTTGGGAAAACCACTAAATGTAAGTATGGCAACTTTATAGGTTAAAATTATATTCCGTCATCATTATCAATTTACCAGCAATTACTATTTGATCGCGTGATCATGTAGTATCTAATTGTTAATTTGAATTTTGGTTTTATGTAACTCCAGGGGTAGGGGGCGTTATAGGAATGTCAACGATTTTTAGTAGACGTATCTGCTACCATGTCTGCTACTGCTATAATTATACAGGGTGTCCCATTTTTGTGTGTTTCACAGGGTTTCTCGTTTATGAGAAATTACCTAATTTTGAAATTGTTGCATTTTTCAACTCTCTTTGTATCTTGGTTATTTTATAACTAATCGAAAAGATCCAGTGGCGTAACTAGTTTTTCGCTGGAAGCCAAACTTATCTTTTTTAAATAGGAGACCCTGTATATTATTTTTTTAATCTTATTTGTCTTGTTATGAGCTTTCTAAAAATACGGGGGAGTGTCCCAGAAATAAGTGCAGATATTTTAACTGGTAGTATAGTTCGACTCCAGAACACGCCTATATTCTTAAAATTGTTTGGTTGAAAATTTTATATTTTTCTTGATATTTTCCGGAAACTATTGAAAAAATTTTGAGTGCCGCTTGTACAGTTTCGGAAAAATTGTTTATAGTGCTTGGGAAGAATGCAATGTTGCCACCTCCTATGTTAATCACAGGTGATCCACATTCTGTAAGTTGTAAGTTGATATTTTTATAATTCAACAAAAAAAAATATTTAAATTAATTTTATTCATTGTAGATTACTATTAGGTATAGTGCAACTTCTATTATTTTAAAGAGCTTTTTTAGTTTAGTAAACTGAAATAATGAACAACGCTAGCAGTTTTTTTCGCCATATTACGAAATATGTTCAACTCTTCCCCTCAACAGTCATAACATAGCTATAACAGATTTTGATAGTGCTTACCTTTGGTTGAGAATTTAACAGTATTTTGTCCAGCATATCCAACACGTTAAATAGCGTGGACCATAACCTTTTTTAGTCAATAAACCAAAATTTGACGTTGAATAAATTATTTGATTGTTTTAATTACCTAGCGTAAACCGCCTTTATTAAAAAGTTAAATAATGCTTTTTTACCTTACTTATGAAAATAAGTATAGAGTATATATACTATATTTTTAGAAAGCTCCTAACAACACAAATGACGTCTAGTAAAAAAAGATTGACCTCGCCAAAATTATTATCGATTGTCATTCCCCAGCCGTCTTTGACGCCGTTTTTTTTCGATTATACGGTATTTTCACAGCGGTATGATTTTCTTGACGATACATTCAAGATTTTTGTGACAAAAACTGTAAACAAATAATAATTATAATTAAAATTTCTAGTATTGTGTTGCAACAGTTGTCGGAGGTGTCAACATGTCTTTTGGGGGAACTACCGAGCCAGCTGCCCAAGCCACGCTGATGAGCATAGGCGCGTTGGGGGTTGCGGAAAATAAGAAGCACTCAAAAGCACTTTTTGAGGCTGTCGAACAAGCTATTGGCGTACCAGCTAATAGGTAAGCTAATACAGTTGTCTAGAGAACAAAAAGTATGCTAAAAGGCTCAGGAACCTTTAAAACTAATTTTTATATAAAAATTATGGTTTGGTTTTAAGCCATCAAAAAAAGCTATGTTCGTTTGGTTGGTTAGATTCGCTTGCGTCCTTGCGTTCATATAATTTTGTGAACATGGTAAATTTCTCGTGACTACTTAATAAAATTTGATATTATTTTCCTTAAAACTCTATTTTTATTTTACTTTTAAAAACCTTGCCTGGCTCGCTGAGAACTACACCATCGTTGAACAAAAATTAGCTAGTACCGAGAAAACCGGGAAATCGGGAAAATCCTGGGGTGGAACTTTGTAACTAAATAGTAAATAGCGATCGGTAGCGATGAAGAATACTGACCTTGACCGTAGAAACTAAACAGCAAGCGGCAGTATTCTTTATCACTACTTAAAGGCAACCCTAACGTAAATGTATATTTTTTTAATAGGATGTACATCTTGTATCAGAACTCTCCAACCAGTGATGTAGGATTCAACGGAACCACTTTTCACGATTTGTTTGGCTAAAATATAGACTAGAGCACATTAAAAAATAGGTATAGATTTGTACAATAATTGATACTATAGTGTTTTGTGATGATGCAATAAAAAATTAAATCACTATATTTCTGTTTTTTTTTCATTGACGCAATTAATCCCATATTACCTTTTATCTAGTGTGACTAGGTATTTTTTTTTGGAGAAATGAATCCGTTAAGAATAAAAGTACATTCAAGCTGAGAGCGTCGAGCGTCGCGTCCACTCCATTGAACTCGAACCCCGACACTCACGGGACGCTAGCGCAACGCCTAACGCGACGCTGTCTGCCTGATCAGTAAAAATTTTGAAATCAGTAAAAAGATTTGAAATCAGTAAAAATACAGGAAGGATAAAAACTACCCCAACCCTTGCATAAATTTTAGTATAAATATTTTCCAACTCCACCAATAATCGAATTTTTTACGTAAAATGGTCCTTCAAGTATTTCCTACATTTTTCTAAAAAAATATTTTTCCGAAGCTGCCTTCCAAAAAAAAAATGTTTCTTGTTACATCAAGCTATGTAGGGGCACAAAACTATTAAGCGCTAATAACCTAGTTGGCAAAAATATTGAATTTGAAGATTAGAAAGAAAGAATTTGAAGAAAGATTATATTCGATAAGCTTTAAAAAAAAACTTAAAGAAATAAATTTTAGTTTAATTAACGGTGAGGTTTATTTTACATTGATACTCTCTAATGGAACGAAGCACTTTTGTATAGATGTAAATTGTGTGCAATTAACTTATTTTGAGTGAAAAAATATGTAGTTTTATGTCCACGGAATATCGAAATTCTCTGTATATTTTATAGGTCTGCTTTGGAACAAAGAAATGTGCACAATTTTTACTTACACATACATAAGTGGTTTCAATTAGTATAGAAAATTGTTACCTAGTTTAATTTAATAAATTTTATTTTCTTAATTACAAAGTAAGAACAGCGCTGGCTTTAAGGGCCTTCCTTTCGTTAGCCTTAATTTGTCCAGCCAAACGATCTACATCCCTTCTTCCTTGTTGTGTCAACTTTCGTCCGCCATCGGGAGTTTTTTCAATCAGTTTTAAACCTGTAATTAAAAAAATAATAATATAGTACCACCTTAAAATTTCAGTCAATTTTCACGAATTTTTTTTACCAGATTATAGATCAATTTTTAAAACTAAATCTTAAATAACTTAACAATTTATTTTAGGTATAGGAACATGTATAATCAAAAAGTAACAAATTGAAAAACCTTTTCCCTCGTGAAATAAAAAAACGGAGGTCCATTTGAAAAAGATTATTTATGATAATTTTTTAATCTCTCAATTCCATGACAGCTACGGCCACTATTATATGACAATCAAATAATTTAATTTTTGAAATAGATGCCTCTAGTCTTCTCTTTATGTCACAGTGGCTGGGGTAAACTAAATTTGACGTTTAGACCTTTGGTTTAGACTATACACATTTTTTTGACAAGCAGTTTTTTTCCTCCAAATATTTTAAATATTTTTTCTCTCAAAAATTTTACAGAGAATATAAGTAGTTAAAAATAAAAGCGGGTATCCATTTAAAATAAGAAAGTAGCTGTCAACTTCCGGTATTTCCAGAAGTGCCGAGATATTGAAATTATTTTTAATTGATAGATCTCACTGTGAAATAATGATGTGCAAAAATGCACGCCCAACCAGGGACACCCTGTATAGTTTTCGTTCACAAACTGCTTATTGTAAAAAATCTACTTCAGACATTATGGTTTTTGAATAATTGTACCTTTATTTCATTTCACGCTCAATTTATTAATAAATAAAATAAATGAAAAATATTACCTTCTAAACTTTGCAATGATTTGCGTGCAATACTGCCTGCCGACCGGCAAAAATGAGAAGGTTTGGTTCCGTTACGTTTACGGGAACCAAAGATTTTGGTTACAGATCCAACACCAATGGGGGACCTGATGTAGATATGCCTGACCACAGCAGCACAACGAACATAGTACCAGTCAGGATCATAGGGAGCCAATTCTTTGGCTCTAGAAGTTTTAACTAAGTCAACCCATTCTGGGACACGCAGTTTACCAGTTCTGTAATAAAAAAAAATGAAATATTAGTTCAAAATCGATCATGATATTGTGAAATGTAAAAATACAGCTAAGATAAATGCGATATTTTTAACTAAAAATGCTATTAGTGAGATCTAAAAAGCTGTTTTAATAAAAAAAAACTGACAAAAATGTTCGGTTAAACTAGGGTAAATAACTCTTACATTTAGATATACTGAAAAATTATATACCGGATATATACTGAACAATATTTGTACTTTGCTTACTTTTTAAGGAACTGGGCAAAAGCTTTTACAAACTTGTGTTGATCGACGTCCTTTAAAGTAACGGAAGGCATGTCTGAAAATGAATTTAATAAATAATGTTAATAATAAAGCTCACAAAACAGCATGCATGCTTTTAATCATAACCTATAAACAATATATTGAATCTGTACAATAAATTAACACATTCTAGACGAAAATAATTTGATAATAAAGAAATAAGAAATTTTTCCTATTTATAAATAATATTTTCGGTATTTTAAAGCTAATAATAAGTTCAAAATGTTTTCTTACTTGATTGAATCAAAGTTTACCAAAAAGAAAGGAAACCACAGAGAACATAAAAAAGAGTAAACCTGTGGAGTAAACTGATAAACTGTCAAAAATGTGAAAACTCAAAAAAATGTCAAACTCGCAGGGATGAGTGCGTATAAAATACTAAAAGAGTAAAAATTTACATGTAAAAAACTTTAGAAGTTGGTTAATTATGTATTATTAAGTTACTGCTTACAGATTGTATATGAGGTAAATCCCCATTGACAAGCTGTAGTTAATTGTAATTATTGTCGTTAGTCGTTGGCCGTTGTAAAAAATATATAAAAAAAATCGATGTACCGTTTGCATCCCTAGCCACCCAAAGCCAAAAACTCATGCATGACACATGCAGGGTTCGGAAATAGTTAATTAAGACGTAATTTACATGATTAACTACGTGTAGTTTTTCTTCAAAAACTACGTCTTTTCCCGTTCATTAACTACATGAAAACTACGTTAATAAACTATGTATTGATATTATGAATAATTTTCCTTTGTATGAGGTGCAGGGTTCGGAAGTAGTTAATTAAGACGTAATTTACCTGATTAATTAGGTGTAGTTTTTCTTCAAAAACTACGTCTTTTCCCGTTCATTAACTACATGAAAACTACGTTAATAAACTATGTATTGATATTATGAATAATTATCCTTTATATGAGGTGTAATAGAGATAATATGATGCAAATATTATATTTAAAGCTATATTTCTTCTGTTTTCTTAAATACATTATGTGTTTTTAAAGCTTTAACTTATTATAACCTCACCTCAAAACTTTGATATTTGAAAGTTACATACATATATTACATAAACTACACCCTCGACATAAACTACATTAACTACATGTAATGTAGTTTATGTAGTTTTTAAAAGTAACATGTAGTTTTTCGAACCCTGATGAGGTGTAATAGAGATAATATGATGTAAATATTATATTTAAAGCCATATTTCTTCTGATTTCTTAAATACATTATGTGTTTTTATAGCTACAACTTATTATAACCTCACCTCAAACCTTTGATATTTGAAAGTTACATACATAGATTACATAAACTACACCTTCTACATAAACTACATTAACTACATGTAATGTAGTTTTTAAAAGTAACATGTAGTTTTCCGAACCCTGGACAGATGACCTCCACATAGATGCACAGGCCACGAGGCTTTGGACGAGGCACTCTTGACGTCATCAAAGTAGTCAGGCTTATATTCATTGCATAATTAATATTTTTTTTGCCCCACATAAAGATGAAAAAAGTCATACACAAAGTTACTAAAATATAATATTTACTTTTTATCGCGTTAAACTGATTGAATAGCATCAAGGTTTAGATTTAAAGCAATTATAAATATATCCTGGTGATAACAGTTTCCAAGTTTAAAAATCTGAAAACAACTGATTTTTTTGTCATTTTGACCAAATTTTGATTTAAAAACTTGATTTAATGAGATGAATGAGACGAACGATTAATTCAAAATAATTGTGTACATAAAATGTATATATATATAAATTGTATTTTCTTTTTAGTTTTAATTATAAAAAACTGCAAATATTATATATTATGTATAATAAATTATCACTAAGTTAAAACCAAACATTTTCTCCTATATATTATTTTGTTGTTTGGATTTTTCTATTTCATCTAGATCGTCCTCATCTGCACCCTCATCGTCACTCTCATATTTCTCATCAGAATCATATGAATGCCTGGACAATTTCTTTAATGTCCATTTTACCTAAAATACATCAGCTATTTTTAAAACATATATACAGTGCTTAGCATTTACTATAGGCATTTGAAAGATTATAATAGATAGAACATAGAACAATAACTTAAATATCTATCTTATACAAACAAATCACACATTTATACAGGGTATTTAAGAACAGTTTTGCTTAAAAAAGCCTGAAATATACCGTGCATTTTTAAATCAAAGACAGGTTTTATAAATTTTACCATTTCCTCTTTCTCCAATTCAGTATTAATTATGGTCGGATAAATATATTTTTCTTTAAACTCTTGTACATCTTTCTCAACTTCATCCCACATTAATTTTTCATGCATACCATCATTTCCATACTTATTATTGTACCTTTCATAATGGACATAGTCTAATACTAATCCTAACCCTAAAAAAATGCTACATATTATATAGATTTTATTAATTTTTTGAATAATAGCGGCTGAGGTAATTTCTGTATATACAGGTGGCTCATTAGTGCAAGGAAGTCCAATATCGTCGTTACTGATGATAAAATACTGTTTGTCAACAAAGAAAATATTGGACTTACACTAATGGGCCACCTTGTATATACCTCACCTGGAGCTCTAGGTATATTAATTTTTTCCACCGATAAAGCCTTGGTTATAGTATCTTCCGAAGCAATTCCCTTTAGTACTGCTATAACTAATCCAACCATTTTCCTAATTTGGTGCAGCATAAAACTCTGCCCATTGACTTTCAACACGCAAAATTCAACATCATCCTTAACGAAAGGTTCTTCACATATAAAACTCCGTATAAATCTCTTTGCACTAGGATCAGTCGGTTGTTTCTTTGAGGTGAAGTTATGAAAATTTTTCGTTCCTATGTATAAACCTAAAAGTCTGTTAACTTGTTCATATATTTCTTTTGATAATTTAAATTCTTTTTGTATGCATGGGGGATCTTTTTGACTTGAAAAAACTACAGTGGGTGTTAAATAAATATATGTACGACCGTCACACTGTGATTTAGCATTAAAACCTTTAGTGACCCTTTTATAAGCAAAAACTTTGATCGTTTCAGGTAGTTTTTCGTTTATTGTATTTAAATCAAAATTTTCATCAAGTTTTAGCGAAACTACTTGTCTTGCTGCACTAACACCTTTGTCGGTACGTGCAGCGCGTTGAAACTGCATGTTTTGAACTTGTTCGTAGCATTCTTTGTTGATAAAAGCTGAGTCAAACAGTGCTTGGAATAGTTCTTCTTCAATCGTTTTTGTATGTGGATTTCTTTGCATTCCATAGTAATTCACTCCAGAATACCCCATAAGCAGGCAAAATTTTCTTCGTTTTGTTTTATTAAGAGCTTTTTGAAACTCTGCTTCGTTGGTTTTAACTAATTTTGGAAGGCTTGGATCCAGCCCAGCTCCTTTATCTGACCTACGTTCCTCCCACTGGCGTTTTTTAGTCCTACCGTCATACCGCGATTTTCTTTCACTCTTAGTATTATTCATTACTCTTTCGATAGTAGTTGGTATTCTTTCAGCAATTTTTTTACATAAAGACAAGGAAAATTCCGAGTATTTTGCAAACCGTAAAATCAAACTCATGTGAATAAAAATTAGTCTAAGTGTACTTATAACAATTAGTGATATTTAACTGAGTTTCAAATCAAGTTTTTTGTTCTTTTATAATAAATAATATAAAGTTTTTTAAAAACATGTAAACACGAAGCGGTCTAAAATTTAAGGTTAGATTAGAAATCGCCATAGACTATAGGACTATAGATAGACCCCTTGAGATAGACCATAGACAAAGCCATAGACAACTGAAATCACACCTTTGAATAAGAAGACAAGGAAGGAGCATAATGCTCTATCCATGTATTCCCTTTGAAATCACACCACAATCACACTGAAATCGCTCTAAAACACTCAGCCATTACTTTCGCATAAAAGCTGGAGATCATACTGGAGACTTGGAGACGTAAAGATTTGTGACGTCAGGAAATTAGTCGCAAAGCCCTTATTAAAATAAATGTACCGTATGATCGGGGAAAAAAAAACCGGTGTCAGCGATGGCTATGAAATGAAGATCGCTGTAATTTAATATGTAAATTTGTATGGGAAGTATTCATTGATGTTCATTTCATAGCCATCGCTGACGCCGTTTTTATTCAATCATACGGTATTTTGGTACAATATACATATCTTGCATAAATAATAGTACCGTATACCCCGCGACCGATGAATAACAATCTATAATTTTTTTTATGGGAAGTCAACCCCTATAGACGTCATTTAACTAACGAAAGTAAACTAACAACTGATATAAAACTTGTTATTTGCAAAAAAATATCTTTTAACGAATTTTAAACTACACAATTTAAAAGTCGTATACAGGGTGGCCCGAATTGTATTCGGGAAACCTCGGCAGCATATTCTGCAGATAAAAGTATTTATTATATGTATTTTTATAAATGAAAAAGTTCGTTTTGTATAAATGCATGTCCCAAAATGCTTCGTTTCAGAGATACAGGGTGTGATATTTGGATGAAAATTGGTGTTTTTTTTGACACGAGAAATTTGATTTCAATATCAATACGACTCCTACCCGTAGGAAGCGTCACCTAGGAAACAAAAGGAATTACCGACCCTGAATATTATAGGAATTTTCCAATAAAAATAACAAAAACAATCAACTTTAAACGGTGGTGTATAGATTAATTTAATAGAAAAAAATACCAAAGTATTACTGTAACATTTGCAAATATTACTCTTCTACTACAGCAGTTGTTCTGAACATTATTCTTAAAGTTTATGACCGATGACTAGTCATGCCTCAATGACTTGAGTAGCTTCTTGACGCTCTTCCTCCAATTCTTTTCCTGTAATGTCTAACAATTTCCTGGCCGTGTCGTTGATTTGTAGGCCTTGTACGATGCTCCATTTTCCATTTTTTATGGTCACTGGGAAGGAAAATACCACGTCTTTAGGTGCTCCGTAACTTCCGTCGCTTACAACACCCATAGAAACGAACTGGCCTGAAAAATATAAATAATACAAATTAAACGTTAGAAGACACTGTTCAGTTATAAGTAGACAATGACAGTTATAAGTAGGGTTTCTAAACCGGGATCCCGGTGTATTTTTCCGGAAAATCCCCAAAAATCTCGAAAAATTTAAATGCCCTAAAAATCTAAAATGATTCAACTTTATACACTTTAGTCTTTCAAAGATCATATTTTATGTATATTAAGCAGAACGTCAATATCTAAAAGTTATATTTCCGTGTTTGCTATATTTTTTTTGCAACAAGAATTTTTTTTTACACTTTGTCTCTTTTAATATAGCTCTTTTCAAATTTTCTTTTTGATATATGTAGCTGCATATTTATATCATTCTTTAGAATTTATTACTCATTGTGATAGTCAATATCCTAATACCTATTTAAGTATTTTGGTTTTTACTAATGCAGTGTGATGTAACGCTGTTTCGAGTAGTAAAAATGAAGCGAAAAAGAACCAGAACTGGGCGTCGCCTTGTGTTGTGACCATTTCGAGTGATAATAACATTACCGAAAAAAGTAACGAAACGGAGGGTGTAATTGCGTGGTTGCTGGGTGCAATAACATTCAAAATAACTCTGCCGGAACAACATTTTACAGCTTCCCAAATTTCTCACACCCATCTGATCAAAAGTGAAAATGGATTCAGGCAGTACGACGAAACAAGTGAGTAAACAAAGTGCCGATTACATAATCAAAAAATTAAATAGGCATATACTATGTAGTTTTATGTACCTTTGAAAATTTTTCTTATACTTTTTAAATCAACATTGATTAAATGTTTTATGAATATCTTCTAAAATTATAACTATGTACTTTAAAAATGTCGTTATAGCCTAAATAGCCTCAATTATGTCCCTACTTACAAAACCGATGATTAAAACTATGCTAGCAATGGTTGTTCATCTAAAAGTTTTTCGTGGAATAATAATTAGTAAAGTTAGACCTTTTGAGATTCTTTTTAATTTGTTTTAAAAAAAAAAAAATTTTAGAATAATTTTTTTTCATTTAGGCCAGTATAACTTCTTTACGATATGTCCGATTTGGTAACACCATTAACAAAGGCCACTGATCTATATTTAGGCAGCTAAGATAACTAAAATATGGTTATTCTTTGTTGAACAGAATCCTAGTCTGCTGGGGGGGTTGGGGTGTTACACTTTCTCACCTTGTTATAGCCATGGCACTCTAGAATGAGATTTAAAATACGATTTATTATTAAGCGAGAATGTCAAAAGTTGACATATGATACGTCATTCTATTCAGAATATCATTTCCTATCGGATAAAGTAAAATTATATCAGGGGTGCCATTTAAAAATCAAAAGTAGTTGTCATTTTCGGTGAAATAGGAAGTGACCAAAAACAATTGAATACGTCAATCAATCCCAATTTATGTCATATACTAACATACCAAATCTCGTTTTTTTATCTGAAAAAATAAAAAAGTTATAGGGGGTGAGCCACTTTTGAGACGCACCCGGTATTGGTATATGACATAAATCAGGACTAACTGAAGTATTCGATTAGTTTCGGTCACTTCCTGTTTCACCGGAAATAAGTACAACTTTTGATTTTTAAATAGTGTTATCGTTATTTTGTTTGCTTTATTTGCCGAAAATGTCATTGTAAATAGAATGACGTATCATATGTCAACTTTTGACATTTTTTCTTAAAAAAAAGTATTTTAAGTTTCAATCTAGAATGCCGGATGTGTGAAAATCGCTAATTTTTAGTCAAGGAGGTATTGAAAAAGAGATTTAATTGCCTGATAATTGTCCTGGAAGGTTAAAATGTATTTTTAATCATAACCAATTTTTTCAAAGGTATTTTTTATGAACAATTTGGTAACCACATACTTGGTATTTTGTGTCAAATTATTATGTTTATTGTTGTGGCGTTTTAGATTGAAATTCTGAATACTATTTTTCAAGCAAAAATGTCAAAATTTGACATGTGATATGTAATTTTCTATCAAATATAATAAAAAAATAGGGAAGTTACCATTTAAAAATCAAAAGATGTTCAAAGTGAAACAGGAAGGGATGAATAATAGAATATGTCAATGAATTCTGATTTATGGCATGTACTCACATACTAAATCTCTTTTTTTAGGTAAAAAATAAACAAGTGAGTAAAATAAACAAGAGCGACTTTCAAACACACCCGGTGTAATTTTACATATATTTTAAGTGCAAACCTAAAGTATATATTAGGATGTATTTCAGGAAAATATTTTAACTTCTAAAGGGTGGACCAAAAAAGTGTGAGTGGATCGGAATATTTTTTTTGAAATGGAACACCCTGTATATTATTATATTTTTGACTTCCTTTCAGATCACTTTACATGATCCTAAGCAATGAGTTAATATATTTCGAAATTTTCAGAGATATTAATAAATAGATAAAAAATCCTTCAACCTTCCTTAAAAAATTATTATACCCTGTTTTTTTTCTAAGGTAAGATTTCGACAGACGATGACAGAAGAAAAGCAGATGACGTCCCATACCAATCTATTTATTTTACTAAAAAAAGTTTCTAATAATTTTTAAGTTAACTATGGATGGGTTGAAATCATAGACTTAAAATAAAATATAGACTACACTATTTACATCTCAACGCGGACAAACAACCTTTTTTGTACACATGTTTACTTCTGGGTACAGTCGACCGAGCCTTCCTCATCCAGCCTATGTTGTCACGTCTTTAATATTATCAATATTTTTTTCTTGTTATACACATATATTGAGATATTAATACTACAGTTTAATAAAGTAGGTTTTAATATTCCATAGATGTATTAAATAGTCCTTATACTACTAAATTATAAGTCGGATACTGTTTAAAAAGGATAAGTTCTTTACAATATGATAACACCGATTAGAGGCGAGGGAGCCTATTCATTCATTTATTACCTTGTAGTACGCGTGGCAAGTGTGCGGTAAAGCTTTGATGCCGCTATGTCCCCGGCTGTATTAACGCATTTTCTTAGTTTGTAGTCCTTAAGTGTTTATTTTATTGACTTTTTCTGTTCAAGAACTATAAAATATGGTTCGCCAGTGCCAAATTTGCAAGAAATTTGACTTAAATAATCCATTTAAGTCTTGAAACGACTTTCGACCGGTAGACAACTCTCAATTTGCCCATTGGGAGCCAGTGGCGTTGTTGTAGAAAGGCGCTTATTTAGATAATATTTTAGTAAAATGTAAAATCTGAATTTTTTCTCATTACATTATTTACTTACTTACATTGTAACAAAGTCATAATTATAACCCTGTTAATAATTAATAATGATTTTATTAAAAATATGGTTTATTCTAAAATTATCTTGAGCATATAAAATAACATACAAGAATTTTAAATTGATATTACATTATGAAACAATATTTTTTAATATACCGGGTCGTCTCAAAAGTGGCTCACCCCCTATAACTTTTTTATTTTTTCAGATAAAAAAAACAGATTTGTATGTTATAGGTATATGACATAAATTAGGATTTATTGATGTATTCAGTTGTTTTTGGTCTCTTCCTGTTTCACCGAAATGATTACATCTTTTTATTTTTAAAGGCAACCTCGGTATATTGCTACTTTATTCGATAAAAAATGACACTCTGAATAGAATGACATATCATATGTCAACTTTTGACATTGTCGCTGAAAAACAAATCGTATTTTAAATTTCAATCCAGGGTGCCATGGTGTTGTTAAAAACACTAAGTTTTAATCAA